AACGTTATGGGAGCCGAGCTGGCGAAGGGAGCGGCAGACGCTGGCAGCCCCACAGCATTTCACTCCAGTGAGTCACTCAGAAAACACAAAGCACATTGTGACTTGTAGGTGGTTATAGACACCTCCAGGCATCCAATCCTTCCAGTTTATAAAGATACAAATCTTAATTATTAATGGTTAAGATGAAAAAACAGCTGCCCTGAAGTTAGGAAATTCAAACGCTTGTTTCCTCAGATCACATCACACAAAAGAGGGTCTGTTCCGTGAAGTCCAGTGTGCTGGCCTGTTTGCAGGCCAAGAGGCTTCCTGCTTCTGCCCACTCGAGGCAGCCAACCTAACGCTGCAGGAACTTGAGATCCACAGGCCCGGACACACCGGGGCCAGGTGACAGAGGCTCGCCCTGGCAGCACTACACCCGTGACAAATGCCTCATAAAGTGGTATGCCCAGGAAGAATTGTGTTTCCCATGGTACAAAATTAAGATTAATGATTGCTCTGCTGCTGAAGCCTTTCCACATCATAAATAAGAACAGTATGTTGAAAGGGCAAAGACACAATGGCCGCCGGCCTCCATGCCCATTTGAGTGAAACTGTTTTCTAACCCTTAGGAAATGAGGCTAAATGATTATAGGTTGTGATTATACATGGACTCACAGTGGCCTGGGCCATGTACGTAAAGGACTACCAACCATATTATAAGTTTAAATTGAAGTTCCTTCCAGCTATGAGTTATTAAATGTATACACAGGATAAGTGTGCTTATGGGAATGAGATGAGATAAATCCCCTAAGAGTGTTGTTGTTATGGGACTTGTGCATTGACAATCTGTCCCTGTCCTTAACTCTGAGAATGTTTTGCATATTGTACCATTAGACACGGCACTCGCTTTTAACTTGAGGTATATTCTTGTCTTAAAAAAATTATGTCAGTGCTATTTTCACCGAGTGCATTTTAAAAATTAGGAATGGATTGAATTTCATCAAATGCAGTCATGGAGAAAATCAAATGATAGTTTCCTCCATTTCTTGGTGAAAGTTATTAATATATTCTCTAATATTAAAACATGGGGCCAGCCCTGTGGCTGAGTGGTTAAGTTCACATGCTCCGCTGCGGCGGCCCAGGGTTTTGCCGGTTCGAATCCTGGGCACAAACATGGCACTGCTCATCAGGCCATGCTGAGGCGGCATCCTATATACCACAACTAGAAGGACCCACAACTGAGAATATACAATTGTGCACTGTGGGGCTTTGGGGAGAAAAAGGAAAAAACTGAAATCTTAAAAAAAAAATGGAAAAAAACCCCAAAACTTTGCTATTCCTGATTTAAAACTCATATGACTGTGGCATATTCTTTTAATCTGATGCTGGATTCTATTTGCCAATGTTCTTTTCTTTTGATGCTGAATTCTTTTTAAAAAAATTTTATTTAGGGGCCAGCCTGGTGGTGTAGTGGTTAAGTTGGCACACTCTGCTTCAGCAGCCCAGGGTTCGCCGGTTTGGATCCTGGGCGCGGGCCTACACACCGCTCATCAAGCCATGGCGTGTTGGCATCCCATATAGAAGACCTAGAAGGACTTACAACTAGGATATACAACTATGTGCTGGGGCTTTGGGAAGAAAAAAAACACTTTTATTTAGATATAATTGATATATTAGTTTCAGGTGTACAACATAATGATTCAATATTTGTTTAGATTGTGAAATGATCACATTAGGTTAGTTAACATCCATCACACACATTGTTACAAAATTTTTTTTCTGGTGTTGAGAACTTTTAAGATGTACTGTCTTAGCAACTTTCAAATATACAATGCAGTATGTTTTTTTAAAGATTGGCCCTGAGCTAACATGTGTTGCCAATCTTTTTTTTTTTTCCTCCCCAAAGCCCCCAGTACATAGTTGTGTATCCTAGCTGTAGGTCATTCTAGCTCTTCTGTATGGGATGCTGCCTCAGCATGGCTTAATGAGCGGTGCTAGGTCTGTGCCCAGGATCTGACCCACGAAACCCTGGGCTGCTGAAGTGGAGCGTGTGAACTTAACCACCTAGCCATGGGGGCGGCCCCTACAATATAGTATTACTAACTAAAGTCACCATGGTGTATATTACACCCCCATGAATTATTTATTTTATAATTGGAAACTTGTACCTTCTGACTCCCTTAGCCCATTTCTCCCACCCCCAAACCCCGCCTCTGGCAAGCACCAATCTGTTCTCTGTATCTGCGAGCTCAGTTTTTGTTGTTGTTGTTTTGCTTTTAGATTCCACATATAAGTAAAATCAAACAGTGTTTGTCTTTCTCTGTCTGATTTACTTCACTTAGCTTAATGCCCTCGAGGTCCACCCATGTTGCCACAAATGGTAAGACTGTATGCTTAGCTGAGATCATAACCTCCAATGATAACAATATTCTTCTGAGAAGATACTAATACCTAAAGCTCTGTTTCATGATTTCTAGATGCGTATTTCTAAGAAATCAGGATCAACACGCACAAGGCATGATGTTGTAATGTAAACCTGGCTGACCTGCTCATTCATAAACCACTAGCTCCATGAGAGGAGGGACAAGCGTGTTTCATTGCTGTAGTATTTCAGACCATGCAATATGCTCAGCATACTGAGCGTAAATATTAGTTCAATATTTCTTTTTTATTTTGTGAGACTAATCTCTTGATTCAGCCTTTAACTTGCTTCATGTACTTTGGGAATAAACTTGAATTATCTGCTTTTCAATTTCCTAGATGATAAAATAAAGAGGTTAGATGTGACTCAAAGTAACTTTCTGATAGGAGAGAACCATTTGTTCTATTGAATTCTTTGGTAACCCAATATGTGAAGTGTAAAGGACTATTTTGATTGAATCCAGGAGTGGTCATAGCACCTTGATCTCCTGGCACCTTTTCCCTCAATGAAAAAATTAGTAGAATCTGTTCATTCCAGCTTACTCCAACATCTACATATCCTCAGGGGAGAGCTCCCTCCTTTGGAGAAGGTCCACCTCCCCCTCACAGGGGTTACGAGAGCCCGTCGACAAACATGAAGACCATGGTGCCACAAGCTTCCCGTCATCCATCTATAGGGGATGGAGGGGTTCCACATTTAGGGCAATACACAGTTCCCTGGTGTCCTCAGTTCCATTAATGGGGGTCAGGTGGGAACTCTTGCCAATGTTTTATTTATTTAGTTTCTTGGTATCAAAATCAACAAGACTGGAATGTAGTTGTTTGGTTTTGTCTTTTTAAATCTGGGATATTTTGGTCCAGTTTTGGTATCAATATACTGCTTTGTTTCATAAAAACACATTTGGAAGGTTTTCTCTGTCCCTATGTGCTGGAACAGATTGAAGAGCATTTTGAACTTACGTATTTCTTACTAGTTTGCTGTTTCTCACCTGTGGAACCAACTGGGCGAACCTCTCTGGAGGGGTGGGCTGTTTAAGATCTCTCTCTCTGCTCAAGTCATTTGGTGTATAAGGAGTATAGATAGCTGTTCTCTCTTTCCAAATGTTTTATTCTTCATTTAACTTCCTTATTTTCGCTTTCTCCTTTTTATTTTGTATATTTGTTGTACTCACTTTTTCCATCATACTTAGCTATATATTAGCTAATAACTTATCTATTTCATTGTTTGTTAAAAGAATCATCTCTTGGGTTAATTCATTTTTGCTGCTGATTTAAATTACACTTTCATCTTACAAATTCCTTTCTTCTGCATTGCTTAGTTTGTGTGTGTGCATTCGTGCATGCATGCATTGTACGTGTGTATTTTTTCCACGCCTCCTTGAGTTGAATACATACTTAGTTTATTTCGTTTGTTGTTGCTGCATGACATACACCATACATTTTCCTCTAAGCACCAATTTAGCAGATACGTTGTCCTTTATTTTCATCCTACAATCTAGAAATAACAATATTAACTTTATGGTATAAATATAAATGCATATAGCAATCTTCCTTCTAAAATAGTTTATTGAAGTTTTTCATTTTTTTTCATATTACAAAGATAATAAGTGGTACCCTGTCTTTTTTCCCCTCTATGCAGATTCTTTTTCTTCTAACTTTTTTACACAAATAAACATTATATTTCCTATTCTATAAAAATTGTTTTTCCTATCATTTGCCCAATTTCCTACTGATATGCACATTTAAATAGTTTTTAATAATTTAAGTGATAATTAATAAATAACCCTTAAGCAATTTTTAATCACTTGGATGTGATGATTTCTTTGAGTATGGAGGGTATCTGGATGTCAATAGGATTCTTTATTTTTTAAGTCCAGTAACTTTATTAGGATTTGTTCTTGTTTTAATAGATTTGAATCTATTTCTTTCTTGGGGTAGAACTACTTTTTGAATATATAGATTCAGGAAAGTTTTCTTAAATTATATCTTTAAGTATTTTTTTCTGTTCGTATTCTCTGGGCTTTCTTTGGGGGTGGAGGCAGACACTAATTGCACATCTTTTTTTGGCTTGTGCATATTCTTCATCTGACTTTCATGTGTATAATTTTCCCTAAAATCAATTTTAACTCTGTTTCTTTAGATCTCATTTTGCTGAGTTTTCTCAAATCTGTCATCCATCTCCTTTGCTGTCTTTTCTGTGAATCTATTACTGTTTCTGTCCCTTTGCCTGTATTTCTGGCATCTTTCTTTTTATTTTCCGTTTCTTTTCTCAATTCTATCAATTTATTTATTGTCTTTTTAGTTCATCTTTTAGCTCTTTCATCTTGGCTTTGCACTCTTAGTTCAAAGAGGTCATTTTTTCACGAGTGTACTTTTGTGTGTAGAGAACATTTTGGTGACAGTCTGACCTACCTATGACATTTGTTTTCAAAGGGCTGATCTTCATCTCCTTCTCTGTTGGTCATTTTTGTTTGATTGGTTTTTCTCCCTAAAGCCCCAGTGCATGGTTGTATATCCTAGTTGTAAGTCCTTCTAGTTCTTCTATGTGAGCCGTCACCACAGCATGGCTACTGACAGAAGGGTGCTGTGGTTCTGTGACCAGGAACCAAATCCAGGCCACTGAGGTGGTGAAAGCACCAAACTTTAACCACTAGGCCCTCAGGGCTGGTTCTCTGTTGGTCATTTTTAACTACCACTTTCTCCTGCAGCATCTTTGCACATACCCAACAGCGACTGCTCACCTCTACAGAGAGAGTTCATCTTTGCCTGAGGGGAGCATCCTTGGTGGTTGTTAGTAGGACCAGAAGAGGATGGGAGTGAGCCTGAGTAGGAGGCACCCCAGTTCTCATCTTCGCCAGGGAGCAGTCTCACTGCTACTGGAAAGTGTGATAATGAGGGCTCTGGGCTGCAGAGGATCTTTCTGGATCTCAGGGAAGCCCCATTAGAATGCACCTATCACTGGAGTCAGGCGCTCCTCTTCCTTTCTCACTGTGTACCTAACCCTGGTATGTGGGTCTGCGTGACTCCAGGTCTGTGGGCCACCAACAGACCCTCCTCTGGTGGCCACACCAACAGACCGTTTCTTACAAAGATGGCTTTCCTTCAGTCCTTTGTCCCCAAAAGTCTGTGGAGTTGGGGTTCAGGAAGATTCCTTTAGCTCTTTTGTGTCCTATTCTCTTTTCTTCCAAACCGGGGCCCTTTGGTCAGCCCTCTGTGTGTTCTATTGAGGTCAGAGAATGCTGTGTGCTCTTGGAAGTGGCAGTGTTCTAATGGTCACTGTGTTTGGCTGCCATTCTTGGGATTCTTGGTCATGTTCTGAGTCATAGATATTTCTTAGTGGCTGGGAGGATAGAGTTTCCACTTCTGTTTCTCCGTCTCTTTGTTGATTCCAGGTGTAATCAGAAGTAAGGAAGCAGACAGATGTTTTGCCATCATTTCAAGCTGGAAGTCACATCATACATTTTACATTATTGTGAAGTTCTTCACTTCTGGCCGGAGCACTTCTCACCACCACCACTACCTACCCTGAGAGAATATTTATGCAAATAGGCCTCATGATTTACAATAGAATTTTTAGGACTTAAAAATCATTTTGCTATAAAAAACATAATAAAAAAAATTTTTCATTTGCTTACCCCAGTAAGTTGGTAAGCAGAAACACCCGCCAAGGGACTATCTTCTGACCCGGCCTCCACCGTATCACTGGATTGTTGTTCTAGAAAAGGGGGTTGTAGGCTGTCGGACAAACCAGTAATCTTCAGCAAAAGCTCATCTAACAAATCTGCAAATTCATCGAGGTAATAATTCTGAAGGGAATAAAATTAGATTAGTACGTGCATTCAACAACCTAATTTTTCTTCTTTCCTGATTTTTTGAAGCATTTCGTGGTACCAACTTTAGACGGTATTGTGTTTTGTTAGAAAACACACTGGATCCTGGAGTCAGGGAAGCTGGTGCTGGACCTGAATCTTCACACCTTAGTTTCCTCATTCATAATGTCATATATAGGTACGCACATTCATACCTCATTCACGATGTCATATACAGGTATTCATACCTCATTCACGATGTCATATACAGGCATTCATACCTCATTCACGATGTCATATGCAGGCATTCATACCTCATTCACAATGTCATATACAGGCATTCATACCTCATTCACGATGTCACATACAGGTATTCATATCTCATTCACAATGTCATATGCAGGAATTCATACCTCATTCACGATGTCATATACAGGTATTCATACCTCATTCACAATGTCATATACAGGCATTCATACCTCATTCACGATGTCATATACAGGTACGCACACTTGTTCCTCATTCATGATGTCATATACAGGTATGCACATAAGTGTTATGGTTTGGAATGCCTATACAAAGGACTATTAAATGGATTTCAAAGCAATAGTGTATGGAAAGTACATGATAAAGAGTGAAGCTCTATAAAATGCACAATATCATGATTCCATGTCCCTGACTTCAGAACTGCACTGGGTGATGCCTGAATATCAGCCATGGACAATAGCTGGGCATTCAGTGTGCCAATACCTGCTTTTACATATTTGCATTCATGTCTGGGGTGACTACACTCAAACACTGTGCCTGTCTTCACATTTTGGTAGAAGTTTTGATACCAGCTCAACACAAGGTTGACATAAGGGAAGCCATATTGTAGAAAAGAAGCCATATTATAACTTTGAATACCTCTGATTAACTAGCTCAGACATGCTCTTTAGATTTTGTGGGCCCTCCCAGCTGCTTTAAGATGATAACTTTGTTCTTTTGAGTTCTCTAGGAATGTAATGACCTCTGGGCAGAGAGCCTATGCTGATAGCCATCATCAACGACAACAGAAAGATCCTGGTATAGGGGCGTGTTCCATTCTCTGATGTATATCCAGTAAACAAAGGACTATCAGGACCTGGGACCAGATATCTACTCCAGCCAGAGACTAGCTGCCTCCCCCACCTGGAGAGCAGCCCCCTATATATCTGGCCTACAGTCTTTGTTTTGTAAGGTGGTTCTTTCGGACATGAGTCAACCATCTTCTCTCTTGCTAGCAAGCTGTAATAAAGTCCTTTCTCTCCTACCACCTTGCCTCATGACTATTGGCATGTCTTGCGGTGAGCAGACGACCCTCCTTGGGCAGTAACAGTTTGGAGTTAGTAGCAGAAACCAAAAGCAAATGACTAACTCTATAAGGACGGAGTTGGGGGGGTGTGTGTGTTTGTTGTAAATTCCATCTTTCCAACGTTAGAGGGGCATCTAAGGATATAAGGAGTTACTGGAAGAGAATGTGCTTGGTAATCCGCAAAGTGCTTTAGAATTTCAAGTAGGTGCCGGCTCTGTGGCCGAGTGGTTAAGTTCTCGTGCTCCGCTGTGGTGGCCCAGGGTTAGGATCCTGGGTGCGGACATGGCACCACTCGTCAGGTCATGTTGAGGTGGCATCCCACATCCCACAACTAGAAGGACCCACAACTAAGATATACAACTATGTACCAGGGGTGTTCGGGAAATAAAGCAGAAAAAAAAAAAAAAGGTTGGCAACAGTTGTTAGCCCAGGTGTCAATCCTTAAAAAAAAGGAAGATTGGCAACAGTTGTTAGCCCAGGTGCCAATCTTTAAAAAAAAAAAAAAGAATTTCAAGTAAAAATTCTATGGCTTTGCAATGATATTTGGCACAGAATCACAATCATGCTTCAGTAACTGAAAGCAAAAGTCTGCAATGAAACCATCATCTTGAATGTGCTACTGTGCTCAGTAATCCAAGATCCAGGGCTTACATGGTTCTCAACCATCTCAGTCTCGTCCAACTTTGGCCTTTCCAGTCCCAGAAGGGTGAGGGTCTTCCCCACCATGTAGGCAGTCATGTCTTTAAGCCTCACAAGAGATTTGCTTTGAAAAGATTTTCTTTTTCGGCCAAGAGTCATGAGGAAACCTCTCAGCTAGGGAGAAGAAAAACAGAGACAAGTTTCATGTTACCAGACGAAAAAAAAGCTTTGTTAATTTGATAGACTATAAAATGGAGATTACGTACGATGACGCTATTTTATGACCTTTCAGTAAGACAGTAATTGCTTAGCAAAAAATCAGGAAAGTATCTTTCATGAATTGAACTAAATTACAGCAAGATGAATTCAGCAAAGGAAATTAATCTTATTATAAAGGAGATTTTCAATATCTAAAAGTTGAGGCTGAAGATTATTAACATGACGTGCATTTCCATACATAAAATCTGCATCTCAGTTTCAGGGTCCTCTGGCGAAGCCCGCAGGGTTGTGGGTGGGCCCGGAGAGTGCGTTATATAAATGATCAGGTTGTTTGCTTCTTCACTGCAGGCTGAGATCTGTTGGCTCCAAAAGCCTGGGGGCACCAGACTCAAAATTCTACGCATTCAATTTTTTAAAAAATAGCCCCAACAATCAAAGTTTTAGCCATGTAGAGCCTGCTTTGCATACCTTGCAAGACCTCACCTGGTACCCATTGGTAAGAGAGGGCCTTGCAGTTACAAGACCCCAAAATGCTGCTGCCCTTGGGAGCTCTCCGACCCAAGGACCTCCTGCGTGTTGCCGGGTGACAGACGTTCCCTGCACACGTAAGACCCCTCTCTGGCCTCCTCCCAAGATCTCCCTCGCGCTTCTCCCCTTCTTGGTGATGGCCCCGCAATGCAACCTCTGGACGTTCCCATGATGTGTCCTAGTTGGAAAGAGAGTAGGGTTTTCCAACCCAGAGTCTTCAACAGGAACACCTGGAGGGGTTTCGGAAAATCAGGGTGCCAGGCTGCACCGCCAAGATGTGGATGCAGCAAACCCGAGGTAGGACCTGAGGAGGAGTGGCTGAGGAGCACTGGAGCAGGTGGCAGAGGAGGAGAAAGCTGAGGTGGGCAGGGTCGCCAGATAAAATACAGGCTGCTCACTTACATTTTAATTTCAGGAAAACAACAAAGAACTGTTAAACATAGGTATGTCTGAACTACTGCAGGAACATACTAATACTAAAAAATTATTCATCATTTACTGAAATTTGACTGTAACTGGATATCCTGTATTTTTATTTGCTAAATCTATTATCCCCACGAAGGGGCGACAGGGGCAGGTCAAGCAGAACCTCTTCCTCCATTGAAGGAATTTAAGGTGGTGTGTGTGTGTGTGTGTGTGTGAGAGACATGACTAGGTCTGCAAGTGTCAGATCTGTAGGAGGGCCGGAACCAGGGAGCCCCATTCCTAACTCAGCCCCCAGAGCTGAGAACACGTCCAGTGAAGGCTGACTGATGGAGCGAACCTTTCATAAAATGGAAAGATTGCGATAACAAGGCCAGAGAGAGCCTGCGGCAGCAGCAGCGTGAGACTGTGTCAAATCAGGTTCAGAGAGAGAGAGGGTGTGGCTCGGTGCCGTGGGGGCTGCGGAGGCTCCCTGGAGGAGGCGGCACTCTAGAGTGGCTGATTGTCCTGCTGGAGCTGTTCCAGGCCACGAGAAGTCCAGGCGACTGTGTTAAGCTCCTGCCCAGTGCAGGACAGATGGGCAGGGAGTCATGACCGTTAAGACTGGCCTGCAGCGTGAACCAAAGAGCTTTTGACCCTGACAGCATTTGAAACCTTTAACAATCCCTGACTTCGAAATCTGGAATGTGAGCACGTACCATTCCAAACCACAGAGTGGTCACTGCTATCAAAAAGGCCCCGTAGCAACAAGCCATGTCCCGCCTGTCAGACTTGGAAAGGCCAAGGAATGTGTCTCTTTGGCTTCTTCCTGGAAAATGAAACAGCAGCCCGTGGAAGGAGTCTGAGAAGGCACCAGAAGGGAGAGCCCAAGCCGAGAGCAGAAATCCACGCAGGTGGGTGTGGGCGGCCAGCATCAGGACCCCCGCCAGCTGCAGGGAGAAAAACCCGTGACAACTGACATTCTGGGCACCGGTTCACGGGAGGCTAAAATAACGAAAAGCTTGGAGAAGCAGTTTTTGGAGTGTTGATCACGTCAACCAGATTTAAGAACTAATCCCCAAAACGCCCGTCTCTGTCTGGCGCACCCTCTCTGCAGCCCTGCTCCCGCTCCTCCCCCCTCAGGTGCTCAGGAGTCCAGTGTCCTCCTCTCCTCCTCTGCCTTCCACCACCAGCATCCCCTCTTCCCTGCCCTCTGAACCCCTAGTTGCTGGAGGCTCAGTAAAATAAACCACTTAAGAAATGCCGGGAAAGGGTAATTTTGAGTTAACTTGAGTTCAGGTGAGGCTTTGTGGTCTGTTGTTGTAACAGACTGGGACTTGTCTCGGAGTGTCAGGGCTGTATCACAGCCCCAGGATATACATGATGCTCCCTCCATCCACCCAAACAAGCACTGGTGCTGACCAGCATTTTCTCGCCTGCACAGCAGACCATCAGCCAGTTGTTAGAGGTCCATATGGGTCTGCACTGCATGTGGACCAGCCATCACAGGGTCCCCCACCAGGCTGCAGCTACCGCCATGCGCTGAGTCCCACAGAGATGCCCGCTGGCCTCCACTGCCCCTGCTCCCCACTCTGGCGCTGCACCCCAGACCTCCCTACAAACACACTGGAACTCACTTTAGTATTATTTATTCCCCAAGTGGAACTGCGTACCATCAATGGGACTCAGAAGCAAGAAAACACAACCCATGAGTCTGTCATCTAGACTAGTCAAACTGTGTGGCTCCCCGTCCTCCTTTTAGCCCCATCCGTACGCATGCATAATCTCTGAACTGTTGGAATGCTGCTGCTTAATTTGGACACAGTCTATTCATATTCCAGGCTTTTTTCTTAACAGAGAGACATTTTTGCATATTGCTAAGTGATATAATAACGACCAGTTTAACAGCCAGATAAATTCCACATACACATAATCTCTAAGCCCCGTAGTAACTTGCCAGCCACATACCTTAGATTCGTAACTGGCCCATGGTTGTGACAGTGGGTGCAGCCGGGGCCCGAACCCAGGTCTCTCTGACTCCTTGCTCTGCTCTTTCTGCTCTGGTTTGCTGAGTCTGTCCCACCAAGCCTAAGGCCAGCAGAGTTTGGGGATCTGTGCTTGGTACTCGTGTGCTTTGTGAGAGCCAGAGCCTCCAGATCAGGCACCCAGCCAGACCCTCCCTCTGCCCTGATGACCAGGCGCTCTGGAGGGGGCACAGGGCCGCACTGGGGCCTGCCAGGCTGAAGCAAGCTCTTTCCCCACGGGGGCCGGGTCAGACTCGCCACACCCCAGGAGCTTTGTCAGGGCCGCAAGCAGGACTCTGGCCCTCCTGATTCTGGACTTCACCCACCTGAGCAGACTTAAGGGCCAGCCCTGGCCTGCCCTGGGCCCCCAGGGATGGAGTTAGGCTTCCCAAGAGCCTGTGCCCACAGGTAAGCACCTGTATATCTGCTTTTGTTTTGTTTTTCCTGACTGCGTTGTCTTTCCTCTGGGTCCCACTGATGGTGTGCAATTCCACTTGGGGAGTAAATATACTAAAGTGAGTTCCAGCGTATTCGTAGGGATGTCTTGGGTGCAGGGCCAGAATTAGGAGCAGGGGCAATGGAAGCCAGCAGGAGCCTGTATGGGACGCAGTGTGTGAGGGAGAACCGGTGCTTTGGGGCCCAAGGCAAGCCTTGTCACTGCTCTCAGCTCCTCACTCCTTCCTCTGAAAAAGAGTCAAGACTTCCCTCAGCGGGGTTAGGGTAACTAACTGAGGTGATAAAAGAGGCCACACGCGCCCTTCCGGGCACTAAGATAAAGCTCAGCAGGTGACAACTACTTACATTAGTAATAATAATACGCCATGGGAAAGTATAGAACAGAACAGGTGTTCAATCAACCGTGGATACTGTTGTCATGGCCATAACTCATTATATAACGACTGATATCAGTGACCTAAAACCACCCCGGAACGGTAGAAGGCTGGAATCCTAGATGCTGTTTCACCTTGAGAAGGGGCCAAGTGAAGAGAACGCACTGGTTGCATCCGTTTACTGGGGAGGGCACTTGGAAAGGGGAGGATTCTTACCCCCGGAGCAAAGATGCTGGAGAGCGAGCGGCGCGCAGTGAATGAGCAGGACGCCATGGTGTTTCGAATGCCAGGGAGATAAATGCATTTCAGTATCAAGAGGAATGAAAGGATTCCCTGGAGCCATCGCGCCCTCTGAGACAGAAGAACATAGCAGTTCAGGGTATCATACCAACCATAAAGGTACACAGACGTATTCACACCTGTGGGCCACGTGTGAGGGAAATGGGCCACAGGTGTGCATTGGATGTGACTAAGTCCTACAGACGACAAACCTCCGAGGGCAGGTCAGTGTCGGATGTCTGCAGAGGAGGCTGAGTTAGAACTAGGAGTAAGTACAAGTTATAATGCATTTTCAGAAAGGCCAGCTCTGAATTCTGACCTTACTGTGTCTATAAAGATCAGGACAGCTCAGGCCTGCATTTCCTTTGTCTGAGCCTCAGTTTACCAAGCTGTAAAAAAACAGCCCCCACAGAGGGGACGTGGAAAACACTCAGTGCTGTTGGTTCCTTCCCCTCCTTTAGATGCACAGAATATGTTACCACTTAACAACACTCTTCATGCACGTATTTTTAACTTAATCTTTATAAAAACCAAAAGCACTCCCATTTTCTACCTATTGAGTTTATGGCTCAGAAAAACAAGATGATAAAAGGAAAGCCACCTCACTGGAGAAACAGCAGATCGGCTGATACCTGGCCTCCCAGGTTCACACCCAGCCTCCCAACTCCGTGTCCCACATGCCCCTCCACACCCCCACGGGGCCTCCTCTATGAAGGCCACTTACCTATCTACAAGTGGGCTCACTGGAAAAGCACTTTTGGGTGTATACTCTCATCTATTCTCACCAAGATTATAAGTCAAAGAGAAAGAAATGCAAGCTGGATGTTTTAAAATCTACATGGGCAAAGGATCAAGGCTTTTTATTTTGTTTTCTCACTAATGGGTGCAAGGTCAACAACGGCCTCTGACAACCAAAACCCAGACAGGCTGTCTGTGCTGTTGCACCCCCGGTTCCCTGCAGAGCGGGCAGGCATGGCCGAGCCTGGGAAACTGGCATGCACCGGCTGTAGCCAGCACTGAGCAAGACAGACACCGTTCGAGCTACAGGTGGAATGGGAAATTTTCCAGTTGCCATATTTAAAAAAATAATGTAAACAGGTGAAATTTGTTTCATAATGTATTTTATTTCTGAAACGTAATTTCTAAAACATTATAATTTCAACATATTCAATGTAACAGTTATTAATGAGATATTTTAAATTCTTAATTTTCATACTAAGTTTATAGAATCCAGTGAGTGTTTCACACTTTCGGCACACCTCCATTTGGACCAGCCACATTTCCATTTCCCAGGAGCCTCATGTAGCTAGTGGCCACCGCACTGGACAGCTGGACAGCAGAGTCCCATGTGCACCGTGGAAAGGTTCCCTTTCCTGCCATCACTTGATTTGAGGCCTGCCATAAAGACTGCTTAAGTATTGTCATTATTATGACTTTCATTTACAGAACACTCACCAGTGCCATGCTCTGTGCTTGAGGGATGTGTATGTATGTCCACGTTTGGACAAATACACACACACTCAGATCCTAACAGAGCACTGCCGGATGTGTATCGCAGCCCATCTTATAAAGGCCTAGAGAAGGTTAAGTAATTTGCCCCAGGGCATGAGGCTAAGAGGAGCTAGGGTGAGGTTTCAGGTCGGCTGGCTCCAGAACCTGTGTATTTCCCCATCAACTGCCTCAAATTTATAGCCTCTGTCCTGTGTGTACGACTCTAGCGTTTGAAAATCACTGGTTTTGTCATGAGCTGCCTGGGAGACAGCTTCAGTGAACTTAAGGCAGAGCTAAAGTCCCTCTGACTGCCTCTGTGGGGGTCAGTCTGATAACCTTGGGGGAGGTGCCCGCAGAAGTGGAGTCAAGAGGGAGAGCTGCAGTGGGGCAGGCCCAAGGTGCCAGCATGGAGAGGGGCTAACCATCTACATGGCACACTTCCTGAGGGCTGGCCCTGAACACACAACAACATAGCAGCTGAACTGAATGGCTCAAGCCACAGGCTTCAGCCTTGTACATCTCTGGGCCAAGACACAGTGGACAATGTCCTCCTAGAGCACGTCCACTGCATTAGAGCTCAGAGGCTTAGGCATGTGGTTACTCAGGTCCCTGAGACCATGGCCAAGCGGAATCCAGCTAGTAGGAAGAGGGCAGACACGGAGTGAAGGGTGGAGCAGGAAGCCCCCCATCCACCTCAGAGAGCCATGCTCACGGACAGTTAGGAAGCGGGTCATCCACCTCTATCCCTCTTGGAGCTTCCAGCCTTGCAGGGGCCCATTCCCTGGGCAAGGGAAATGCAAAACTTTTAAGCCCAACTGTCCCCATGGTGGGACCCAGGCCTCCCCTGAGCTTCAGGATCTTCAGTTGTACAGAGGCGCTAATACCACCTGTGTCTAGGACTGTTGAAGAGAGGACAGACATGATGTATCTAAGGAAGTCCATGCTAGTTCTTCCTTTATGTCACCTCAAAACCTGCTTCCTTCTGCCACTTAGGGCCACGCAGAGTCGTGGGAGTGATGCCCTGTTCTTGAGTTCTCCCACAGATTACATACGCCTCCAACTTGCAACACATGTCTTAAGGATTCCAGGCCCTTCTCTGTCCAGGTCACCTTCGTCTGCAAGCTCAGAGCATTATCGCTCAATATGCAACAAAGCCCTCATGTTGAACCTTGTACAATGTGTGTGGCCTCCTTTGGGAAGCATCACAGAGCATGGCCCTTGTTTGTATTGCCCTGAGCAGCCTGCCATACCTGATTCCATGCTGCCATATGACTGAGGTCTGTAAACTCTTGGAAAAGTCCTCTGTGGAACTGGTCGGTCACCTCCCCAGCAAGAGTACCCAGGTGTCCGGAGGCTGCGGAGTAGGTGAGAGCTGCTCCGACTATGGAGAGCTGCAACATTGGAGAGAGAGGCCATCAGATAGGGGCCGAGGATGGGCTCACAGGGCTCCCCTGTGATGTGGAGTGCAAATTAACTGCACAAGCTCTAAATGGACACTGATCTCAAGTGCGATTTTGGCCTTAACAGGACCAAGGGAGAAAAGTGTAATGAGGTTGGAATTAGCTAGTGTATAATCAATTTCCCATTAAAATTCTTTTGATTTTCAGATAAGTATTTTACTATTATTATTTTTCGTGAAGAAAATAACACGAGAGGCTACCTCCAGCCAGTTTCTCGGTTTTCGCCAATAGTTGCGGACGCCCTTCTCCATCATGCCGTAGAGTTGAAAACAGAGGTGAATGAGGTTGAGCACCAGGAAGAGCAGCTGATGGAGGGAACGTCAAGAAACAAGATAAACACAAATACTGATAAATTGTTTTCTGAAGGTCTAAACTCCTGGCTGGCGCCCCTGCCCCAATCACCTTCTGAGTAGATAGGATGCAAGCTAACTCCTTGCTCCACACAGCTCTGCTGATGAACTTGCTTTCTGCAGGCCGCTGGGGCATCTGTACCTCTTCAGGCCGCAAGCTCTCATAGAGACCCCACCCCCGATGAGCTCGCAATGCGCCCCGCAGGCACTGAAACCTTGGAGCGGGAATATGGCACAGCCACCCAGCAGGTCTCCTAACCTCCATGCCAGCCCCTCCCAGTCCTTCCTTGCATTGCAAGAAGGAAGGAATTTTCGTCTATTTGTGAAATATACAAAATATGAAATATATATATTATCAGTTTCCTCAGCCAAGTAAAACCTTTAAAAGATCCTGTATAAGGAATTTCTTCAAGTTCTGTTTGTGGTTCTTTCACCATTGATGAGTTACCCATTCATTCATGCCTTCATTCATCATTGAGAACAAGGAGGGAAGTGACGCTCAGTAATAGTGGGAACTAAACCCGTCTGAGGTCAAGGCAGCCTCCCAGAGCTCCTGTGGACCCTTCAAATTAACACTTTAAAGCTAAAAAAGGCTCTTTCGGGATCCTCCTCCCTCCCACCCTCCAGGAGTGGTGCTGGCACCTACTAACATTTATCCCAAAGCAAAGAAAGAGGAGGGCGCACTGAGAGCCCAGCACGCGTCAGGCACTGCCTCCCCGGGCCATGCCCAGCACAGAATGAAGGATCTACTTCCCAGAGCACGGTCTGAAATGAGATCACGTGTGTGGAAAGCATTTTATAACCACAACCACGCCGTAAACACTGATCTTAGGTTTAAACAACCGAGACTACTCCGGGTGCGTCCAACCTTCCTGCTCCCACTACCCCAGCTCACTATAAGGTGCTTTGTGCCTCTTTGACGATCACGAGCCCAAACTCAGATTTGTCATGAACTTAAGCGGAACTGAAGCACGCCAGCACGGGCTTCAGACACGGTCCTGATAGGCCCGCTGTCAAAAGCTACAAACACAGTCAGAGCAAAGCCCGTTGGTAGTGGTCAACAAGAAGGTGTCAGTAGTAGCACTGGGCCAGGCCACACTGGAACCTGGGGCAAAAGGAAATGCCAGTAACACCGACCCTGCCTTTGCTCAAAATTCTGATATTTTGTCCATCACGAATTCTTTTGCATGAATTCTGATTTTCAAAAGTATTGTACTGCACCGTTACTTATCTTGATGACTGTTCTGATGCCCCTAAATTCGGTGCCCGAGGTGAGTGCCTCCCCTGCGGAGTGGCCGACTCTCCTCACCTCCCCCTCCCTTCCCACCACCCACACCAGCTCTGAGGCTCTGCTCACAGCCCCAACCCAACTGTGTCACTCAACAGCCCTAGAGTCTAAGACCCCACACCATCCCCCCTCCACTCCCAAGGCAAATTGTGTTCCACCTGGAGTGTCAGCAGGTCTTAGCTCTTCACAGCAGAATAGTGAAATATAGGCAGAAGCCAGCAAAGTTGCTGAGGAAAAGTTCAGAGTGACTTTTCTTGAAAAAATGACTTTCATTTCTCAGTGAAGCTACAGGGGTATATTCCATCTTACCAAGATCCATGCTACTGAAGGTTTGTGCCCCCAAAATCCATATGTTGAAGCCCCAACCCCCAGTGGGATGCTATTTGGAAGTGGAGTCATCTTTGGGAGGTGGCTGGGGTTAGATGAGGTCATGAGGGTGGGCCCCATGGTGGGATTAGTGTCCTTATAAGAAGAGGAAGAGAGACCAGAGCTCTTTCTCTCTCCCCGTGTGAGGACACCATGAGAAGGCGGCCATCTGCCAGGCAGGAAGAGAGCCCTCACCAGCACCCCACCATGCTGGCACCTTAATCTCAGCCTCTCAGCCTCCAGAACTGTGAGAAATACCCAGTGCATGTATTTACTTATGGCAGCCTAGCTAAGACCCCTGGGAAGGCTCTGGATCCCAATCCTCCTACGGTGAATTTGCACATGGAGATAGCTCTGTATCTGCACTAGCCATGTATATGTGTCAGGTCCCCACCAGGGTCTTCTTCCTCTTGTGCCCACACCTAGTGGGCCGCTGGCCACATGATAGGGTCATAGCAGGCATGTGGGTGGAGGGCGGATGGGCAGGTAGGCACAAGGCCTGTCTGGTGGAGGGCGCTCAGACCCGAGGGAAGTCCCTGTGCTGTGCAAGCAGGCCGAGGGGCTGGTGAACTCACCTCAGGAAGCATGAGGCGGTACCTCGCTGAGTTGCTGCGGAAGATGTGGAAGGACTCCACCAGGGAGGAGAGGGCGAGCCCCCCTGTGGGGAGCATGTTGGCGTTCAAGGACACACTCGAGAAGAGTTGAGTTGGAGGGTTATAGAGGGTGAAGTGCACCGACACGGCCCTGGTGCTGCAGTTGATCCATCTGCTGGCCCTGAGCCTGGTCAGCGCTGCTCGGGCTGCAGGCCTGCAAAGCAGTGCAAGTCAGAGGAGGGAAGGCCTCTCACAGAAGCCTCCAGCCCAAGGCCCCACGCCGGGACGCCTGATGCAACCCTTGGGTTCACAGGGCTGGACAAGGGACCTCTCTGTGTCTTCCAACCCCTCGAGAGTCCTCTGTCCCTCTCTCCTTGCCTGGGACCCTGGCAGAGGGGATTCTGGAGAAAGGAGGCAGGCAGTTTCCCACGGGTACCTCACGGGGAGAGGTGCCCATCTCTCTGTGCAAACTCTAGAATTTTTTTTTTTGCGATGGACTCCATTATTGGAAAGAAGCTGCCTTCTACCAATCTGCATTTAGTAAAAATTCAATCATTTGCCTTTTTTGTTGTTAGTATTACTCAGACGCACACATTATTGTAACTGTTGTAGGGCTCCCTATCGGTCTGATAATCTGTGTCACTGCTGGTGTTAGCACAATCCCACACCAATGTGGGCTGTGTGCTGCACCTTCTAACCAGGGAGGTGGTGAGGGGGACAGTGCCACTGGCAGGACGGACCAGGCTGGCTGACCGCAGACCGTGGCTGCACCATGGGTGCCGGCTCTGCTTGGGTCTCTGTTCCTCATCTGCATGGTGCAGGACAGGAGCGGGGCTGGCCCTACTTCATAGAGTGCCATGAGGACTAAATGAGGCCCTATAAACACCCTGCTTAGCACACGACAAATGTCCATTAGGTTCGTGACCTTCAGACCTTCTAGCAAATTCCGAAGGAATGTTCGGCTTTGTCTCTTCTCATGCACATAGAGACTGAAGGCCTGAGTTTGCATTTTACTTCTGTTGTGACTTAACTACCTGGCCCCGGGCAAGCGACTCCCATCATCTCACAGTAGTAATAGGCCTTGCTCCAGCCTTGGCCGTGGCGTGCCGCCTCTCGTCCATGCACCAGCTCCGTGCTGGAGCCGACAACTGGCAAGTGTGGATGGAGCTCACCCTCTGAGTCACACTGACCTTGTCCTGCCCAGGCTGAGCACACAGTCCTCCCTGCAGCCCCCAGGGCCACTCAGGGCCACTCTTTGGATCTCTGGATCTATCACAGAGGGAGATTCAGGGCTTCCAACCGTGGGGTTATGTGTAGGAAGAGAGCCTTCGATGTGTGCTGATGGCGGGCTGGGAAGCTGTAGGAGAAACCACGGATTGGAAGAATCAGATGCATATTCCAAAGTCTGCCCTGCATCCTGGGGTTTCCAAGCCCTGGCACACACGGGTACACATGCTGTCCTGAAACATGGCCCCCTGCTCCCCTCAGAGGCCCCTCGTGGTCCCCAGGCTCTAGGTTGCACCAGAAGGATCACAGCTCCACCATGGTGGCTGCACCTGTGGCGCCCGCCAGCCTTGGGCTGGGATGTCAGCAGGGTTTCTGTCACCGGGTGGTACAGGTAAGTGCCCCTCTTCACATACCCCACCCCCGTTTGGAAAAGGTATGTGATAGTCTATTTTAGATATTTCAGATAGAAATGTCCTGGTTTTGCACAGATAGCCAGGACAGGAAGACAATTTGGGGAAGAGTTTGGCGAGAGGAGAAGGGAAGGAAGGAGAAGGCCCGGCTCTCCCCACGTGGCTGACGGTCCCCGTCACAGCCAGGCTCTCTCCCAGGAGAGTAAAATGGTCTGCTGGGCTCCTGCCCAACGTCTCCTAGACTTTCCTAATTCAATTTATTTTTAGAAGTAAAAAGGAAGAGAGCATCTCACCTCACATAAACTGCCAGGAGGAACTTTCATCTGTTTAATGACCGAAGGGCCTGTTAGGTAGAACTTTCCTCCAAGGGCTCCGGGCTGGAAGAAGAAGAAAAATGAAGGTGCCTGGCTGTCCTGTAGACCCGGAATATCGCGACCAGCAGCGCTAACAAGTGGTGTGCTCTGGCCAGCTTCAGCGCCCAGACCAGAGGCCAGGCTTCACTTTCCTTTCAAAACACTCTAAGGACTTAACAACATTCTCAGGAAGACGCAGCTTCCTCCCTAATCTTTGCACCAACTCAGAACATCTTTCTATCTTTTTCTAAAGTTTCTCCAGTGTCATCGAATGCAATTACCGAGAATACAACAAAAGTAGAATTAGCACTGAAGTGTTTGAGGGATGCAGAACAAAGTCATTTGATTATTTGATTTTTAAAGTGGATAATAAAAGATAAGCAAGGAATGGGGTTAGCACACAAAATGCATATTCACTGAGAACTTTTCTTCGGAATTTGGGAAAAGACTTGCCTCCTTCTGGAAGCTTCCTGGATGCTGCCATCTTAGCTGTTTGCTCCTTCTCTGCTGTCCCTGCATCACAGCATATTGCATAGTGAACAAGCCTTCCAACTGCACCGGCCCAAGAGCTCCTGTGGACCCGCCACACCTGTGCGCCCAGCTCTGGCCTGGCAGGTGCAGGAAGGTAGAGAAGCTTGTGCAGCTAAGGGGGTGGAGCAGAGGCATGTGGGGCCCAGAAAGGAACAGGAGCTCTGGTGTGACGTGCACCCGAGCGGACAGCTGCTGGCCTTGCAACCTAGCAATCATTCAAGAAACCACACAGTGTTGCAGGTCAAGTATTTTTTTATTATTTTGCCCCACTGTGACATGGCTTTCCTTTGACGTCACTGGGAAGAGCAGATGGAACCCACCTGAGCGCCCAGTGTGCCGGCTGTGAAGGAGCTTTCCTGGTACAGGCCGTCCAGCAGCGTGGTCAGGCTCCAGTCCCACCACTCATCCACGCTTCTCAGGCTACTGGAGGAGCTCCTGGCGCTTCTTAAGGCAAGGCCAGAAACAAATAGTTCTTTTCCTCTAGTATAAATTTCAGGTACTCTGCAGGAATTAAACCAAAGTCATCTGCAGTGTGAGGTACAAAACCCTGGGATGCACTTTGCTCCTTAGCAGCAGGTGAGCAGATGCAACAGGGGATTCATTCCACTAACAGTTCATCCACTCAACAGACGTTATTGTGCAATGACTATGCGCCGGCCGCTCTTCTAGGCACTGGGGAAATAGACAATCAGATCCCTGCCTCCTTTTGGACAAAGAAACAAGAAACAACAAGCAAAACATATGCTATGTTAGTAATAAACGTTAAGGAGACAAAACTAAGCAGGAGAGACAGAAATGGTGGGTGGGCAGGCGGAAATTTTAAAAGTTCAGGAGGTTATGGAACAGTTTAGCACGAGATGGTGTTTCAGCAAAGACCTGAAGGCAATGAAAGGTGAGCCACAAGGACAATTGAGAGAGGGTGTTCCAGGTGTGGGGGCAGGAGACGGTGAGGCAAAGGCCTGGACGGCACGTGCCTGGGAGCGAAGGAAGGGGGTGGAGGCCGGTGTATCGTGAGCGCTGGGAGAGGAGCAGAGAGCCAGGAGCTGGGACCCACAGGTGGACACAGTCCTCTCTCTACACTACTGCCTGCTGGGCATGGCATTTGTCCTTCCTTTCCCCAGCCAAAAAAAAAGCCCAGAACAACAGCAAACTCCTGTCTCCCAAGACGGCCGCGAGTGTTAGGGGAGAAGGCACAGACCAAGGGCTGCGTTGGCTCATCGTAGGGAGTCAACCAGAGTAGTCTGTTTCTTTCCAATTAACTTACTTATTATGCCTGCCAAATATTGGTTTCATTTGCCAACCAGGCACTGATCTAAAGGAGCACTGAAATCATTTCAAACTGACTAGATTGATCATTTGAGCTTGCTCAGACAGTGCGAGAAAGCCGCACGCATGGGCCGGGGCTGCACAGAGCAGCATTCGGAGCATAGCGATTTGGCTCCAAGCTGCAGACAAAGGGAACAGGAAAAAATAAATTTCCTCAGAGAAAGTCAAGTACTTCTCACGTAGCTCTAAAAGTCTTCCTCGCTTGTGGCTTTGCGCTAAGGGACACCAAGTAAAGGCAAGGATAGTGAGCTCATCAACACCCCACAGCAAAGAGAAGGGGGTCTGATGTGGCTCTTTCATCCTGGCCTCTCTCCATTAAATAGGAAGGCGACCAAAGTACTTCCCAGGGAAAGCAATACTGTTGGAAAGTGAGAAGGAGTTCGAAAAGGATATAAACTCAAGTCATCCAAGTACAGATTTTAACTGTCCTGTTTGTGCCAGCACCCAAATCTAGACCACATCAAAGAATGAACTGGCTGTGAGTTCTCCAAGTGGCACAGCGGTTTGGTTAACTAGACTGGAGAGCAAAGTGGAGCTTTCCTCAGTGGGGTGCCGGAGCCAGCTCCAACCAGCTCCAATCAGCTCCAACCAGCTCCAATCGGCTCCAACCTGCTCCAACCGGCTCCTGAGAGTCAGCTGTGCGCATCTCTTCCCAGCTCTGTGCTCAGTGACGTCCCGCTGGTGGTGTGAACCAGACCACGGTGGGAGTATTTACACCACAGGGAGTGGCGGGCAGATGCTACAGATCAGTGCTTTTGTTCCCGTCGAGCCACCTGTTAAACTTTTGCCAGCAGACCACGGAGACTATGTTACGGGCAAGTGTGGGCAGCAGATTCTCAAGATACTCATTGCTGACTGAGGGCCGATTGTGGAGATAAATTAGAAGTGTTTTAAAACCTGATAGCCATTATAGTTGATAACACTGTATTGTGTAATTGAAATTTACTAACAGAGTAGAACTTCAATGTTCTCACCAAAAAAAAAGAGATAAATATGTGAGGTAAGTGAGGTGATGGATGTGTTAACTAGATGGGAGGAGTCGTTTCACAATGTTTACCTGTATCAAATCATCACGATGTACACTTTAAATATCTCACAATGCTATTCATCTGTGAAACCTCAGTAAAGCTCAAAAAACCCCTGATATTTATGACCAAAACTGGACAATATAAAAGGGAAAGAAATCAAAGACAAAGAAATGTTATGTTAGTGATATATTAACAATATGTCATTACTGTATAGATTAATAGAGAAGCAAATAATCTTAACCACCAATTTATATATATTGTAAATATATTAAACACTGTCCAGAGCATATGGAAATAAAAGTGTGGTGAGCTAACTTATCTTACTGGTCTTATTTCTGTTTCCTTACAGAGGCATCATCTCCCATCCTTTCACGACCTTGAGTTTTCACTGGTGTACACATTTTTACGCATTCCTTTACTGGGTGCTTGTTATCCACTTTCCACATCGCTCAGAAACCTTGGTCTAACTATGTGTCAAATTCAGAGAAAGCTGGAGACCTGCCAGAGCATCCGGAGGGTGGGGTAAGGAAAGAGGCACGCAGGAAGGAGAATACACGAGAACATGGAGATGGGCGGCATGACAGAAGTAGACACAGCCCCGTGAATATTCACAAACTCATTCAGGGGAAGGATAAGAATGGACGAATCAGAGGGGCAAAGAGAGTGGGAGCCAGGGAAGAGAGAAGAGAGAGGTGAAGGTGGTGGCCGATTTTCAACAGTCTTAATGATCTGCTCTGGGAAGCAAGACTATTTGACAGACAAACTGTACATTTATAATGTGCTCCATAGTCTGCATTTTAAAAAAATATAGAATTATAGACCTTTAAAGCCATGTTGATTCTGCACAATTTGGGGGGAAATATTATCGCTTTGCGACACTTGCTCCCTGTTGGGATGACATTAAAGAAACGAAGTCAAGAAAGACTTGAATGTGACCCAGAGACAGGCGTCCCACACTCAGACTGTGTGCATCTCACACCTCGTTTATGACACGCTTGAAGTGCAGGAGTGAACCAAACCATCCAAGAATATTCTCCTGCTCTGTTAATCAGAGCAATTCAATAAAACAGGCCTACAAAACTAGCTCAACAATGCAGATCATAAAGTCAGCAGTTGTTTTCCGTTTATGGCTCTTGGATAGTGTGACTATTTCATTTATCTGTGCTTTATTTGGTGGTTTATTTTTGTTTTACTTGGAATTTCATGAAGACTTTATTGAGTTCAGAAAGACTTCAAGTAAAACTTAGAGACAGAATCCAGTAGCATGATAATTTTTTGTTAAGACACAGGAAATCAAGCAGCCCAACCGCCTCACTTTATGGCTGAAGATACCAAGGCCAGAGTCAGAGGACTTGCCAAAAGTCTCCTGGTGACTGGATTGGAGCTAGAAGCCCAGCCCCTGATTTGACTTAATCCATTTCCTACTGTGCTTTAGCTCTATCTAGGATGCCGGCAAGTATTAAACCCTAAGGAGTTGCTCATGGTTCAGGATCAGGTCCTGGGGGAGGGGAGAGGGTCAGCTTTGAACAACCCATTATAAACCAGGACACATAAATATCCCTGCCCGGTGGACAGAGTGTCTAGAAGTAGTGAGATTTTGATTCCTGGGGAAACACTGGTCTACGCAAACCAGCGGGGAGTCAGCCTCTGAGCCATTAACCCAAGCAAATGTACTGCTCGGCACATGAGACACCACACAAATATTATCTCAGCTGCAATATTTCTGATTTGAGTATCAAGAGGCAAAAATTCATATGAGAAATACATCAAGTAATGCTGACTTACAAAATGTGAAATAAAAAATAAACTGGCAAAGCCAGAAATTTTTCAGGTTTAGAGTCTCATTTCCGGACAGAACCACCCAAACGGTCACTTTGTCTTGCACACAGCGCCACCTGCCGGCACAAACTGTGCACCTGCACAGGTGGGAGAGGTGAGAAGTTGGCCATTAACAGAAAGAGCTGCTTGCTCTTTTTGCAAATGAGGAGGCAGAAAATACCACTTCATTTTACTGCCAGAAGTTTCACTAGTAAAAAGTTGGATTACTGAGTTATGGAGAGTCCAGACTCGTGAACAAGAACTTACAGCTCCTACTTTACTAGTGGATCCGAAATCTACACTTGCTCACCATTATCTGGGTGGGTATCAGTCATCTTCTCTCTTGTAGAAGATAGAAATAAACATGTCCTTAAATAACAGATAATATTAAATAGATTTGCTGGCCACCTACCCATGCCAAAAAATTCAGCAAAAATAATTTACGTAAGATTAAATTACTTAGTCAAAGGCAACATCTTCACAGGAAAACTGCAGGAATGTGTTTTTAAATATTCTCCAGAGAAAGTAAACTTTGGAACACATTATTTTATTTCCTACCTCTGAAACTATAGTAAAGAGTTAATATGAATTCAGATCATGCACTTCACTGCTTTGAAAGAACTATCAGACTGACTATTTTTGGCAGGTGAAAATAAAGTCTGACCATTGATTGAATAACAACTTTCAATAACAAAGGAATGCTGTACTAAATGTATGCATGGATCATAGCTCGCCACCCAATTTCAGAAACACTGACGTGGAGAAGAAATAGACACAACACAATGTTGTCAGTGCTTGCCTCTGGGTGCTACTATGTTGAAAATTTTTCTGCTTTCTAATTTTCAGTTCTTCCATGTTTACCTACGATGAACATTACTACTCTATAAAGTAAGAAGAAACAGATGATTTTATTCTTTTTGTTGCTATTGTAAATGGGATTGTATTCTTGATTTCTATTTCTGCTACTTCATTGTTAGTGTATAGGAATGCAACTAGTTTTTTAAAATTGATTTTGTACCCTGCAACTTTGTTGTAGTGGTTGATTACTTTTATTAGGTTTCTGGTGGATTCTTCAGGGTTTTCTGTATATAGAATGATGTTATCTGCAAATAGTGAAAGTTTCACTTCTTCCTTTCCAATTTGTAATCCTTTTATTTCTTTCTCTTGCCTAATTGCTCTGGCCAATACCTCCAGTACTATGCTGAATAGGAGTGGCGGGAATGAGCACCCGTGTGGAGGTGAAAGATCTGTACACTGAAAACTATGACATTATTGAAAGAAATTGAAGAAGACATAAAGAAATGGAAGGATATTCCATCTTCACTGGTTGGAAGAATAAACATAGTTAAAATGTCCATACTATCTAAAGCAATCTACAGAGTCAATGCAATCCCAATCAGAATCCCAGTGTCATTCTTCACGGAAATAGAACAAAGAATCCAAAAATTTATATGGAACAACAAAAGACCTCAAATAGCCAAAGCAATCCTGAGAACAAAAAAACAAGCCTGGAGGCATCACAATCCCTGACTTCAAAACATACTACAAAGCTATAGTAATCAAAACAGCATGGCACTGGCACAAAAACAGACAAACAGATCAATGGATCAGAATTGAAAGCCCAGAAATAAAACCACACATCTATGGACAGCTTATCTTTGACAGAGGAGCCAAGAACGCACAATGGAGAAAAAAAAGTCTCTTCAATAAATGGTGTTGGGAAAACTGGACAGCCACATGCAAAAGAATGAAAGTAGACCATTATCTTGCACCATACACAAAATTTACCTCAAAATGTATTAAAGATTTGAATTTAAGACCTGAAACCATAAAACTCCTAGAAGAAAATATAGACAGTACACTCTTTGACATTGGTCTTAACAGCATCTTTTTGAATACCGTGTCTACTCAGGCAAGGGAAACAAAAGAAAAAGTTAACAAATGGGACTACATCAGACTGAAAAGCTTCTGCAAAGCAAAGGGAACCATGAACAAAATGGAAAGACAACCCACCAACTGGGAGAAAATATTTGCAAATCATTTATCAGACAAGCGGTTAATCTCCAAAATATATAAAGAACTCATACAAATCAACCTGATCAAAAAATGGGCAGAATATATGAACAGACATTTTTCCAAGAAAGATACACAGATGACCAACAGACACATGAGACGATGCTCAACATGTCTAATTATTAGGGAAATCCAAATCAAAACTACAATGAGATATCACCTTACAAGTGTCGGATGGCTATAATTACCAAGAAAAAACCCAGCAAATATTGGAGACAATGAGGAGAAAAGGGAACCCTCATACACTGATGGTGGGAGTGCAACCTGGTACAGCCACTATGGCAAGCAGTATGGAGATTTCTCAAAAAATTAAAAATAGCCATCTAGCTATCCCACTACTGGGTATTTATCCAAAGAACTTGAAATCAATGATCCAAAGAGATTTATGCACCCCTAGGCTCATTGCAGCATTATTCACAATAGCCAAGATGTGGAAGCAACCCAAGCGCCCTTCTGTAGATGGATGCATGAAGGGACCAAGATGTGGTATATATGTATTACATATGCAATGGAATACTACTCAGCCATAAAAAAGACAAAATTGTCCCATTTGCAAGAACATGGATGGGCCTTGAGGTTATGATGTTAAGCGAAATAAGCTAGACAGAGAAAGACAAATACTGCATGACTTCACTCATATGGGGAAGATAAACAAATACGTGGATAAAGAGAACAGATTAGTGGTTACCAGACGGGAAGGGGGCTGAGGGTGTGTGAAAGGGATAAAGGGGCACATATGTATGGTGATGGATAAAAATTAGACTTTTAGGTGTGAGCATGATGAAGTATATTCAGGAATTGGTAAATAATAATGTACACCCGAAATTACACAATGTTATAAACCATCATAATCCCAATAAAACTACTTGGAAAAAAAGAAAACAAAGACTTTAAAAAGTCCTGAAAATAAAAAAAAATTAAAAACCAGAAACAAATGAACACTTGAGAAATGGTAGAGAACTAGAGGGAGTATTACAACTGTTTGAAATTGGCTGTCATTGATTGTGAATTGCAACAACATCCTTTGACTGAAGAACTCAGATGTCTTCAGCAAAAAAGAAATTGTGAAACCCAGTTTTGGCACAGCATCTAGGCTCCCCCACCTTAAGGTGCTTTTAAAATATCATTGTTCCACTATTTACCAAAATGAGATGCTATGAACACGCCCAAAGTCTGCAAATGGAGGCCTCCTATTAACACTGGGAAAACAGTGTCCCCGAGTCAGTCTGACAACCTTTTCCATGTTTCCTGTGAGGGACAGTGGAGAAGGGTCTTCTCTGCGCCTCCGTCTCGCAAAGGTAAACTGTCCCAAGGGGGTGATTGCACGGTCTGCAGGGTCCCTTCCTGACAGTCTGTCTGTATCAGCAGACAAAGATTAGAGTCACCCTCACTCCGGAACCCTGAGCTCTGGGCCCCCATGGGCATATGCTCGCCGTGAACACATCATTCCTCGTGCAGTGGCCCCAGGACCAGACAGGTTTGCCGAAACTTCTTACCTTGTAAATTCATTTTGGATGGCTCGATTGAGAGAATATTCATCCCCAGAGAATTTCCCATGAATTATAAACAAATGCAGGAGCAGCATGAGGATGTACATGCAAATGTCTCTACAAGAAAGAAATTTTAAAGTTAGCATCCTCACAGACCTGGCAAAACATTTTTAATGGAAGTGGTTTTTAAATGCCCAGGTGGAAATTTTTGTATAAAGTGTGAGATATGTGTGTATGTGCAAATAACATCCAATTTTCTAGTACCATTTTTGAAGAAGCCTCTTCTTTCTCCATTGGGTTGCCTCTGTGCCTTTTAGAACGAGCAAATTTGTGTGGTCCATTTCTGGCTCTCTATTCTGTTCCTGATCTACGTGTCTGTTGTGTCACTAATTCCATACTGTCTTCGTTACTGTCGCTTTGTAGTAAGTCCTGTAGTCGGGTAGTGTCAGTCCTTCCACTTTGTTCTTCTTTTTCAAAATTGCTTGGTTAGTCTAGTTCCTTTGTTTCCCACGTAAATTTTAGAATCAGCTTGTCAATACCTATAAAAAAGCTTGCAGGATTTTTGTTAGGATTGCATTGAATCTGCAGATCAAATTGGAAAGAACTGACACCTTGACACTACAGCCATGCACCGCATAATGATGTTCCATCAAACACGGACCATAAAATTAGTCCCATATAGCCTAGGTCTGTAGTAGGCTATACTATGTAGGTTTGTGTAGACATGCTCTATGATGTTTGCACAATGACAAAGTTGCCTAAGGACACATTTCTCAGAATGGAGCCCTGTTAAGGAAAGAGTTACTGGATGTATTGAGTGTTCCAATCAATGAACACCGTATCTCTCTCCATTTAATAGGATCTTCTTAGATTTATTTTGTTAGCGCTTTGTGGTTTTCAGCATACACATTCTGCATGTTTTCTTAGGTTTATATCTATGTACTTCATGTCTTTGGTGCTATTGTAAATGACATTGCTTTTCAAATTTTAAATTCCAATCATTCATTGCTGGTATATAGGAACATGATTGACTTTACGTTGACTTTTATCCTGCAACCTTTCTAAATTTACCTTTTAGTTCTTGGAGCCTTTTTCATAGATTATTTGGGATTTTCTGCATAGACTATTCACGTCATCTGCCAATGAACTTCTTTATTTTTTCCTTTCAAATCTGTAAGCTTTTAATTTCTTTTCCTTGCCTGGTGCGCTGCTTAGGACTTCCACTATGAGGTTTAGTAGGAGTGGTGAGAGAGGACAAGCTTGCCTTGTTTCTGATCTTAAAAAGCACTCGCTGTCTCGCCATTCAGTCTGAGGCGAGGTGTAGGGTTTTCATAGACACCTTTTATTAGTTTAGGGGAGCTCCCTTCTATTCCTACTTTGCTGAGAGCTGAGGTTTCTTTTTTCATGACCGAATGTCCAATTTTGTCAATTGCTTTTTTTCTGCATCTCTTGAGATGATCATACGATTTTTTAAACTTCATCTGTTAACATGGTGGATTACATTAACTATTTTCTTCTCATGTCTCTTTTAATCTATAGGTAGCATTTCCATCTCTTTTTGGTTTTTTTGCAGTTTATTTGTTGAGAAAACTGGCTCTTTGTGCTGTAGATCTCTCACAGGCTTGCTTCCCGTGGGGACCTGCTGAGTGTGCTCTCACTGAAAACTGCCAGTGGGCACAAAAGCTCGATCGGATGAAGACTGGGCTGTTTTGAGCAGGTTACCCCATAGGTGATGTATGTTTTCGATCAGGAGACACACAATGCCTGATTGCCTCTCTTTTTTGTATTGGCTGTTGTTGATAAATTAATGCTTAGACTCATTCATTCATTAAAGGTTACAAAAATGGTCAGGTTCTAATTCGATCATTTTGGCTTCGTCCATTAGCTGGAATATCTCTATAATGAGAAATACCCCCTCTCCTTTATGCGATTTCCCGGGGGGCGTATTTGCATAGGAAAGACGGGGTTGATACTTCATCACCAGTTTTTTTAAAGTTGGTTCCTGAACATCCGCCAACACTGATCAATTACATTTTTGGCATCATCACAAACTCATGGCTTTATGTACATTTGATGTTCGTTACAGTTCCAATTCGTTACAGTTACTGTTCCTGATTGGATGTCAAATTACCCCATCTTTGACCCAAGTGAACCTCTACAAATTGGCTTCTGACTCCAGTAGTCATTAACTGCTTCCTTGCTTAAGAAATATTCCAGACTTATCTTCTACATTTTCTATCACAGACTTGAAATCAGGAATTCCAATGATTCCTAGTTCTTTTTGGTGGAAAATGGTATTTGTAGACCAGGATGTAGGTGCTAGGGGGTGCCCACTGCTCCTGAGTTGTTTTTAGACCTTTTCTTAGCAGACACACCTGGAAAAACATTTTTTTCCTTAAAAAAAATAATATTATTTTGTACTTATAATTTCAGTTCAAATTCAGGACTACAGGGTTTTAACTCTTTTGAACTCAAGTCTGTATCTCCTTTCTCCCACACCAAGAATCCCACTTTCAAGGTTACCAGGAACGGCAGAATTAGAAAGTCATGGAATTCCTCATTTGTTTTATCTCACTATGAATCAATAATCGGAATAAAGATACCAACTCTCCCCTAACAATACAGCTAGTAAATAATACCTGTACAACTTTTTTCCCTAGGTGTTTTTTTTTACGTCCTTAGGGACTAGACTTGTAAAGTCAAATTTTTAAATTTTAACACAAAGTTTTGAAAATTATATTCCTTCCCTCCCCCATAAGTAACTATTTTCTAAAGTGGTACGGGCTCTCTCTCCTTGTTTGTTTTATTTAGGATAAGTGGATGCACATGAATTAGATGTCTATCTTCTTCCACTAAGGGTTGGCAGCACCTGCACCTTCCTCTCCACCCTGCCTCTCTCCTGGAGCAGACTCCGGAGAGTTCTCCCCAAGTGTGCACAGATGGTCCTCGTGTGTTTTTGTAGCCGAGCACTGCTCCACTGCGTTCTGGTCCCCTCAGAAGAGATCTGGGTTATTTCTAGGCTATTCCTATTATAACAGGTCCTGCACCACTTGTCTTGTGCCTGGGTCCTCTCGTGTTTTTGCTAATTTAAGAGTGATCCCTAGAAGTGGGCATGCTGGGTGAAGGGTGAATGCTCCTATAACTGTGTTGGAGATTTCCAAATTCGCCCACAGGGGCGCTACCATTTTACCTTCACACCAGCACTGCGGGATGGCACCTGTTTTCCACAAGCTCACCAACCAGAGAACGCAGTCAAATTTTGGATTTTCAGTTTTAATTGGCACTTCTCTTCCTGTAAGTGGAGGTGCCATTTGCATTTCTTTTTTTCTGTGAACTGTCTATTCACTTCTCGAGCCCATTTTTTGTTCTGAAGAGTTGTTGGTCCTTTTCATTTTTTGAACCTTTTTATATACTCAGATGAGACCTTTGTTACAAATATTTTCTCCTTGTCATTATCTTTACTTTGCACAGTATCATTTGCCACAGTTTGGTTTTCTTTCTTCTTCAAGTTTTATGTCACCAACTTATTTTTCTTTTCCCTTTTTGTTTCTGGATTTTTAGTCATATGGAAGTTTTTCCTTTTTTTTTTCTTTTAAAGATTGGCACCTGAGCTAACAACTGTTGCCAATCTTTTTTTTTCTTCTTCTGCTTTATCTCTCCAACCCGCCCCCCACCCCCCCGCACAGAGTTATATATCTTGGTTGTGGGTCCTTCTAGTTGTGGCATGTGGGACGCCGCCTCAATGTGACCTGACGAGCAGTGCCATGTCCGCGCCCAGGATCCGAACCCTGGGCCGTCGCAGCGGAGCGCGCAAACTTAACCACTCGGCCACCGAGCTGGCCCTGGAAGTTTTTCTCACTCACAGGTCACAGAGGAACTTACTCATGCTTTCTTCTAGAACTTGTATGGTTTTGCTTTTTACATTTAAAGCTTTATCCAGTTGGACTTTACCTGTGTATGGTGTGATGAAGCATCCAATTTTATTGTTTTCCATATGAGTATTCAGTTATCCCAATTCCACTTATGAAAAATTCCACCTTCTACAAAGATTTGCAATGCCACCTTATCACGTATTCACTTTGGCATTCGTGTCTGGGTTTCCTCTTCTGCTGCATGGAGCTGTTGTTATTCAAGTGCCCAAGGCCCCTCTCCTGGAGCAGAGGGCTGCAGCCCGCTTTACCGTCGTGGAGCAGAGCTAGCCTCACCTCCTTGCTCTGCCTGGTCAGGGTTTCCTGGCTGGCTATTTGTGTTTGTTCTTCCAAAGTAACTTTATAATTGAGCAGAACTAGGAAATAAAATCTGATGGCATTTTATTGGGATTGTATTAAATTCATAAATGGATTTTAGAGAGAACTTAGGAAGACATGACATTGTGTCTTCCTAGTCAAGAACATGGAGCGTGTTTCCTTTGCTTTTGTCTATATTTGTGTTTTTCAGGTCTTCCTATATAAGTATTGTACATTTCTTCTTAAGATCATGCCTAAGTGCTTTCACTGTATTTTATTTATGTGCTGCGTTGAATGGAGTCTCTGTTGCATCTTTTCCTGGCTTGCACTTGGGTACAGAAGGATATTGGGTTTTGTATTTTAATTTTATAACCTGCTTCTTTACTAAATTTCCTTACTGTCTATATTATTTTGTTTGTTTGTTTTTGTGCGATTTTCCATAATTTATTGCTGTCATAGGCAAAAAGGCTGGTTTGCCTCTCTCCCAGTCTGCTGTCTCCCACAGCTCTCTCTGGGCCTGCCTGTCCTGCTGGGTCTGGGCGCTGCCCCAGTGTCTTCCCCTCCCTCTGTGTGAGGCGGGGCCTGGGCATAGCCGGGCTTGGTTAGTTTCTAGGGCTCAGCTGGCTGGCTGGCTCCAGACTTGCAGGCTTGCCCTCACCTGGGAGTGGGAGTCTCAGAGGAACCCCCCACATTGCCCATGAATAATGCCTGTGGCGCCTAGGGTCCTCCAGTTCTCAGGCTGTCAGCACCCCAGCACTTCCTTCTGCCTGGTTCTGTAGAATGCCCAGCTACAGGTCTCCGGGTGCTCACTGGTTTGTCCCACCTGCCTTTGGGGGCCTGTGGAGGACAACTCCTCATCTCGTTTTGTTAAAATGCATGTGTTCTGTGGGTTTTGTTCTGCTATCTAATTGCTTCATTTTTGTGGGGAGATTTGGCAAGATTAAAACCCTTGCCACAGCTCCACTTCCTCTTCTTCCATCCTCTCCCACTCTCCTTTGAACGTGACATTCTAATGGTGCCCCACACTGTACTGAAGGAGTCTTTAAGAAGACAGCTGGAGGTGGTTCCATTGCACGCTTTAACTAAACTACATTTGGAAAAATATCAGGAATTCCCAAATCCTTGACCAACTACATCAGAAGGATTTGAGACACACCAAATAATGTTTGGAATTTAGAAAAAGTTTCAGCTAGTGTGTATATAAGGCTCCTTACAGTAGTTCAACCCAACATCCACCATGGATGAGGTGGGAGAATGGGTACCATTGAGAGAAACGGGTCTGAGGTCTAAGCTGCAGAGGTTTGTCATGAGCGTGCTATTTCTTAAGTTTTGTGTTTTATCTAAAAAAAAATCAAGCAGATTTCGCCTTGAGTACCATAATGTATCTGTTTGTATTTTAACATTAAACTATTTTATAAATACTTGTCATTGGGCTAAATTGATGCACCAGGAAGAGGTGTTTAATTTTTCTTATGCCTTCCTGCACCCGTGTGTACCCTAGTTGGACAAGCAGAAGTCCCCAGCAGCATGCTAAGTATAGATACGGTGGGGATCAAATCTGATTATGTGCGTGAACATCTGCATTGATAAGGGAGCTGAGGCCCAGAGGGGTAAATTTCTTAACCAGTTTCTCAGCCCTGCTACTGGCAGAACCAAGCAGTTCAGTTTCTCTGCATCCCACGCACTGAAGAGCTCGGTGGTCCAGCTGAAATGGTGGCATTGGGGCCAGCAAGGCTTCCCACCTGTGCTCCCGACTCCCAGATGCTGATGGCCCTCCCTTGAAAGGGGAGCTGGACCAGAGCAGCCATCGCAGGCCTCCACCTACCTCAGCTCCTCTCGAGTTCGCATTTCTCTTCTCATCCTCTCCCTGGTGACTCTGAGCTGGGCTGGGGACGGCGGACATGCCCAGCGCAGGCGGCGTGCTCGTTGTCGGGCAGCCAAGACCTGTGGGGATGAGGGAGCCCTGAGCCTGGGGCTGCGGGGAAGGGAGAGAGGGCCTGGCATTCCCGCCAGGCCAAGCAAGGGCAGCATTGCTACCTTTGCACTGGGACCAGGGTTTGGGGACAGCATTACTTTGTGCGGATCCCATATACCAGGTTGTAGGGAAGCAGGTCGGGGAAAGGAGTGGATCCGTTACAAACTCTGCTCCCGTCCCGGGCCAGCCTGTTGACGGGGGTCCCAACTGCCCCATCACACACAGTGGCTGCACCTGAGGGGCCTGTTTGCCACTGTCAATCACAGGGGACATTCTTTTGGCATTTGCACGGTATGTTCTCTTAGAGATGCTCAGGGTGGAAAAGCCACTTTGAAGTATGGTCTTAGCAAGAAATGACCTCTGTTTTCCTTTTTTTAAAAAGCACCATTACTTTCATATTAAATTTGTGTCTGGTGAGGGCATGGCAGCAGCCAGGGAAGGTAGTCATTTGTTTATTTCTCACTCATTCAATCAACACACATCTCCTGAGCCAGGCACTGGGTCGGGTACTTGGGACAGCTCACAAATCAGGGGCAGTCTTTTCTCTCAGAAATGTATGGCAAGTTCATAAACAATGGAAGGTTAAATTGGGAAGTTACATGTGCAGAACCTTCCGGAGTCCTGAGGAAGGACATGGCAGGGCTGCTGGACACCTCGGGAAGTCAGGTGAGCGGGGCACCAGCACCGGATCAGGGCTGCATTCATGGGAAGGTCCTACCCCCGAGGCTGAGACTATAGACAGAGAAGGAGTAGACGGCAGCACAGTAGGTGCAGCGGCACACGAGACAGAAAAGGAAAGAGAGTCTCTGAAGAAGACGGGAAAGTCCAGATCCGAAAGGTGGAGGGAAACCAGGACAATGCGGCTTCTCAAATGCCACTGGGCTGAGGGTGCAGGAGAAAGGGGTGAGATGGACTGAGGTTTGGAGCCCAGACCCAACGTTACTACTCATGAGCCTTGGTCTAGCTACTTGATGCCTCCAGGCTTCAATTTTACTCATCTTCAAAAGGGGGTGCAACACTGCTCCCACTTCGTAAGGTGTTGTAAGGAATAAATGATGCCATAAGCGTAAACAAAGTGTGTGAGAGAAGCCGAGCGCAGAGTTGACACTCACCGCACATTTATCATCAGCATCAGGCGTCCCGGGTAAGGCTGGGAGTTACAGGGGAGGAAGCCTTCGGACAGGTCACCACAGTGGCCATTTGGCCAGTAGGAGCTCATGGTCTCCTCTGAGAGGATGGGAGTAGGGATGGGGAGCCGTGGGGATGAGGTCTGTCCGTGAGTGACCTGGGACTGTGTCCTTGGTCGGAGCCGACTGCTAGTCATTCCACACAAGTACACAATGCCTACTGCAGGTCATTGCCCTAGGTTAGCAACAAGCCCGTGCACTTCTTTGTGAGGGCCCGGAGACCTTTCACTTCCTTCACGGCATCCACACTGTGCAGGAGAACTCCACACACACAACAGGAAAGACTGACTTTCAGAAAGAAGTAAGGAAGGAGGGAGGGAGGAAGGAGTAACTTTTCCCTGTGTCCACCGAAATGCATATGACTTAAAAATTCTCCAAAATCATGGCCAAGAATTACATGTCCCATTTGCTTCAATACTTTAAAGTAAGCTCATGTTCTGGGTGCTCCGATTTCTCTGGGATTAGGGTAAGGGTAAGGAAATAGATCCCACGTGCTTGCTATCACATAGAATATGCAAAGCAGCATAAGGAATTAAAATGTATCCACGCATCTCCCAGAACACAACCGAATTTGAATTCAAGAGTGAGTTCAGATTCGCACGATGGGGACATAAGGCAGTTCAGTAAAGCCCGGTTAACGTGCACGGACTGTATCCTCACTTTTTCCACCTCACTTGCACTGTCAGGAATGCTGCAGCCTGAAGAAAGGGGCATGCGGGTCCTGGAAAGTTCTTCCAGTTCAGAGTCCAGACCCTTGGTAGCTTCACGTAAAGACTCAGTGAAGAAGTGCTTGTCGTCTTTCCTTCTCCAAGCAAAGCCCAATGCCGCGAGGCCGATCTGGAAGGAGACAGCGACACACGGAGTCACCGCACCACGTCTGTGCGCCCCAGAGCTGCCCTTGTTTCCTGGTGGGACGGGACTCTGGGCCTAGCTTAAACACACACTAGTGTGTCACTTGCGTTGGTTCTGGCCCACTCACTCCCCAGGCGAGGCCTTGGGCCAGAGACTCTGCTCCCCAAGTCTCAGGGTCCCAATGAAAGACGGGGGGTGAAGAGGCTCCCTCCCGCTGGGATCTGTCTGAGGACTAGCTGAGAGGCCCACATGCGGCTCCGCACGAGGCCTGGCTCCCAGTTTTTCCTCAACACACCTTAGTCAAGCTGTGAAGAAAAGCAATACGTCACCAAAACGGAGCCGCCATCCCCCTTCCAGGTCCCAGTTGATGGAAAGTGACTCTAATCTGGAGGGCGCTGCTCACCATAAGCGGCTGGGTGACGAAAACACAGCACACCACCGAGAGGGCCAGCAGGCGCAGCCACTGCAGACACTGCGTGGGGCTAAACCTGTCCCCAGGAAGAGAGCCGCCGTCAGCACCCTATCTAAGCACAGGGACACAGGCTGGAGGGCCCACACCCTCGTGACAGTGTGACGGGGGCAGGAGTGGGGCTGCAGTGGGGAAGGGGCAGTGCGGGTGGGCATCGTGCTGTTCTGCCCAACAGAGGGGAGTCTCTTCCTGCCGAGAGGGGACGTCACCTGCCCTGAAGCTGCTGAGTGGGAAGGAGAAATCCCACACACAGAGCGCAGAGAGGGGACGCGGAGGAGAATGGGCGGATGCTAATAACAGTGAACTTCGCACCTGCTGAGCACTGAGCGGGGCAGGCGCTGTGCTAACAGCATTGCACTGAGGGCTTCATCTGCTCCCCCTAAGACCCTGTGAACTGGGCGCTAGGAATATTCCTGTTTCACAGATGAGCAAACTGAGGGGGTTTTAAGTAAGTTGCCCATCATCACAGTGATTCAGTACATGCAATTGGGAGAAAGGAGAGTTGGGAGGAAAGCTTCTTGGTTTTGTGGTTACTCTTCACAGTTTAGGTCGGTGTGGGTCCACGGGAGCCACACTGAATATCCTGGGGTCCTGACAGTGGACCCAGCAGCCCAGGAACCAGATCAAGAGGCAGCGGCTGTGGTGGGACAGAAATGGAATCTATGAAATACGCGCCACAATCTCTGCCTCGCAGGGTCTGCTTTTTCAAGTGACGGGGACCATTAAGGACATGCTCTTTGCCTGTGTACCCGGCTCAAAGCCGGCCCTCTAGGGAGCTCCGTAGCTGGGTTCCCTACTTCCTGAGTGAGGGTCCTGCAGCTTCTTGCAACATCTGAGACTCCATCCAGGCCGGGCTGCCATCCTAGAGTGGGCCAGGCGCATATGTTTCTCTTCACCCCCAGGGCGGTGGAGCGGGGAGGAGAGAGAAATGAAGCCTACATCGGCAACAGCCACATCTGGGCTTGCATTTTCTGAGTTGCCAGAAACACAGGGATTTCCTTATAAATGCCAGACTTTCCACCCAAAGACCTGAGGATATTTGAAAACCTCTATGGCTCACCTGTATCCTAGAAATCCTGTCCCCAAGCCACAGGCCACAGACACCATCCCGCAAAGGACCCACGCTGCAGAGCCAGACCAAGGCAGAGGTGCCCTTGGCCACCGGGGAACGGTGAGTTCTTCAAACCCACCGCCAGGGCCTAAGAAAGAATAGGCAGAGGCACACACGTTAACAGATCTCATCATTTCCATGCACCCAAGGGCAGTCGCTAATTTTATGTGTCAACTAGACTAGGCCATGGGGGTGCCCAGACATGTTGTCAAACATTATTCTGTGTTTTTCTGGATGAGATTAACGTCTGACTGAGTAAAGCAGATGGCTCTCCCCAATGTGGGTGGGCCCCATCCAATCAGGTGAAGGCCTGAATAGAACAAAAAGGCTGACCTTCCCTGAGTAAGAGAGAATTCGTGGGCCTGACTGCCTTCAGAGTGGGACATCGGCTTTTTCCAGTTGTAGGATGTGAACTAGAACATCACTTCTCCTGGGTCTCCAGGCTGCCGACTGCACACCTTGGGACTTGTCAGCCTCCATGATTACGTGAGCCTGTTCCTTATAGTAAATCCCTTTCTATACAGACATACACATATCCTATTGGTTCTCACTCTCTGGGGGACCCTGACTAACACCCAGAGATTCCTAATTTTACTGCAGTGGGGTCTTTACTCTCTTCCCATTTCTGTCTCATCTGACAAGCCCAACATTCCGCCATCCCTCTGCCTTCTTCACAGATAACAGGCCTCCTGTACTTTTAACATTGTCTTCACAAGTTTCATAGTTTATGGAATTTGCATTTCTGCCTAGAGTTGCTGGGTCTACATGGTAGACCACTGCATTTAGTAACCATCCTCTCCAGCCTGGGTGAAAACATGTGATCATTCTCAGAGCCAAGTGCTGTGTACAATCAGCATCGTCCATCCAGATTATGCCACTGTCTGGGCTATTCTCTGTTGCTCTATCTGCCCCACAATTTGTATTTTTCACTATGCGTAGCAAGGAGGCGGGGGAAGGGGCAGGAAGGAGGGCAGGGGCCAGGGCAGAGGAGGGGGCCTGTCCCGGGCGAGCAGCGACTCCCGCTCACGATTGAGTAATTTCTCAGGAGCTGAGCACGTAATCAGAGTTGCCCCCATACATTTCCTTGTCTCTGAGTGGAGGTGTCTGGAGCCCCATTTTCTCAGGTGATTGCTTACAGGTAACCCCAATCAGGGCACAGCCAGAGGCAGAGGCAGTGTTACTCCAGGGCAACCCGACACAGAGAGTTTAGGGGGACTGAGGAGCGCTCGCCCGTTGGGAAGCTGGCGTTAGGCAGACGAGCGACACTCACTGCACATAAAACAAGACATGTTGAAAACAAGACAAGAGGCCCCAGATGGAGTCGCTTATGCTAAGCTCCACGTCACCAAACAGAGACTCGACTTAATTACAGTTCCGGCTCTCCCAGAAGTGGAATCTTAAACCAGTCAGTCAGGAATCGCCTGGTCAGCACTAGTGAGGTCATCTGCCCCACAGCCCCTGTCGCCCCTAAGGAAAGCAACTTTGCCACAACCAATCTACCTTTTGCCTGATACGACTTCCCCATTCCCGCTCCCTTCTGCCTGTCTGTCTTTCATTTGGCACAACTGCTTTCTACCTGCTGGATGGGATGCTGCCTGGTTCATGAAGCATTGAATAAAGCCAACAAGATCTTTACGATTTACTCTGTTGAATTTTGTTTTTTAACAGCTGGAAGGCAGAGCAGTCCTGAGCAGTACGTGTGTACGTACTTTCTAGATACCTCATCTGTATCTGGTCTGTCAGGCGTGAGTCTTTGTACTCCTGCACCTGCCCTCCTGGCCCTGTGCGCATGTCGAGCTGTCGTGTAAGGCTAGTGTCCTTGGGCTGAGTTTGCCCTCCAATTCCCAGCTGGTACTGGCGCCTGCACCAACGGCTCACCCACCTACCTGAGGGCCCAGCCACTTGTGGAAACCAAAGTTTTTATGCCTCCTCAGAGTGAAGGGTGATGTGCGTGTGGGCCCAACCAGACTAGGCCTCCTTGGGCTGCAGGCGCGGGCCTTGCCAACCCTGTGCCATAGAGCAGCATTCACAGCTAGCGCCCGAACCCAGTGCTCGAGGACCTGGGTGACCAGGAACCGCAAGAATTCCCTGTTCCTTCACCACACCACCCTGGGCCCTGCAGCCATGTCCTGTAGCCACGTGCCCCTGCCAGGCCATCCCTGACACAGACCCCTTTGGACAGTACTGAGCAGGTATGTGGCTGCCCTCCTGGGACCCAGCTTGCAGAGGGTCAGCTTCTGTGCACACAGCCCCTTTTGATCCTGCAGTTCCACTTCCACTGGCTCATTGCTGAGCTTTCAGCTATGGTCATTATTCACTCTAATTTGCATCAAAAAAATGCCAAGCTTCAAATTTCTTAACTTAAAGAAAAGCTAAGATACTACTACTGAGTTTTTAAGATATGACCAAACTCATGTAAGTATATGGCAGAAATCACCAGGACTTTAGAGCAAAGCTGCAGCCTCAGTTTCAGATGCGCCTGGGGTAGATGTGACCAGAACATTCAGTCACACTTGACCCGACTCCCGCTCCGCACACCCTGCTTCTCCGGACGAGCTGCAGGTTGGGCTCCATACCTACCACTGACTCACCCTGTAAACTGAGAGTGCAGGGGTCACTCTCCTCCCTCGGAGCAGGCTGGCTGAGGTCAGCCCTGTCGGCCTCTGGTTCAGGGGGTGAACAGCCTGCACCATCACTGCTTGCTGCCCTCCTCGGGGCCCCGCCATTCTCAGAAAGAACGTTATGCTAGAAAAGGCAAGGTGAGGATGAGGTTAATGTCTCAATACACAGGGTTTTCCATATAGTAATGCAATTTGTGAGCCTCCTCAGGATTTGAGCACAGCCCAGCCGACTTTGTCAAGCCTCAGGCCTGGAGATGGGTTCTGGGGAGGAAGCATAGGCAGTGCCGGGTGCCAGCTCCTTCGCACCCTGCACAGCCAACGATGGAGTACCAACAGGCTCCACGCAGCCAAGAGTGACTGTGCAGCTGCCCGCTGGGAGGCCGACCTGGACCCTGGCAGAGCAGAAATCGGCCCTGAGCAGTGGATGGGGTGAGGTTCAAGGCAGAAGGACAGAGAGCCAGCCTGGGCGCAGGGAGTGGACACGCTTCGAGAAGGAGAGCGGAGGGGAGAGCGGGCCTGGAACGCAGGCTTGGGGACAGAGCGCCACCCTCAGGAATGGCTCTGAACAGGGAGTCAGAGCTCGGAAAGCATAGGACTCACATGTATCCTGAAACACTTCCACAGAGAAGAGTCCACTTAAGCTAAAGGCACATCCTGCAGATCCAGCGAGACGAAGTGGAGAACTACTTAGAAACTGCCTTCAACTCGCCCCGTGTCACAGGCCGGGTCTGTGCATGTGGGACCTGGAATGGAGTGCACCCAGCATGGGGGTAGCTTCTCCTGTCCCTACCTCATGGGGGGCTGAGGAGCAGCTGAGCCAACACCCGGGGCTCTGCCTCACAGCATCTCTCCCACTGGATCTGACAATGGCCCCTGTCAGGCCCAGCTTCTAAAATGTCACTGTCAAGCCAGCCCGTGGCCTAGTGGTTAAGTGTGGCGTGCTCCACTTTGGTGGCCCAGGTATGGTTCCCAGGCACAGACCTATACCACTTATCAATGGCCATGCTGGCAACGGCTCATATACAAAAAGAGAGGAAGATTGGTAACAGATGTTAGCTTCAGGGTGAATCTTCCTCAGGAAAAAATAAAAGTCACTGTCTGTCCATACATAGCTTTGCAAATTCTGCAGGCTGTACCCCTGCCCATCTGGCCTCTCCTAAGATTCCTGGACAGCTGCCCCCATGGCCTGCCTCCTGGGAAACGACCTTCTCTCTTCACAGCACCCGCCACTGCTCACTGGCCCCAACGGGCACGACGGGTTCCTGCATATCTTTCCCTCATCTCCATCCACCCTTACTCTGACCATCCATGGCCAGACCACAGCCAAGAGAGGATGCCAGAAAAACCTAATTGTTAGAATTTTATGCCAGAGAATTAGCTGCTGTGTGTAATTATATTTACCTTGTATGTCTTCTGTGCGTCTGGCATCCTTCTACTCGAATTAGGGCCTGATTAAAAAGAAATCAAATTTATGATGTGAAACCAGGGATTAAGGGTTCCTGAGGAGAGCACTTTCTTCAGGAAATACTCTTGCCTCCGACTCCACCAGGACGGGCCTTCCTGAGACACAGATGTGGCTGCAAGGAGGACTTTCAACATCGCCATCCTGCTGTGGCCTGGACAACCCATCGAAATGGCTTTTAAACATGAAATGAAGCTCAGTTTTCCTCGTAATGAGCACAATGCAATGGCGAGTAGGACATGCAATGTCTGTCCAGTAGACTGGCCAAAAAAGATCAGCTGCGATGGGCAAGCGTCTTTAACTCTCGCCTTCCAGACTTCATCATTTTCCTGTTGCTGTGTTTTTAGAACAAACAAAATCACCTTTTAAACTTTTTTAAGTGCACACTTACCCTGAGCTGCCTCTGTCCTCACTGCTCTCAGGGGCAGGTGTGGCTCTTCTCCAGGAGGCCCTCTGGCTTCCTGCAGAGGTATGGAGGTTGTTCAGAGAGGGCATCGGGCAATGAGGGCACCGCCCAGGAGAACAGGGTCATGCAGACCAGTTGCTGGTACCTGGCTGAGCCTGAAGAACAGCGACAAGAGCTGCGCCCCCGGAGAAGCCAGAAGGGTGCACAGGAAACCCATCCAGAAGGATCCAAGAGTGACCTCAGTGGGGCCGACATCCAACATGAGCTGCAATAACCCAACGGCAGCAATCACATCGCCCGAAATGAGTCCGACTTAAAACATATGGTCATTTTGTAATCACAAAGGTATTTAATGTGATACCTACTTTATACTTAACCAAAGTTCACTCTCCCTGAATCTTTGACCTTCTACCTCAGGAGTGAAAAAGAAGAAAAAAACAGGTCATAAGAAATCTTTCGAGGGCACCGGCCCCGTGGCTGAGTGGTTAAGTTCGCATGCTCTGCTTCAGTGGCCCAGGGTTTCGCCAGTTCGAATCCTGGGCACCGACATGGCACTGCTCATCAGGCCATTGCTGAGGCGGCATCCTACATGCCACAACTAGAAGGACCCACAACTAAAAATACACAACTATGTACCAGGGGGCTTTGGGGAGAAAAAGAAAAAAAGAAAGAAATCCTTTGGTTTTTCTCCCGTACAAATCTTTTGGACTGAACAAATGTCTGTGGAACGCCCACTTTATGCCAGGCACACCACATGCTCAGCTGACTTAATCCTCACTACAACTGGACAAAGAGAATCAATACCCCCGATGTACTGATGAGCACAAAGACAACTGGTCGACCTCAGAGGACAGAGCACCCTGAGGTTTCCTGACTGCAGGCCCCGTTCTTCAGGAAGCTGTTCCCTTCCTGCTACTTGATGATATTTCTTCGTCATCTTCTTACAAATGCCACACGTATGTCACTTTAGTAAAAAAATCCTGCCATTTCATTACTGTTATTGCATGAACTCCAAATACTTGTGCTCTCTGTTGGATGCACCTCCTGAACCCCACCTCTGAGATGGACCCCTCAGCACATTCCCAGCCACTGGGGGCCCATGAATGGCCATGAGGTTGTCATAAGAAGCAAATCTGACCGTTTGCCCTCACCCCAACAGTCATACTGTAATTTTTGCCTCAGGAGAGGCAGGGCCTCCATTCTAACTGCTTGTGCTGATTTAGAATTAATCTCCACATCTCGTGAGGGTCCGTTAGACCAGAAACACCAAAAGGCATCCCAAGGGCAAATGTGGCTATCAGAACTGTTCTCTTTTTCAGTCAGAGGATGTTTAATTTGAATTAATTGCCAACCTCATAAAATGATTCAAGAGCACTCTCATCAGACACTCCAGGCTGCTGACACCTGTGGAGAAGCCATGCTCTGTGGCACGGGAGTCACAGGTTCACACAGGGAGCAGTCAGCTGAGGCAGGCTTGCGCCTGCTTCCCCCGGAGCCCACTGCCCTGCAGACCCCTCCTGATTCCTTCCAGGCCCACGGGTCTCTTCCCCTGCATAAGCCTTTCCCTGAGGACTGTGCATTTTGCTAATTCCTGAGTCAAGAAGGCACCACACTGTAGGTCTGGGAGTGGGAGGCTGGGGCCTACCTGCTCCTGTCCCACAGTGGTGAGCAGGGCAGTGAGGCCTGCGTAGGCGCAGAGCACGGCGAAGGCCACGGTGAGGCGCGGGGTGTGCAGGAGGCCACTGCCCGAGGGCCGGCTGAGCACAGAGGTCCAGACGTGGAAGTCCTCCAGATACTCCATGAACTTCCAATACCAAAGCTGAAACCAACCAAACAAGAGAGACGCTCAGCGACATCGGGCATTCATACAAACAGCATGAAATCTCGGTTGACAATCAACCATTTTCCGCATGGAGACGCCACAGTCTCACGGCCCTCCTATCCCAGCTCTTTAGCCCCAGGCCCTTTGCAGCTGGCTCCAGCCTTCCAGCCTTGTCTGCAGCCCCTCTCTCTGACCTTCCGCTGGGGCCCCCGGAGCTTTGAGACAAACTGTCCCTCAGCCGCCATGCTTGTGTCACCTTTGAATGCCTTCACACCCTTCTCTCTGGAGCCTCTGTTTATAAACCCTCACCTGGTGGAACTGATCACATCTTTCCTTGTGTTCCTAAGAGATGGTTAAAAACCCTCCATTCCTAGCATGTTCCCCTGCAACACGGTGAACTTTGCTGGGCTTCAAGCACACTGCGGGCTGGGAGCGCGCTCACCCACCTCTGTGCCCTGAGTAGCCCTGCGGGGTTGGCTGCAGTGGGCAACATGCTGCCTTTGGAACTGCACCGAGCTCAAAAGGTTCAGTTCAACTCCAATAACACTCAGTGCTCAATGCTGTTCTAGAGAAAACAGGATGACCAGCAGCAGAACATAGAAGCAAATATCAGCAAAACAGCTTCAATGGGATGAGAATATATTTTTATATAAATGGACTGGCCAACAAAGGTACAGCATTGATTCATAGCCCACAGCCACATGTGCATCCATATGACTAAACTAATAAGTCTACGTTTCTCTCAGAAAGTTCTCAGACAAAACAGCTGGAGAACAAACAAAGTGACAATATTTAGTTATAATTACTTAGAAATAATTGTCAAAAGGAAAGTCCCAGTTGAATCAGGCCTTCAGTGTTAAGCGCTGAAGAATTTCCATATGCTGCGGCTGATTAAAAGTTCTATTTCAAATTCATTGTGATCATTTTTCTTACTAAATTAGCAGCATCAAGACTGAAAATGCCAAAGTGGTGAGCCTGGCCCTCTCTTCCATGGCAGGTGGCGATAAGGACACATTAGAAAGAAAGGTCCAGTGAAACGGGAGGACGTCAGCACCCACTGGCCGCCTATCCCTATCTGAGACAGCCTAGGACACTGTGCACCAGAAACACAAAGTCACATGGGAAGGTGTTTTCTATTATGAAAATAAACGGAAGAAAACTGTAAATGTCGAATAGGTGGATACTTGAGCAAAGACTAGCGCAGTGATGATTTTAAAGAAAATTCATGATGAAATTTGCTCTAAATGTTAAATTAGTAGAAAAATGCACAAGCATTATTATTACAGCTATTGAAAACATATTCATGTATAGGGAAAGACTGGAATATGCAAAGATCAAGTTTCACGGTTGGTTTGTGAGATTATAGGGGATTTTGTCTTTTTTCAGGATCCCCAGCCACGCTGCCCCCATTATGCCTGTATTCTGTTCATCGGTTATCTCGATGTCAGGATATACACAGTGCACTCAAAAGTCTTTACTTAGTGGCCCCTTGGACACCACAGACCACAGGCAACCATGAAGTCTGTAAGTGTTATTATAGTTACAACTAAAAGAAGAAAAACATTGCTACAATAATTAATAAGTGGCAAGGTAACTAATCCAGGCTTGAATGGCCACTTAATTGATGCATCGTTTAAGACACGGTTATCTTGATATTAACTAAGAAAAGAACGAACACGCCTAACTTTAGAGAGTTTAAGTAAACAACTGCCCAGAGAAGCAGAGCTGGGCATTCTGCCAGTTGGCCAGGGATGCCACCCACCTTCCAGAAGCCCGGGCCCCGGCACAGGCAGGCCAGCTCCCGCTCCACGCGGCCGTCCCACCTGCTCACTGCCAACCAGCATTCGGCGGGGAAAAGCCAGCTCTGTCCCTGTCCTGCACACAGCTCCTTCACCATCACGTGGCTCACATACCAGGCGGGAGAGTGTCCACGGCTGTCGTGCCAGAGACGGATCTTCTGGAGTGGGCCCAGAGGAGCCGGAGCACTGAGGACACACAGCGGCTCATTAGGCAAGGCTGCGGGGCGGTGGGGCCCCGGGGTGCAGCACCAGCCCTGGTTCTCACCCTCAGGGGGTAGATGAGACATGTTAACAAATAAGCGTTATGCAGAGCAACATACAAAGCCCCCTGGGAACCCAGGAGAGCGGACGGTGAATTCCCACAGGCCCCTCTCGTCGCTCAATAGCAGATGCTCCTGGTCGTGCGGAGCCCAGTGGCAGCACACAGAGCTCTTCAACGCCTCCCGTTCTCTGTGCTCAATGCACTCAAAGCTCATTCATGTATTAGTGACTGGCATGGAGCAGTCTGAAGCTAACCTCCTCTCTCTAAATGAAGACAGAATACTCCAAACCAACAAATATCATAAATGGAACTTCCCAGGAGAAAAAATATTTAGTTCAGTTCTTTTGTATTTCCTGAGAACGTCAGGTGCTCGTACTCCTGGCTTGATAAATTATCCCTTTTCATCCAACCCCACCATCTCTGCATTGCCAGGTGTGCTTGCTCTTCCAAACTTGGGAAGAATCTAATTAATTTAAACAGGTTCAGTGACATGGAGAAACACTGTGGTTGTGAAGCTGACTAGCGTGTAACGTCAATAAATCCGTCTGCCCCTGCCTCCTCCTTCCTTCCTGCACACACGTAGTGTTTAACCTACTTCAGATAACAAACTGCAAGCCCTTTACGAAATTGTTCCTACGTAAAGTGACGCTCCCTGTCAGAAGATAATGTTCTGTATTCCCACTTTACGGATTGTGAGAAGCCTACGCCAGGTCTGACCAGCCTCCTTTTCTCAAATTGTGCAGTCAGAATATTTCAGATACCTCAGGATAAAGGTGTGTCTGGAATTCCTTTCAAACAGGGGCTTCTCTGGGCAGTAGAGTTCTTTGGGTTCCGAAAGTCCATTTTCACCACATAAAACAATGTAAACCTCAAAACAAAGACACAGGGGTAAGAGTTCATGATATGGACCCTACAACACTAACATGCTGGGCAGGGGATTCTGTACCCCTCCTCCCAGCTCCCCATTCTTCCAAGACCATCCTGGAAGGCCAAGCGCCCCAGCGAGGACCCAGGGGGCCCAGGGAGCGCAGCCTGTGGCCTTCACGCCCCCCTGCCCCCAGTTAGGAGAGGTGCTAGAATGCGAAGAGAACACAGCAGGGGACTCCCCAGCAGGTATCCAGGCACATTTTGAAGCTGGAGTAGCTAAGACAGTGCTGTCAGAGGGACCAACAGGTGCCTGGGACGGACTCTGGTAATTCTCTTACATTCTTGCATTCTCTTCCATAGGAATTTTAGAATCAGTTTTTCAAGTTCCACAAAACACTTTCCTGGAATTTTTATTGTATTTCATTGAATTTAACCTCTCCATGTTTTAGTTTTTATCTGTAAAATGGGTATATTGACAGAACTTAATTCAAAGAGTTTTTTGAGGTTTTAGGGAAGTAACAAACGACACATTGCAAAGTGTCAGTTCACATAAGCTGCTGTTATTATTATTAATGTTATTGATTAGTTTGGGAGAAATGACAAGGAAAATGAGTTTTCCCATCCATGAACAAATATCGCTCTTTATTTAGAACTTTTGTGCATATTGTGCAAATTTCTCCATGACGGTCTTGAATGTGTTTGGTGGATTTCCTTCCAGGCACGTCACCATTTTGTGACCGTAATGAGGAAGATCGTGTTTTCAAGTACGTGTTATAAACGGTACTGCTGTTCTCTAGAGACGCCTTTGATGGTTTTTCCTTAATCATGTATCCAGCAATTTTGCTTTTATATTACTTCTAGTTTTTTGACTCAAGATTCTTTTGCATTTTCTATTTAATAATCATATCAGCAGCAAATAACAATTCTTCTCTCTCCCCTTCCAAATCTTATTTTCTTGTTTTGGTTCTTATTTTATTGTCTCCACTGGAGTTTCCAGTGGTAGAGACGGTAGCAGACGTTGTCTCAAGTTTCACGATTAAATGTAGTGTTTGCTGTAGGGAGACAGCCTCTGTTAGGTTAAGGGGATCCTCTTCGACGTGCTATGTATTGTCTGTGAGAGTGTATATCTATCTGGTAGACTATGTAAACATATAGTGAGAGACTAAGGGCTGATAGTGGGCAAGGATCACACAAGCTTTAAAACACATGTCGTGCCCCGATCTGTTCCGACACTGCTGCACCCTTCTCCCTCGCTCTCCTCTCCCTCTTCCTCCCCTACCTTGTCCAGACTGAGCCAGCTTGTTTTCTCACTATGGGTTCCACAAAGCAGCCTGGCTCCCTGGAGAAGTGCGGGTGAATTCCAGGCCCAGGGGGATCCCTCCTGTGGGATCCATGCAAGCACACACCTGCACTCACACAGCCGGCTGGATGGGCTTGGGTTCTGCCTGCAGCCTCACCTCTACAGCCCCACCTGGGCACACGGCCTCCACGCGGCCGGTGACAGACCGTCTCCCTCCACCTCCTGCACTTTACCTCGCTCCTCATCCATCCCCTCCTGCCCTTCCTCCATCAGCGACTCTGCGGAGACTGTCTTTACCCCAAGCTCCCAGCCAGCCTCGTCCCTGCCAGTCCCCAAAGTCAGTCCGGAGTTCTCCCCCTTTCTCCTGCGATCTCCCTCTGGGTGGTGCTAAGGGTTCACACCCACTAGAAGAGCACAGTTTGGTTCTCAGAGTCTCGATATGCCACTCAGAGACACAAGTGGCTCTGCGCTGCTTTCCTCAGTGAAGGTGGAAAGGGGAAAAGGGGTTGAGGGCAGTCTGCATCTCACTCTTACAGATGCGCGTGGCCAGGGAGAGCCCAGAGGAAGGGCAGACGAGCCCCCCGAGAAGTAAGATGGGGCCAGCTGTGATGGGTGACAGGTGATAGACAGGACGGCCAAATCATCAAACCATGTTTCTGGTGCCATCACTCATGCCCGTCCACACCCTTCCACACCACAATGTGTGTCTCCCAGGATGACCTGCTTACTTTTGCGGTAAAGTGGGCCGGAGCCCGGAAGCCTGTGTCCACGACAACTGCGTACAGCTGTTGGTCCGGCGGAGCGTTTTCTTGCAGAAAAATGTAACCAGTTTTCTTTTTTTCGTGACGATCTACACGTCTGCTTTTAGTAACCAAAAGTGCATAAAGAATTGTAAAAACCACAATAAAAATAGCGGGAAGTAGGTTTTCCGGATGTCTGTAAATAAAAGGACAGAAGTAAACAGTGAGTTACTCAGGAATATAAATATTTAGACAAAGACTGACGAGTGCCCCCCACACTGGTTAACGCAGACACAAACGCACACATATAAGACTAACACCTGTATACACATGTACGCAGACATGTGCCCCTACTGGTCTTCACTGATTTGTTTTTAAACATTTGCTTTGTTACTGGGAGGAGAAAGTAGATTTTTATTAGGGAAAGTGGCCGAGAAGGGAAAGTTGGAGGGGTGGAGTGGCTTCTGCCATCTCTGGGTGTTAGGACGGGTCTGAGCCCCTTAGGGGAGAAGCTGCTTGAGGCTGAATCAAGAGGCTCCTGAAGGCACAGAGCTGCCTCGTGTTCCAATGACCGGCACCCCATGAGCATGGACTCTGGACAAAGAAGCCTTGTGATGACCAGCTTCTGCATCTGAAAAGCTGCACCACGTCAGCGACTCACATCCTCTCTCCGAGGAATTTTCTTCATGAAATATGGGTAAGAATGCCAATCTCACTGTTATCATGAAGAGTAAGTAATAAGACACATATCAAATGCTTCAACATGTAGGTGTGATGAATGTTCCCTCCCTCCAGCAGAACAAGGAGGAGATGCTGCTGTACCTGCCCATCCCAGCTGCCCCTGTGGGTGGGGCTGCTTGCTCCCCACCTGCACCTCACACTCCCCTCCTGTTCCCAGGCTCCAGTGCTGGCTGAGGGAGAACACTGAACCCCGCAGACCCACGGAGTGGAGTCCACATCAGGGCACTCATGCAGGACCCTAACCTGATAAGGTGTTCTGCCTGGACTCGAGTCTTACAGACCCCTGACGGGGTTTCAAAGGGTCAGCACGAGGTCCATGCTGCAGGAGATGTCATTCTCCCACTCCCACCACTGCACTTTGACCCCATCTGAGGGTTGGGGCTCTGCTCCTGGTTTCTCTGCCGGACACTCTCCTCCTTGCCAGAACGGAGACTTGTTCTGAGCCTATGCCATCAGCTCGGCAGGAGCTCATGGTTCTCTGGTCCAGCCTGTCCTTCCTACGCCTGGACTACACCCAGAACCTCCCGGATTCTGCCCCCGCACGGCCTCAGGTGTGGTTTTCCTCTAGACATCGCCCAGGGCTGCCCCTCCCCAGATGGACCCCCCTGCCCCCAGTGCTGTCAGAAACCGCAATTGAGCCTGCTCTCTGAGTCCTGATCACTGAGTCCTGATGACCCTCACAGTGACCAGCATCTGTAGCGTACCTAACTAACGGATCCACCTACTTGTCTGCAAAGTAATCAACTGTTTGATGATTGATTACATAATACAGTAAGTAGCATTCCCTATTACACAAACATAAGGGAGACGAACGTAACACCCAACACTTGCCAGAAAATGCAGACTCTACCATCAATACTCATTCAGTAAATATTTACTCAGGTCCTGCTATGGGCCAGCCTGTTCTCAGTGTGGGGAGACTTTGACGAATGAGACAGAGAAGGTTCCTGCCGGAACGAGTTTACCCTCTACCTACCTATATTTCAGAACCTGAACGTATTTGTTCTATAAAACAATGGCTATAAAAATAGGGTGAATTTTAAATTTATCATTTAAAATGGGACACCTTTGAAGAGGAAGAGGGCGCTATTATTAGACTATGACAACAAGCATAAACCAGGACAAGCAAATCTGACAGAATTGTCACTATAAATACTAACCCATTCGATCACAACTGACCAGAGTCACACTGAACTAAAGCTAAACTCAGAAGCAAGAAAAGTGTTTTGACTTTCTTGCGTTTATACATCTCCTGTCAGTGAATGTTTTTTGGGGTTTTTTTGTTTTTTGTTTTTTGAGGAAGATTAGCCCTGAGCTAACTGCTGCAAATCCTCCTCTTTTTGCTGAGGAAGACTGGCCCTGAGCTAACACCCATGCCCATCTTCCTCTACTTTATATGTGGGATGCCTACCGCAGCATGGCTTTGCCAAATGGTGCCATGTCCTCACCCCGGATCCGAACCAGCGAACTCTGGGCCTCTGAAGCAGAACGTGCGCACTTAACCTTTGTGCCATCAGACTGACCCCAGTGAATGTAAGTATAGACAGACAGACATAGATAACTATATAGTATTACTAATATGCAGATTCCAAAAAGCAAAATGGTACTAAATAACATGGATTTCCAGCATCTGCTGAATTATACGTGAGCATCCTGCATTGGGCATTAGTGTAAATAAAATTTTGTCTTGATTTAGGAAACAGAACTTACCCCTGTAACTTGGAAATGTCACTCGTTTCAAAACTGGCATTCAGCCTTCTTCTTGTGACAGAGAACGCTGCGAGGCGGTCATAGCTAGAGGGGAGATGGGGGTTAGGTCTCCAAGTGTGTGGTGAGAGCAGGGTTTACAGTGTGATGGTGAGCGAGTTAAAGGAAGGACATAAAGGATGACGAGCTCCAACAACTCCAGCTTTATGATTTAGACCCGGTTTAACATATTCAGCTAAAACCCAAGTTAGAATGAGGGACTCTGTTCTGAGGATACACCAGATGCCTTCACGTCCGAGGCTTGAGCACACAGCCGCCGCGTCAGCCCTGGGACATGAGCTGTCCTCACTATGGACTTGGGAGTCTGTTGGGGACATCTTGATGACGACAGACCCCTACAGTCAACTCAAGGCCAGAGACTGTGAGGGTCAAGTCACAGCCCAGTTGTGGACCAACAACTGGGAAACCCATCAGACTCTGTGTGCCTGTCCCTGAACGCCAGTCCTAGCGTTGCAGGTGTCCCATCACTGGGACTCTGGCCATGACAACCATCATCAACACTCACTTTTCTTTTTTTTTCTTTTTTTTTTAAAGATTTCATTTTTTTCCTTTTTCTCCCCAAAGCCCCCCCCCCCCCCCCGGTACATAGTTGTGTATTCTTCGTTGTGGGTTCTTCTAGTTGTGGCATGTGGGACGCTGCCTCAGCGTGGTCTGACGAGCAGTGCCATGTCCGCGCCCAGGATTCGAACTAACGAAACACTGGGCCGCCTGCAGCGGAGCGCGCGAACTTAACCACTCGGCCACGGGGCCAGCCCCAACACTCACTTTTCTTAACAATAAAATCTCTCTGCCTCATTGTCTTCCAGGTAGGTCCCATGTTGTATTCATTTTCATCCCTGTAGCAGCGAGTAGGATGCAACGGAGAATGAACATTGTTCATTCATAATATTCGTAACACTGTTGTTCAATAAGTTTGATGTGTTCCTAGCAATGGCATAATATAAATTAAAGAGTGCGACATAAGAAAAGCAATCAATGGCTGATGAATCGCACTGATATGTGGTAAAATCTGGACATACTCGCCTCCTAAAAGGCAGCCACAAAATGCAGTTTTTATGACAAATTTTCTTAAGAAGGAAATGACTATTCCTATTTTTAAATATGCCTAATAATTGTTTATTCTCTATTCTTTTTTTTTTTTATTTGAAGATTGGCACCTGAGCTAACAACTGTTGCCAATCTTCTTCTTTTTTTTTCTTTCTGCTTTTTCTCCCCAAATCCCCCCAGTACATAGTTGCATATTGTAGTTGTGGGTCCCTCTAGTTGTGGCATGGGGGACACTGCCTCAGCGTGGCCTGATGAGCAGTGCCATGTCCGCTCCCAGGATCCAAACTGGCGAAACCCTGAGCCTCCGCAGGGGAGCATGCGAACTTAACCACTCGGCCACGGGGTCGGCCCCCTATTCTCTATTCTAATGAAAAGGCAACAACAAAAGCCTCTGACAGAATTGTCAGTTCTGCAGCTAGAGGATAAAAAATTTCTAGTTTAGTGACATGACGGGCAGACCCAAAACTCCTGAGGTGGCTGCTCCCGGTCTGTGTGGAGACTCTCCCTGCATCACAAAGTTCACCTTCACACCTGTGCTGGGAGGGACTCTTCTGTGGACGGGGGGATGGGCGCACAAGTCACAGGGCGGGGAGCTGCGCCAGCGGATGTCGGCTGCCTCACTACCGAGCACCCGGAGACCATCGGATGTCTACCAGAACAGCCAATCAACATGGGTACTACCATTCACTCATCGACCATCTCTCCAGCAACATTTGCTGATCACCTACTCCATGCTGGTCACCTTCGGGAGGGGCGGGGACAAAGAGAACCGGAAAACCAGACCCTGCTCTTCCGGAGGTGCAATATCGCAGGGCCCAGGCTGACATGGAAGGTGGAGGAGGCATGTGCCGACAGAGTCGACAAACAAGACTGCTCCAGTCCTTACAGGTGGACAAGGCCAGGGAGGGCTCCAGGCGCTGCGCCAAGCACGGGAGGAAAGGCAGTCGCTTACTAAAAATCTCAAATCCTTTCTCAGTAGTGTGTCTTTACCTGCAGTTCACTTTTTCTGGAGAAGTTCCTGGTTGTGGAGAGAAACTTTCAGATTTCCACTCTCCTGTGTCCCAAAACAGGCATCGGATCCACTGGAAATGCACGGCATAATTCACTGACTTGGCCAAATATTTGTTCAGAGGTTTTCTGTCATAGTCAGCATCTAGTAAGGATAAATATCCCAAGTTGGTGTCTAAAAAGAGAAAAAAATAAATTAAGAAACACAAGCTAAAGTTTGCAAAAAGGCATTACTCATTCCAAATACAGATGGAGCAGAACACAGTGGGACAAGGAGTGGGAGCTGGGTGGGACCTGGGAGAGCAGGTGAGTGCCGGCCGCTTCTTCTCGCCAGCACTTAAACCCTGAACTAAATGCGTCCAGTCGAAGCTCTGGCGTGCTGGTTTTCATCTCAGGGCGAGAGAGGGGGGAGCAGAGTGTTGGGAACGCTTCCCTATGTCCTGAGTCCCTCCGGACATGCTGAACGGGTCACGCCACTGCCCTGGGGGCGCAAGAGAGTGGAGTCAGCTTCTCCACCTCCCACCCAGACCCCTTCCTTGCTTCTCCTCAGCTCCATCAGCCAGCCTGCCAAATATTTGCGTGTCCTATGTCTGCAGCCACCCTGGTGAGGACACAATAACCATGTGGTTTTAGCCTATCATTTTTGGATAATTTTTATGTTTAGAAGCAAAAATATTTAACATTACATCTATTTAAAATGTGTCCCTAAAGCTTTTTAATAAATGATGTTGGGACAACTAGATATTAGCCATTTGTAAAAATATGATATTAGATCCTTATCTCATGCCACATACAGTAAAAATCACCAACCAGAGATTTAAATGTAAAAGAGTGGAACTGTACAGATACTAAAAGAAAATATAAACATGAAGGACTTCTTTTATAAGCTGGGTATAAGGAAGGAATTCTAACATGACTCAAAATCTAGGAGTAATAAAAAAAAGTAATAAAAAAAGATAAATTTTGCCATTAAAAAAAAACTTTTGAAAGGCAAAAATCCCAATAAAAACAAAGCCAAAAAATTATATGAATCAAGAAAAACCAAACTCAGTGGAAAAATGGGTATATATGAACAGTTCACCAAAAAAAGGTAGATAATGGCCTTCAAACATATGAGAAATGCGCAATTCATAATATCAAATGCATATTAAAACTACTATTTCTCAATTTTCCAACTGGCAATATTCAAAAGCTTGAAAATATACTCGGTTGGCCAAGCTGTGGGGAACAGGCCCTCTCCCGCACAGCTGAAGGGGAATTTGCAATACTTCCCCACACTGCACACGCATCCCCCTTTGACCCAGAAATGCCATGGCTTGGAACGTACCTTGCAGATCACTCCTCGCCTGAGTACATTACAGTATCTGCACAAGCGTGCCCCGTGCGTACACGGGAGCTGGTTGAATAAACATGTGCAGTGGAGAGGCTGCAGCAGTAAGAAATAACCGGGGGATTGATGAATGAATATGTATGGAGTGATTTCCAGATGAATAATTTAAGTAAGAAAAGCACACCACAAAAGAATGTAAGAAACAGGAGAAATAAGAATGTGTGTGTGCGAATGTAGGCGTATTTTCCCAAAAAGAAACACATGCACGCACACGCAGTTATTGAATCTATATGCTGAACTGGCTTAGAAACAATGACATTTGGTGCATATATCTTCTATCCTAAATGCCATTCCCTATCAAGAAACTGAGGCTCGTGAAGAAATGCCTGGTTACAGGAAGGGCAGGCAAGGTGTGGATATGCCTGGGGTGCCCTGGTGTTCCCAAAGGCAAGGAAGCACCTGAAAACTCCTGACGTCATGTCAAAAATATTCAGGAAGCATCTTGAGGGAGCTCCCACTGGAACAATCTGAGCATCAAAAAGTAAAGTGATGTAGTGGGCTGGTCTCGTGGCATAGCGGTTAAGTCCATCCAGTGTGCTCTCCTTCAGTGGCCCAGGTTCACATGTTCAGATCCTGGGCGCAGACCTACACCACTTGAAAGCCATGCTGTGACAGTGACCCATATACAAAATAAAGGAAGACTGGCACAGATGTTAGCTCAGGGTGAACCTTTCTCAAGCCAAAAAAAAGAGGAAGATTGGCAACAGATGTTAGCTCAGAGCAAACCTTCCTCACCAAAAAAAAAAAAAATGACACTAAAATGATGGAAATGAACTAAATACACTGATTTTAAAAAATCTGTGCATTCATCAAGACAAGAAAGCAAGAGTGAGAGAGTGAGACAGGAGCTGTTCTTTACTGAAGAATGCCAGCTAAATTAGTGATGAAATCAGAAAATCACCATTGCAACCTGCGTTGCATCACGAGTGGAGGCCCAAACCACAGGGTTAAAGGTTCCAGGGAAAGGAGGTACCACCCAATTAACCACAAAGGGAAAATGTTCTATTACAATGGATAGATGGGTGGTTATCTCCTTAACCCAATTACGAGACTTGGCATCGCCTATGGGTTATCCACCAAACAGCCGGGAACTGAATTTAATCATGAGACAGGAAGGAGTCCAGAATATGAGACATTCAAAACATAACTGACTTGGGCTCATGAAAAAGTCAATGTCATGAAAAAAAGACATAAAATGGGGGAGATATTCTAGATTTTAAAAGGATCACAAGCACATGGCAATGAAGTGCACTGATGAATTTTGACTTAATTCTGAATCACAAATATAAAGAGCTATAGAAGGCACTGGGGGTCAACTGCAAAAATTTCACTGTGGACCGCAGAGCAGATAAGGGTCTTGAACTGACACTGATTCTTTTAGTGGAGTGGAGTCGAGTTAAGTAGGAGAATATCTTCCTTTTTCTGTGATGCATGTTGAAGGCTGGAGGGACGTGGTGTCTAAAACTTTCTCTCCAATGGCTCTCCCCAAAGAGCTGCACCCCCCCTTACACATGCACACACACACACACACACACAGATACAGCAAACGTGGCAAAACGCCAACAAGTGGCGAATCTAGATGAAACAGATGCAAGTGTTTGTGTTCATTTTTTCCCCACTTTTCTGTCAGTTTGAGATTTCTCACAATAAAATACTGTGGGAAAGGAAACATCAAATGCCAAATTTTTTAAATTGCCATTGATAATTTGAATTTGCTTAACAACAATGTTTGGTCTATTTTTAAAAGAAACAAATAGCAGTGAAGACTGGTTCTGAGAGGAAAATAATCATATCCCATAAAAACGTAGCATATGGAGAGGACGGGACAGCCCGTGCACCTGACTGTCAATGCTCCATGCTAAGGCCACAGTGTGCAGGCCCAGTCTGAAGCGTGTTTATAGTCCAGTGTGGATTCATTCAGCACTTTGAGCCTCAATTTCTTGCCCTTCAGAGGAGGACAGAGACTCAGAAGCCGAAGAAACCAGGGGCCACCCATTAGGGGGTGAGCCCAGAACCAATTCACACAGCCACCTCAGGGTGTAGGGGCATGCTCTGTGCCCACCACTGGTGTGCACTGACAGAGGGGTCCTGCAAGCTGCAGAGAGAGCCTCGGGATCACAGTCCCTGACACTGGGGGAGGCAGAGCAGCCAACAGGAGAGGCAACCTCAAGGTGCCATAGGAACAGCACAGGCAGATACGCCCTGGGGTCAAGGACAGTCCACCAGGAGAGGTGAAAGGAGAGTGTTGAAGGTGAGCAGAGGTCAGTAGGAGGTGAGGAAGGGGAGGCTCTGCAGGCACAGATGATGGAGCAGCACATGTAGCTTGGTGAGGAGGAGGAGTAGCCGAGAGGGAACTCAGCTCATGGGGACCACAAGAGGCCTGGCGATGGGCAGCCTGTCCCACACGGCTGCAGAACCAGCCGGGTCAGACTGCGTTCAGGTGTGTTCTTCCTCTGAAACAGCTTGACACTTTTGTCATGAACAAAATCAAGCCCCGCTCTGCAAACGTATCTCCTAGCAGGTGTTTTCCTTTCAGAGTGACAGGAGAGCTTGTCCACCAACCTTTCAGTGACACAGCAGGCACGTAAATGTGCACGATTTGCTCATCCCAGAAGTAGATCTGTTTCACAAGAAAATCAGAAGGAGTAGGTTTCTCAGAGAACCTAGGAGACAAAAGCAAAGCAACGATGTCTAGTTTTGTGTTGTTTTTTCCTCTCAAAGACTTTAATCAGACAATTTTGTGCCAACATCCTTTTCACTACAAGGAGGCCGACTGGGACTAAATGCTTATTCCACGGCACCCCTGAGTCTTTCAGTGAGAACTCCATGACACTTTCATTTCTCATTTCACTAAAAAATAAAAACTTCAGTACAAAACTAAAACCGTAACCAGCCCAGTTTGCAGGAGTAAACAGCACAGGCTCCAGGTGGTTGGAGAGGCATGCCCTGCAGCCCAGATGTGACCTCTTCCCGGGAAGGGTTAGTAGTCAGGAAGTGACAGACGGAGGAGAGCAAGCACAGGGTTGTGAGACTGAGAAACTGGTTGGAACCAATTCATCTTTTTTGTGTGGGACCTAAAGAATTAAGTTAAAATCCAAACTCTTCAAGCAAATAGTCATGTTTCGGACGCTCAATGGCTTTGCTCCTATGGTGGAATGAGAGTCGAGCCAACAAGTTTACACCGAACCCCGTGCTGAGTGCTGTGTGGCTATCTGCCCGCCTAGGATATACCTGGCTGACGTGCCCCCCAAAAAGCTGAAATCCTTCTCATGTGGCCGAAATAGGTGGGGACTCAGAGGAGAGAATACGCTCTCCAACAGAATCCTTTGCCCATCCGGACCTGCTACAAACTCTAAAAACTGCTGGTTTCCACTAGCGTTGTTACCGCATGATTCCAAAGAAGCTTTTCAACACTCATTTTCGTGTTCCTGTGTAACTCAGTCATAAAATGGGGCCTACCCAATTTCACAGGCTCAACCTCACCAAGAAAGATGACTCATTTATCAAGTCTCCTCAGAAATATCAGTTTGAACACAGTTTTTTCTTTTGGAAAAAATAAAAGAAATAAAAAATAAGAGAATTCTGGCCCAGGTCTACACTGTGAGAGAGAATTAGATTCCCAAACGAGGCCATCTGTGTTATCACTGACAATTCAGTTATTTCTCACTCCAATAAACTTAGTAGGCAGGAAGCCAATCTCAAAAAAAAAGAAGTAGGGAAGCTTATTCCCTCAACAGTAGACTATATAACATAATTTCTTTGGATAATTAGCCTCATGACTGCTTTAAAATGCAGTTTCATTCCCTAATCTTTTCATAAGACATTCGCAAGGGCGACGTCTCCTTCTACAGCCTGGTTACCACGGTAGCCACAACGCACCTTACCAGCAACATGACCGGGAAAGCTCTTGTAACAGGCTTAGAAAATTCTATTCTTATCTGTAGAGATTCCTGGGGGTCTTCAGAAGGCCCAGCGAACTGATGAAAATTCACTTTATCCCGAAGCAAAACAAATGTGCTGCTATTTCTCCTATTATCCTGTCATCAAATGAAAAACAAGTAAGGAAAATTCGCCTTTGGAAAAATAAGTGTGTTAAAAATCAGCCAGCGCAGCTGAAATGCAGCAGAGGTGACTGGCAAAGGCTCTCCTTACCGGGCCACCTTCCTCCCCAAACTCCAGGGTCACGGGTTTCCTCAGCCGGTGTCTGCTGAAGGGTCTTCTGCTGGAGCAGTTGTACAGAGAGAGGTGGAGGACTCTGCCCATCTGGGGAGACAAAGACCGCCTCAGAGAGGTGACAGCCAGCCGTCAATGTCAGTGAGAGAATCAGGAGACCATGTCTAGCGATGCTGCTGTTACAGTAGCAGAGATTATGGTCCTGATGTTGGGGATAACGCAGAAAAATACAGCTAGTTTTACCAATTAGAATGGCAGGATCTGGGGACAATGTAATGCCTCATTACTGCTACTCATTAAAATTAATAATTTTTGAAGTTTTTAAAAATATTTTTTAGTTTTTACCTTAAAAGCTCATACAGAAAGAAGTATCTGCCAATGTAGATACTCAGGAAGGCATATAGGAGAGTAAAGTGTAGCTGGCTATAATACCACGGCTCAGAGAAATCCTGTCTGGAGATGTCACACTTGAAATTTTTCGATGCACTGAGTACATACTGAGCAATTTAGTGCTCTACAGTTTTTTGCATAAAATCTTCCAAAGTCACTAAAATTCCCTGGTTGACATAATTCTAACTGGCTATATATGGATTAGCATAATTCATTTAAATAACTGGTGAACTGCACCCCTCTATTGAACATTTAGGTATATTTTTATTCGGGTTATCATAAATAATGTTGTTTTGAATAAATAAATAAAACAAAACATCTTCCTTTGAATAAATCTTTTCTCATTTCCATGGTGCAGATTTCTATAAGTGTAATGATGGGGTCCGGGTATTTGAAGCTCCTGGTGCCTGTGACAAAGTGCTTCTCACAAAGCTTACACAGTGGACACCCTGGCTCTCTCACTCACTACACTCCACAGAGGTCAGTCTTTTTAAAGAACTACACTTTTGTAAGTTAAAAAAGTCATTTTAATTTCTGTTTCTTTATTCCTTGTTAGTTTGAATTATTTTCATATGCTGATTGGCCATTTCCAGCTCCCTAAAAAAAAAAAGTAAATGCTTTATATGATGAGGATTTTTTTTTTCTCGGTGAGGAAGACTGGTCCTGAGCTAACATCTGTTGCCAATCTTCTTCTTTTTGCTTGAGGAAGATTGACCCTGAGCTAACATCTGTGCCAATCTTCCTCTATTTTGTATGGCTTAATGAGCAGTGTGTAGTTCCTTGCCTAGGATCCAAACCAGTGAACCCCAGGCTGCCAAAGCGGAGGGCACGAACTTAACCACTACACCACTGGGCTGGCCCCATGATGAGTATTTTTGACCAAAATAAGATGTGTATCATGAATTTGTACACTTATCCTCAAAAATTTATCAGGTGCCCAGATGAGCCAGGTACTGGAGCACACCTAGGGGTACAGAAAATACACACAATGCTGGCTCCCTGCCTTCCCAGCTCCTGGCGAATCTGGGATCATTCATGTGGTTTCCACATGCGGAAGTGAACCGATGTTCACAGGATCACCAAGTGAACACAGTCCTCCCGACTTCCCCATTCTCACACCCCCTCTGACTCTGGGCCCTTCTTCTGCCCAACCTCCCAGGGACCCAGCGGCCACCCTGGCTGGTCCAGCCTAGATGGATCTGTCATCTGAGCATGGAAGAAAAGAGGTAGGTTCCAGCAGGTCCACACTAGCCCCTTCTCGTTTCATTCGGGTTACTCTTCATTTGATTTCAGAACGAGTAAACCAGGAGGTTACTGACTGCAATGCCTGGCACAGTCGCTGTGCCGCATACTCTACCCCACTCAGGCCTTTGACTCCTTGACAATGGGTTACAATGGCCCCACAGGAACTACTCATGGGCCCAGTTACCCACACACCAGAGAAACCTAGTTTGGCTAAGATTCTCTGGAGAAACTGTGATCTTCCAGGATACGCAGAAATAGCAGCTCGTTCTAAGTGGCCCCTCTCTTGGAACTGAAAAACAGGTGCAATGTGCTCCCTGGTCCCTCTCTTCATCATCAAAGCACAATTACTGCACATGTGAGGTGATCATTAGAAGGGACCAGTCAGCTGTCGTGTTGTACCTCGCCAGCTCGTCCCCCTGGATACGGATTCTTCTTGAAGAGCATGAGCTGGCTAACGTAGCATGGGCTCTGCATTCCAGGCCCAGCAGGACTCTGCCCAGCCAGGTCTCCGGGTAAATGCACCTGGATGGGGCCCAGGCTCTGCACGGAGCTCTGTGGCTCATGATGAAGAAGCGTGAGGATCTCCATCTGCCCAGTGCTAATGTGGAGCTGACGCTCGCTGTTTGAAGACAGGCGGTCCTGAAACAGAGCAGGCAGAGTCCCACATGTAAAGTGCACTCGAGGAAGCCATCTTGAGTCCAGAACCAGGGAGAGGCGGAAAATAACTGAAAAGGTAGCCCTTCTTCTCAAGGTCGTTTGGATTCATTTCCTGAGCAAAGATTTGGGTATAAGGACGTGAATGCCAGAGAACAGTAAAGCACAACTGTCTCCTTTTGTTTCAACATTTTATTCATTTTGCAACAACTCCTATGCTCCTTGGGATCTCTTAGCCCACCCAAAGGGAGTCTGGATACCGTGATTATTTTAGTACCATATGGACTTGACCATAACTTTGAGTGCAGTGCCTTGGGGCCTAGGGCAGGGTGGGTGCTGGGTGTGCAGCAAATATTTCCAAATGTATTAATTGCTAATCATGGTTGCTATTACTAGGTTTAGACTGAGCATTTATCAACTCTCTAATTTCCCAAATATTATACTAACTATCAGTTAAATAAACCAGAAGGTCTGTGTGGGAGGAAAGATAAATGGGGAGGGGAGGAGAGACAAAAGGTGCCTATTAACTTCTGCCTCTTGAAAGCACTGGCGGTTTCCTATAGTGAAAAAACCCTGTGATCCCTGAGACAATTCCCATAGTTACCGTGGCAGAAATAAATGAAATAAATGTTGGTGGGTTTTTTTTTCAGCAGTTATATATCAGCAGGGCCGCTTTTTAAATTAATGCATGTTAGAAATCATTTGCATTACTTCACTTCCTTTCTCAAAGAACAGAAAGTGTCCTGAGAAGTGATGTTTCTAAGTCAAACACCATCCCAAACATCCCAAATGAAAACCAAAACCGAAAAAATAGAACAGAAGCAAAGTGTCGTTGAAACGTGATAATATTCATATTCCCATGAAACACTTAAAATTCAAAGTGAAACTTTCCAAATACCAAACTACCACCCAGAATAATAAACACAGCACCTCAGGAACCAATTATACTTTTGCTTTCTAGAAACAGCTGCAAATACAGGCTAACACCCTGGGGAAGGGAAACAGTTGCATTGTCACGAATGAAGAAAAAGTCTGACTTACTAACAATAAGTCCGAGATGACCTTAATTCCTTCGTCTTGTGGGTAGTCTGCATTCCTCGATTTTTCTCGGTCCGAGGCTTCTAAGACCCCGGAGACGAGAAGGATGAGCTCGAGCATCTGCTCTTTGTCCACCACAAACCTCCCCAAGAGGGGGCTTCGAGCCCGGAGCACCCGGGCATACTTGATGATGAGCACTGCGCTTGTGAAGCTTAACTATGTGAAAAGAAAAGATGTCAATGAAATGTTTCACGGCACATGACGCGTACACTCTTGCCTCCTTCATTACTACTGGAAATTAAAATCACTGAACTAGGGCTCAAGACAACTGGACGCAAGTCCAGGTCTGGCGTCTAGCCGATTACTGGCCAACTTCACAAGTAACAATTCACTTTTTGATATTGTTTTCTGACCCATAAAATGAGCAAAGAAAAATAAATGTTCTCTAACAGCCTTTATGCTAAGATGCTATTTAGTCTGAACCCCAACAACCACTTCACAGATCCCTTGATGAACTGGTCCCATCTCTCTCTGCAGCATCCTCTCCTCCCACTGCCTGTGGACATGCTGTTCCCAAGCCACAGACCCTTTTCCTCCTCCCAAATACTCTAGGCCTTTACCTGATACCATACAATCCCCTCTCTGCAATGCTCTCAGCCCTGTCCTTGCTAGCAAAATCTTACTTCTCTCTCTCTTTTTCTAACTAATATGGACATTTTCAAACATACATGGAAGTAGAGAGAACAGTGTAGTAGTACAATATGCCCATCACTCAGCTATAACAAGCATCCTTCAATGGCAATATTTTTTCTTCTATCATCCACTCAACATCTAAAAAAATATTTAACAGCAAGTCTCAGGTATTTCTATCAATGAACACTTTAGTATACACTGCTAATAGATAAGAACTCTTCCTAGACACATGGCCACAATGCCATCACCATGCAGAGCAGAATTAATGATTCTTTCCTACTTATCTTTTAAAAACAATTTCAAATGTCCACCAGACAAAATGGGCTGCACCGATGCCTGTGTTTCTGCAGAATTTTGTCATTCTCCTAATGAGAGGACTTGGCCCATTATTGAAGTCTATCTGTTTCCACATCTAGCTTCATCCATCAGTGCCCGAGAGCCGGGACTAAAGCTTTTCCTTCTTTGTGCCTCAGCAGCTCCTAGAATTGCTAAATAAATGCATATCCAATGAGCTGAAATTAAGATTCTACTTTGTGATAGTCATGCTTATTTAAGCAAAATATGCCTTAGAAATTCTTCCTAAAATCAAACTCTTTCATCAATAATAAAATTAAACTAGTCTGGAAATACATTGAAACTACTATTAAATGCCCCATATATCCAGATGGCATCATCAAAATAGACTCAAAATAGAAAGAACAATCTTTTATGTAAACTAAAACAATTGCAATAAAGAACACATCATGTTCTTTAAAACCACATGTTAAAGAAACCCCAGTGTGGTTTTTATTTTTTTTGAGGAAGATTAGCCCTGAGCTAACATCTGCCACCAGTCCACTCCTTTATGCTGAGGAAGCCTGGCACTGAGCTGACATCCATGCCCATCTTCCTCTATTTTATGTGGGACGTCTACCACAGAACGGCTTGCCAAGCGGTGCCATGTCTGCACCCTGGATTTGAACCAGCGAATCCCGGGCCACCGAAGCAGAACCGTGAGAACTTAACCGCTGTGCCACTGGCCCCGGCCCCCTGGTGTGGTTTTTATACTGGCCATTTTTTTAACAAAAAATATCAGAAATGGTTACTTTGGGAATGATAATCATGTTCAGTTTTCTCCACCACTCTGAGCTAAGAACTGTGGGCAGCTCCTGGGTGCACAGAGGGCAAGAGAGAGGCCTGTGCAGAGATGTTTGGTTTCCACCAGATTCATCTCCCTGACCCTCGTGCAGGGTCATTTTGGGAAGTCATTCCATTTCCCAGGCCTCTGGGATCCAAGTGTGGCCTTGAGTTGGGTTCTCACTAAGGGATGAGAGGAGAGTGAGGTACGGTGCCTCCAAGTAAGATCATCAAGTGGCGCAGCTTCTCCATGCCCTACTTGCTGATGTAGGAAGCCAGAGTGGAGGTGCTGGTGGCAGGAGATGAAAGGAGCTGGCATCCTTGAATCACCACGGGAAGACCACCTGGTCAACACATGCCAAGGAATGTGTGTGGAGGGGGAATAGACTTCCATTGGGTTAAGTCATTGAGATTTCAGGGCTTATCTGTTACAGCTGTGAACACTTCTTTACCGAATACAGCTTGTGACCTTAGCAGGCTAAGCAGTCTAGATTTGGAAGACAGGTGTGCAAGAAATAATTACAAATCAAACTATAACAAAGTATACTCCAATTGTGCTATAACAAAGTCATGCACAAATTTGTCCAGAATAAAACAAACTCTGCCTTCAGGACTCTGAAGATTTCATGGAGAAGGTGAGAAGCTGGTATGTGAATCTAGCCTAGAGGAGAAAATACTGCTTTCCCAGGGGAAGGGGGCAGGATCATTGCAGGTTAAGGGAAAACACACTATTCCAGGGATGTAAGGAACATCCAGTGACTGGAACTTGGAGGGTGGATACCCGGAGAGATGTGCAAGGTGAAGGGCAGAGAGTAAGTTGGAGCCACATAATGTCCTGGCATGAGATGTGGTAGAACTGGGTTTTATCCTGAAAGTACTGGGAAGCCATCAACGTTTTAAGGCAAATGAGCGACATGAGCTGAGGTGTTTTTATGAAGATAGCTCTGGCACAAGTATGAGACTGTGTTGCCACAGGAAGGTCAGCCCTCCTATCCAGTATCTTGGTCACTGTAGTTGAGCAATTCAAGATGATGACGCTGTGACTCAGGCAGGAGGGATGGGAAGAAGTGACAGCGTCATCCGTATCATTCATTCATTCATTCATTCCCCACCTGTCTTCTGAGCTGCACTAGTGTCACGGCTGTAGTCATGGTGAATGGGAATGAAAGGTCCCGCCATCGTGGGATTTATGCTCCAGCGAGGGCAGTGAGGCAGCAGACAAATGAATAAGACAGCTGGCGACTGTGAAAGTCCTGAGGGAGGAGAATCAGGCAAGAGGAGGAGGGTGACTTCAGGTTGAAGATCAAGGAGGACTTCTCCAGGGATGTGACATGTGAGCGGAGAACTCGAATGAAAGCTCTCTGTTGTTCAGGGCCAAGGACAGGGCATGGAGCAACTGCACGGGCCCTGAGCTAAACACACCTGATGGGTGGTTAGGGGAGAAAAACTAAGAGAGGAGAAGGGAAAGGTCAGAAGGAGTGGAACAGCTCAGGCGAGGTGTCTAGATCTGATTACATGGTAACGAGAGTCACACAGAGCTTTAAAGAAGGGGAGTGGCATTCACTGATTCAGGCTGTTAAAATGATCCTTTGGCTGCTGTGTGTGGAGAAAGCAGTATGGTGACAGGAGAGGAAGCAGACAGAACAGTCAGAGACTGTCAGCCAGCGTGAGAAGTGACGTTTGCTTAGATTAGAGTGGGAAGTAGTGGCAATGAGAGAGGTAGGAAAATTCTAGGCATGTTTCTGAGGAAGAACTGACAAGACTTAACTACAACTGATGGATGAGGAACAGGGGGGAGTCTTTGACGGCACCTGGGGTTTTGACTTGAGATTGGGGGTGGAAGGTGCTGCTCTCTCTGGAACGGGGAAAGCAGGATGAGTGGGGCAGGAAGGAGACGGGGCGAGGAGTGGAGGAAGGAGCTCTGTTGCCCACCCTGGTTGTGAGGTGCACACCCATGGCCATGTGGAAATGGTAGGCAGTTATGTGGATGAGTCTGGAGCTCTTGGGAGAAGGTTGGGTTGGAGATATAAAGTGCAGAGTCATCATCACCTGGATTTAATGTAGAAGGATGTGATGAGAACCCCCCAGGGAGAAAGTGGAGACAGAGAAGTGTCTGGGGTTCAGAACACAACCCTGAGGCACCGAACAAGTAAAGTAGACAGGGAGGAGCCAACAGTGGCCAAAGAGACTGTGCCCAAAAGGAGGTGCGCTTCCCACAGAACGTCCCTGACAGAGAAGAAAATCAAGCAAGGAGGGCATGCATGGATTTGGCAGCACCAAGGTTTTCAGGCACTTGCACAGAGCTGTTTCGCTGTTGAAGTGGAGATGGCAGCCAGATTTTGGTAGCTTAAAAATCCACGAGTGACAGCAAGTAGAGACCACAGCAAGGCAGAACTCACTTTCAACATGTTCTGCTGTAAGGAGGAGCATGGAAATGACGTGGTGGCTGGGAGACAGTATAATTGCACCAGAGGCACTTTTTTTTGGTGAGGAAGATTAGCCCTGAGCTAACCTTTGGGACAATATTCCTCTATTTTTTGTATGTGGGATGCCTCCACAGCACGGCTGACGAGTGGAGTGGGTCTGCACCTGGGATCCAAACCCGTGAACCTGGGCTGCTGTAGCAGAGCACGTGGAACTTCAACCACCCGGCCATGGCGCGGCCCCAGGTGGACTTTTTTTTTTAAGTAAGTGAGACTCTAAGCACATTCGGGACCATCCAGCAGAGAAGGAGAAATGGAAAAAGCAGTAAAGTAAAGGTGATAAATCCCAGAGAAGGCAAAAGGGGAGGCAGGACTGTCAACTGAAGCCACACGGGGCCCTGAACAACTCCAGGGGGTGTCAGTCCCAAGATTGACACGAGGGGCCATGACGTGGCCCTAGATGGGATTCTGAGCACAAAAACGGGGTGAGCCCCTAATGGGAGTAGGGACATCCATGCCATGGTGACCAAGGGGGGCCTGGAAGACAGGCCAGGCCGTGACTGGATTTGCAGGGTGGTGGAGACAGGGATTCTATGGGCTCTCTTCTCACCTGCCAACGTCAGTGCAGTGAGGACCTCAGCGAGAGCGGGGAGAGGGTGCTGGAGATTTGAGAGAAAGAGAAGTGGCGAGGATGGGAAAACCCAACACCGCAGATTAATAATAAATAACAACCTCCTTCCCCAAAGTATGTGTGGCATGGATAACGCTGGTTTTAATCCACTTCTATTTCGGGTTTTCAAATTTCTATATTAAGAGAGAAGGTTTTTTTTTTCTATTATACAATCTCTATTCCAGAAGACACTGATGTTTCTATTACTAGGATAATGAAGCCCAAATTTCATGATTGTTCTGTTTGGGTTTTTTTTAAAGTAATTTTATTGGGATTGTAATGGTTTATAACATTGTATAATTTCAGGTGTACATTATTTTTTATCAATTCCTGAATACCCTTCATCGTGCTCACCCCCAGGAGTCTAATTTTTATCCATCACCATACACATGTGCCTCTTTGTCCCTTTCACCTATCCCCTAAGCCTCTTCCCCTCTGGTAACCACTAATCTGTTCTCTTTATCCATGTATTTGTTATCTACCACATATGAGTGAAATCATGCAGTGTTTGTCTTTCTGTCTCTGGCTATTTCACTTAACATCACACTCTCCAGGTCCATCCATGTTGTTGCAAATCAAAACTATAATGAGATATCACCTTATACCAGTCAGAATGGCTCTAATCACCAAGACAAAAACCAACAAATGTTGGAGAGGATGTGGAGAAAAGGGAATGCTCATATACTGCTGGTGGGAATGCAAACTGGTGCAGCCACTATGGAGATCAGTATGGAGATTTCTCAAAAAATTAAAAATAGAAATACCATACGATCCAGCTATTCCACTACTGGGTGTTTATCCAAAGAACTTGAAGTCAACAATTCAAAGAGATATATGCACCCCTATGTTCACTGCAGCACAATTCACAATAGCCAGGAGGTGGAAACAACCCAAGTGCCCTTCTACACATGAATGGATAAAGAGGATGTGGTGTATATATATACACGTATACACACACACACAATGGAATACTACTCAGCCATAAAAAAGGACAAAATTGTCCAATTTGCAACAACATGGATGGACCTGGAAGCAAGAAGTTTTTCACCAATGATTTGAGGTGGGCAATGCTATTCAAATAAATTCTTAGGGAAAGTCATGCTTCTAATTTAAGTGTCAAAAATAACTCTACCCAGTATATTCTTGAAGAACTGATCAAGGTCCTCATACTTATGTGAAAAAGTAGGAAAACACACCTGGAAAGAAATAGCACTCACCTTGTTAGGGAAGTGTATGAGGTCCCTCAACATAAGAACAGAATCATTCATTTCTTCCTGACCAGGAGAAACAAGCGAACAGACGAACAAACAAAAAAAAAAAAAGGAGAGGGAAGAGGCATTAGGTCATCTGGTCTAAAGCTGCACAATTCAGGTTGCTGATGTAGAAACAGAGCAGATCCATGTTTGAGCTAAGAGACCAGGAGATGCCAACATTCTTTGGAGAGACCACCACCTTGCTCCCACGTTTTTCCTCCTAGTGACCAAGTGCAGCATCTCCCCTCTGGGTGTCCGCTGTCCCCCCTGCCCAGGAAAGCACCATGAGGGAAGAGCAACTAGGGAGACAGCGCCCAGTGAAACTTTGGAGAAGCATAAGAGAGAAAGATGGAGGAGGAAAATATATTAGTTCAAGTGAAAGTGTCATGATTACCATGAAATAAGGTGTATTCTTAGATGCGAACATTCTTAGTGACAATGATATGACAGGAGTTGCAGAAACACTGTCAGCCAGGACAGTAACATGAATATATGGTCATTTCCTTAAAGTTGCACATAATCATCAACTTAATTCTCTGGTATATGATTGCCGACAAAACAAAATCAGATTAGATTCACATAATTTTTACTTACAGAATTATCAGTAGTAATGATCGGCTTATATCAGTCTTTCTTTTATAAACCGGCAGCATTCATTTGTGTGGCACATGAGCAGGCAAGAGAGGCCACAGCCATGCATCAGAGCCACGCTGCCTGGTGCCCCTGGTCTCGTTGTTTGACTGTGTTTCATAAGCAGGACTACTTGCTGGTGAGCCAACCAGTCATAGGCCCTTCTACACTGAAACAGACTTACACACACTGAACTCGCCCTGCTCTGGGCCATACCTGATCTGCGAAAGCTAATCTGCACACTGAAGAAATTAATGCATCCTGTATTCGTGACCACTGGCCACACGAGGGACTTCTGTCCTCCTTAGCCCAGCGACTCAGCACCCTGGTGATCATGGTGACATAATTCCTGATTTCCGTGTAACTCCCCATCAGCTGCAGAGTAGACAGGGTTTTCAGGCTGGAATTATATCTGAAAGAAACAGAAGAGTTATCCCAATTGTTCCAACACACTGCAAAACTCTTCAGCCTGCCTACCTAGAGCAGAATGGCATTTGTTATAGAAACACTTCTTGGGTGGGTCAGAGCAGAAACAGAATGACTCAAAGGAGAGTTGTCTGTGCTGGGGTAATTCTAAAAAGACATAGTGAGGCATAATATCAAGATTTTATAAAACACCTTTATCAGAAATGAAATAGGTACAAGATGCCAAAAAGAATGATACAGAAATATCCTGGTAAATGAAGGAATATGGTGCATAGCTAGACAAAGACACCACATGGCTGGAGCTGGTTGTAGGTTCACGAGCATCCTAATAAGTAGAGTCAGCAGTTAGTACCCAAACCCACAGTGGAGTGGACACTGGCACAGTACTCGGATGACACACCATGGCCAAGTGGGGTCTAGCCCAGTGGGGTCTATCACACAAGAGTGATTCAAGAACGAAAATCAATCAACGTAATATACCATATTAATAGACTAAAGGACAAATCTATTGATCATCTCAATAGATCTAGCAAAATTATATGACAAAATCCAACACCCTTTCATGATAAAACACCCAAAAAACTAGGAATACAAGGGAACTTCTTCAACCTCACAAAGGACATGTACAGCAAACCTATAGCTAACATTACACTGAATGCTTTCACATCTAGACTAGAAACAAGACCAGAATTTCCATGTTTGCCACGTCTATTTATCACTGAACTGGAGGTTCTAGGCAGGGCAATTAAACAAGAAAAAGAAATAAAAGATATCCAGGTTGGAAAGCAAGAAGTAAAACTCTATTCGCAGATGACACGATTTTATGCACAGAAAATCCCAAGGGGTGCACTAAAAAACTGTTAGAACTAATAAATGAGTTCAGCAAGGTTGTAGGATAAAGATCAATGTATAAAAACCAACTGTATATCTATATGCTAGCAAGAAAAATTAAAAAAAAAGAAGGAAACAATTCCATTTACAATAGCATTCAAAAGAATAAAATACTTATGATTAAATTTAACAAAAAAGTTCAGCACTTATGCACTGGAAACTATAAAACATCGCTGAAAGAAATTAAAGGCTAAATAAATGGAAAAACTTTGTTCAAGTGTTGGAAGACTTCATATTGTCGAGATGGTAGTACCTCCCAAAGCGATGTGACAGTTCCTCAAAATGCTAAACATGGAAATACCACATGACCCAGCAATTCCACTCCTAGGTATATACTCAAGAAAAAGGAAAACGTATGTCTACACCTCTGTTCATAACAGTGTTATTTCTTTTTATTTTTATTTTCAGGAAGATTAGCCCTGAGCTAACATCTGCTGCCAATCCTCCTCTTTTTGCTGAGGAAGGCTGGCCCTGAGCTAATATCTGTGCCCATCTTCCTCTACTTTATATGTGGGACGGCTACCACAGCATGGCTTGCCAAGCGGTGCCATGTTCGCACTCAGGATCCGAACTGGCGAACCCTGGGCCGCCAAAGTGGAACATGCGCACTTAACCTCTGCACCACAAGGCTGGCCCCTATAACAGCATTATTTCTAATAGCCAAAAGTGAAAACATGCCACATTCCCATCAACTGATGCATGGATAAACAAAATGTGGCATATCCATAATAAAATATTATCTAGCCATAAAAAGGAATGCAGTGCTGACACAGGTAACAACACGGTGAACCTCCAAAATGTTACACGAAGTAAACAAAGCCAGTCATAGACGACCACACAAGGTGTCACCTATCTGCATACAGTGTCCAGAGTCAATAAATCTGTGCATAGAAAGCAGACTAGCGGTTGTCTGGGGCTGGGAGTTGGGGGTAAGGGAGGCAACTACTAATGAGTACAAGGTGTTGGGGGAAAGATAGAAATGTTCTAAACCTCGGTCATGATGACGGTTGCACAGCTCTGTAAGTGTGGAACTGTACACTTTAAATAGCTGAACTCTATGGTGTGTAAATGATGTCTCAATAAAACCATTTGAAAAACAGAAGAAAGTGCTCTCCAGGCTCCGAGGCACGTGCACAGACAGCATTCGGATCTGAGTTAGGATTGTCACGGCAGAGCTCTGGCTATTTCTTTTGCCCATCCTGAGAAGATGAGTTTCCTGGAGCCACTATTTACTCCAGCTCGTTGCCGACTTGGGGGAAGGCCATCTCCCAGGGCACAGGGACCTGCACTAGAGTGACTGCGCAGCGTTACTCACACGTCCTCGCCGGGGCAGTGATTCCCTTGGAAACGGGGCAGCACAGTCACTGCCACAGTGCAGGGCTGTACCTGGGAGCCTTCACCGTCTGTGATCTCCGTGGACACCATGACTGAAATGGAACATGACAGAGGAGGGTCAGCCTGGACAATGGCCACAGGGATGTTTCTGCGCATGCCGACAGCAACTGAATGATGGAAGATGGGCTCAGTGCTGGCTCAGGAGGAGATGAAATTGCAAGCTAGCTTCCCTCTCCAGTTGCTGACACTGTGGCCATCAACAATTCAATAATCAGAATCTTTGTCGGGCTGATCTATGTGCCTAGGATGGTGATAGGTGCTCCAGGGGGTACCAAAATAAGGCAAGGAGAAGGAACTGAACTTGAGGCCCTTCCATCCTTCTGGGGAGGCCCAACGTTCCAACATAAAGCACAGCACAGGGCAGTGAGTGCCAGAGAGACAGGGAATACAGGAGTGCTGACAAGAGCGGAGAAGCAGAAGTGACCACCGTGCACCGGAGGAGTTAGGAAATGATTCATTCATTCACATGCTGTCCCACACTATTCATTTGACCTGCAAGCATCGTGCATCTGCAGCAGTAGAAGAGGCCACAGGTGAACAGGACTGGTCCCTGCCTCAAGTATCTCCCTGACTGTTCAGGGTTACAGACATGTCAAAAATGTGATGACTGCTGAAACAGAGGTAAAAGTGGGGGCCGTGGGAAGCCCAGAGAGAAACACCAACTCCAGGATGGACGGTCGAGGGGTGGGGTAATATTTTAAACAGCTCCTAAGTGATATACAGAAATATGACAGGTCTAGAAAAAGCTGAAGAAGAATTCTGACTGAGGGGAAGTTTGTGTGAAGGAGCATGGCAGGACATGGCCTTTTTGGGGACTCTAGAACTCCTTCCTGTGACATGGGCGCTGGTTTGTGGTGAGGAGACCTGTAGATGACGGCCAATGGTGAAGGGCCACAGGTCCAGTTGTGTGAACCACCCAGGAAAAGCAAAACACAGATGCATCCTCTGTCTCTGTAAAGCATGCTCAACTTGAAGCACAAGGCCAAGGATTTGGGATGTAATTTTGTAGGTCGGTTCTTCCCAAGATGTGGTCCATGAACGCTCACGTCCCAATTGCCAATACAGGCAAATTCTGGGCTCCACCGTCTCCCCAGGATTCTGAATCAGTAGACGTTGTGTGGGCTCCAATCTTAACTGCAAAAAAAGCTGCAACTTTACAAAGTACTCCAGTGATTCCACTGCAGATAACAGTGGGTCCTCTGAATTGAGATTGAGAATGTAAGAGAAGGAGAAGAGTTCAGGCAAGACTCAAATCTGACACCTCAGGTTGGAGCTGTCCATGTAAACTTCATGAAAGAGATGGGACAAGATATGATTAAGTATCCATTAAAATATATTTATTTTGCTTATATTTACCCTCTTCTAAATCTTGAATTCAGATATTCATAGAAGTTGACCATTTTGATCTTGACGATTACAACTCATTGTGGACTCATTTGGAACGATCTGAGTGACGTCACTCACCCTGACACTGCTGTGTGACTGTGGCCTGAAATTTGGTTCTACAAGTTTATTCTAAGAAATCCTTTCTTCCAATACAGAGCTGAAGCCCTGCCCTAAGGTCCTTCTATTTGGATGTCCACCCAGCCCTGTGGTCTGCAGATCCTGTGGACAGGGGTCACACACGCCCCTGCAGGCTGAAGTTTGGCAAGGGCCCTCCCTGGTCTGAATAGAAGCGGCTGCCTCGAGAAGGATACCCTCGTGGTTTTGGCTTCCTCCCCTCTAAGGGTGAGTCCTTTCTGACCCAGCTCTCAGGACAGAGCTGCATGTCCAACACCAAGAAGTGGGGGAGCCTGGGGTGAGCACCCACTTTGAGGGAAATTTCCAGAAGACAGAGGGTGAGTGCAATTTCAATCTTGAAGAGCTTATGAGACAGGCCTGTGAAAACCACCTCCATCCATCAACCAACATGTCCTGTGCTCGCTGTGACACCAAGTGGACGTGCCCGCCCTAAACAGTTACGAAGTGTCCTCCTCAAAACGTCTCTGCTCAATTTCACTGATCTGCACCCGGAAGAAGGTACAAGTGTTTCTAACTGGGGGTCAGGCAAGGTTTCAGGAAAAAGGAAACATCTTAGCTGGGCTTAAGGGAGACGTGAGATTTAAATAAATCAGGTGGATGAACTAGTTCAGACTTCAGGCTGAAATAATCTCACTAGCTCAAGTCAAAGAAATTTCTAGATCAGTGACTCTCAACCTTGCCTCCACATTGGAATCATCTAGAAGTTTAAAAAGAAAACACCTCTCACTTCCAGAGATTCTGGGCTGGGTTCTACAGACCCAGATGCTTTCCTAAATGGCTGCGCCTCGAATGTGCTCAGTTGAGGCAGTTTCTGGGGCTGGTTTAGGACTGGAAGGGGCCGTAGGGATGGCGGTCAGAGGAGAAAGCTGTCAACACTAAGGACTTCACTTTGTTCTGAGAGTAGCACATGCTAACCCAACACTCCCCCCCCGCCGCAGCTTCCTCTTGGTGGGAGCACCTCGATTTGGCTTAGTCTATGACTAACGCAAGATGCACCAGATATGACAAATTTCATGAGTAAATGAGGGACAGCTTGGTCTCAAATATTTAATTCATATATACAAGACATTCTTTGGCATTTATCATTCACATTATATTTCAGTTATAATTTAAGACATAAAAACTTAATTTTATTTATAATATTACTAATGTTCTTTCTGCTAAAAAGTAGGTAATCAACCTAAACTAAAAAGTATTAAACTTATTAAGATGAATAAATAAGAATTTTCTTTTCTGGAGACATAGTTTTAACCATTTTTAGTTTTTGGAACCAGGGGAAAAGGTTTGGGGCTGTAAGTAAGCGTAGTCAGTGACACAAATCCACCAGGACTTACCTTTATAATCGTCCAAGGGCTCACCAGCAGGCAGCGCAAAGTAATACTGACTGTCTCTCCCATGGTACAAAGTGCGTTTGGCATTATTTCCTATCTGGTAACTAAATTCATAACGAAAGTCCTACGATCCGTTCCATAGAGAGCAAAAAAGAGCAGAGATCAACAAACTGAATTACAGCCCCAATAAACACATACCTGCATCTGTCACTCCACCTGAGGACGTTGTTTAGACAGGCACAGGGCAGATAACAGCTAAGTGTCCCCGAATACACACCCACGTGGGGTGACCTCCCACCTCCAGGGCCCCCCTTTCCACAAAGCCCCAAGGATTCCAAACAACAGCTGTGTCTGTCACTCAGGGTTGTGTGCTCTCCGGGCCTGGGACCCCCAACAGTCATGGAAGCACAGACCCTCTGGGCCTCCTCCAGGTGAAAGGGATGTGGCTACACCTCAGACTTCCATTGGGAGCTTAACAGACAGGACACAGGAGGGGAGGACTCTGCCAAACGTCTTGGTGATAGAGCAGGGCATCTGAACTGGGATTTGAGTGAGGACGCATGTGGGTTTCTGAGAGAAGGAGCAGCCTGGGCATGACCCGGGGCAGGAGCAGATCAGGTGTCTACACCAAGAGGATGGGGAGCCAGGCCGTTGCACTCCTCTGACCCCAGGGCTGAGCTCTGCATCCCACAGCATTTCATCCAGAGACTGGCCACAACCTCTGAGGTTTTGCTGGGCTGCAGCTGTCTCCAGTCCTTTAAGACAGATGCAGGGCTGCCAATCTTACCCGTCTCCCTGACATGCAGAAGACGCTAAAGATGGTGTGTGCCTCGAGGCCACGATGGGGCTGCACCTGACAGGCCACGTCTCGAGGAGCTTGGTTGGTGGTCAAGTACAGCTGAGCTTTCCCTAGAAAACTGTCCTTCGAAGCTACAGAAAAAATGAAATGGGGATTAAAGCCATGATGGACATTTACAGCAGCACCGGATCCCATTTTTATAGCACAAACCTCATAAGGTTGTCAAGGTGTGGGCCGCAGACTAGCAGCATCAGCATCCCCTGGGCCTCACCCCAGACCTGCTGGGTCAGAAACCAGGGGTTGGCACCCGGCGATCTATGTTAACACATCTTCCAGGGGACTCTGATGTACACTGGAGGTGAGGACCACTGCCATGAAGCATCCGCTAATATACACATATTCACTGGGCGCTCACTACACAGGGCAGCCACAAGCCCAGGTAGGGGGAGATGGAGTGGATGAGACAGACCAATTTCCCACCTGGGAGCGAGACACCAGCCAAACCGACAGAAATCAGTCTAGAGCAGAAGACACTAAAGAACACAGCACTCCAGCAAATCAAACCCTCTCCACTCCCTGCGTTCTCCTAAAGCTTCTTCCATAAACACATGTAAGTATAGCTTAGTTGAATTTATAGTACTGATACAATTTAATATTTTGTTTTTATTAACTGCCTTAATATTGTAAATATTTTCCATGTTGTCAAGTAGTGTTCAAAATCACTGTCGTAAATAGCTATTATAAATAGATATACTTTAGTATACATAACCCTCATTCCCCAACAATTAAACATTTTATTTTCTAATTTCTGCTATTATTAATTACTTTATAATAACTATTCTCATATGTAAAGTTTTTGGTTTTTACTTTTGATGTCTTTTTCTTGAGATAAATTATAGGAGTAAGATTTATATGTTGAAATTGTTTAAAATTCTGATGATGTTATGATGAGGAGGAGGAGGAATCATTTGCTGAGCCTCTGCTCCACACCAGGCACTGGGCTAGATACTGTTCATATATTATCTTATTCAATAGGCACCTCAATCATGGAAGACAGATCCTGTAAGAGTGTAAGCTCAAAAAGGAAGGAGTGACTACTTCTGAGCTGACCAGAGACATCCTCACAGCAGGAGACCCACTGAGCAGTCTTAGCATGTGAGTCGTACTGGATTAGGACAGGGATGTGGGGAAAGAATGGACATTCCCATTGAAACAACCACGGGGAAGACCTGGAGCCATGGAGGGCCTGGGGTGAGCAGGAGGGTGACAGGAGGACAGCGCTGCCAGTGAGGGTGGGCACAAGGAGACAAGGGCTGGCGCCAGGGCTGCACTGGGATGGTCTGGTGGCAGCAGAGGGGCTCTCAGTCTCCTCCCCCAGCGTCAAATATGACGGATCCGAGAGAAAGGCGTTTACACATGTTACTTGGACAAAGTTCAGAGGCAAAAGAGAGTGAGGTCTTGCTTTGGCAAAAGGCATTTGTGGAAACAAAAGGAAATGTGGTCCCTCTTGTGGCAAACATAGGACCTAGGGTTTAGTTTCTAAATGCACCATGGGAGGCAGGAGGATGTTCATAAAGATGTCAACAAAAACAGTGAGGATCAAACCTCGGGGGCCTTATTGAGCTCCACTGCCATGCTTTCAATCAAAAGTTAACCTTGGGTTTCTTCCTTGAGAGAAACCAGAGTCAGCGTGGAATGCAAAACTGGAAATGCATGAAGGGTTTCAATTAGTGCAAAAACGTGGACACTGAACCAAACTCATCTGTAGATGAAATCTGTTGAATGCTTTGTGCTTGTCATATGGAATTGGAAGCCTCTAGAAATGGGGCAAGATGTCTAGAAACTACCCAAAAAGAAGATGTCAGATTGAGTCATGGAAACGCCAGAAAGAACATAGAGCAGTGGTGAATTTCATCAACACTGACTCTGCAGAATGACAGGAACAACACCTGGCTGGGTTTGAAATATATGTAGAAGTTATCAACCAGTTTGCAGGGAAGGAGTGAACTCACGCAACTGTCTAGGACAAATAAAACACATGTGTAATAAAAAAAAAGACAGCCCTCTCAACCTTTACTGTGATCTGAACATCCACGTGATCCCTTAAGGAAGAGTAAACTTACAGGGGCACACCCGGATCTCCTTCCCCCATCCTCTAACATCAGGAAGTAACAATGAGCAGTGAAGTGACAGTGAGGAAGGAGGGGAGCGTCAGGACACTCTGGAACAAGAGCCCAGGCCTGTCAGATGTGACTGCAATTCCCAGGAGAAACATATGAATATAGCACAGCCTTATCATCCCCCACACCAGATCTGGCTGACAACTTAACATACCCACAGAGGCTTGTAGGACATACGTCTCCCCAGGGCTCAGTGAGTACGGCTTTATGGTCACAGTTTGCTCCGTGATACCTATGGGAAAGGAAGGGCCACATGGAAACAACCATCAGTGACTCAGAAGGACAGGAGGTCAGACAAAACCCTTGGCACAGGTTTCACCCTCACTCCAGAGGTGAAGGGGAAATAGTACCAGTTAAACATGCTTCTTGCTACCTGGACATGCCGGTGGTTTGTTCACCATCTGCCCTCTTTACAGAGGGAAGAGCTCATCCCCTGCCCAACAGAAGCAACACTGAGCAGGGACCAGTGTGCCCTGGCTCAGGAAAGACACTCACCTCCCTGGCAAAAGAGAACGCTGGTAAGAGCTTATTTTATATATTTATAACTAGGTTCTGTGTTTAATTTGACTATTCTATAAATGTAGTTTATCCATACAGTATGATTAAGTTATTTCAAAGGAATTTCTAAATCTTTGCAGGATATTGGTTGTGAAAATCTGGGTGTGACAGTGGACCAGTGGTGACTGCATGACTTCCTTAGCAGGGAGAGGCTGACTCTGAACTGCCTACCCTGAAAACAGGAGATCCACAATGCAACACTGATGAGCTGAACAAGGACAGTTTAAACATCACAATTTAAATCCGCATTTCCTGAAATTCTTCAGGGGGAGGGTGAGGAGGCAATCATTTCACAATAGTGTGATACCTAGAGCCTCAGCTGAGGGATGACATCATTGTACGTGTTACCATGAAAGGCATCCATGCAATAAATTGAGCAGAACCAGAAGTCTGCACTGGCAAATGGTTAAAATTCAACTGCTCTGCAGGAACAGCGTCATTGTGCTCAACTGTGGGAGCACTCGTCCCCATCATGAAATGCCCTAACAGAATATGTGCACAAAGGTGTCTGGGCACCAGTTCTCTGGGCCCACCACTCATGTCAGTTTAGCAGGCTCTTCCTCTCAGTCTGCAAACAGGAGGCTCCTGGCAGGCACCAATTCTACCTTTGATAAAAGAGCTCTGTGGTCCAGAGAGGTACAAACACAAGTTGAGAAGGTACCATGACCCCAAACACTTCTCTAGTAAAAGGAAAAGTTGCAGAAGAAATTGAGAGGCTGGAATCCAAGCTTTTATGAAACAGCTGTAAATTCTAAGACACAAAGAGGGTCTTCATACCGGATGAGGTGTAGCCGTGGAAAACAGCTCGGCGAACCAGGGACTTGGGCCAGTCCACCATGAGCACAGGCCTGGCACTAACAGTGGGGAGGAACGGGCCCAACAGGTTGTCCCCATCACCGTGGCTCTCATCAGCATTCACATTTGGTCCTGATCCTGGGAGGTTGATGTTGGTCCCTAAGAAGATAAACCAAACCAACGGATGGTGAAGAAAAAAGTTGTAATGATCCTCTTTTCATTTCATTCTCTTCATGTTCAAAGTCGGTATCAAGAACAATTTCCATTATTGCTGGATACTGCATATCTAAAACCGTCTTTAGCAACTGAACATATTCAAGAGAAGAACTTCCTCATCATATGATTAGTGGTATAACTACATATTCCTTCCTTCCTCCCTTCATTTATTCAACAAATATTTATTCTGGTCTACTAAGCCCAGGTACCAGTCTAGGGACTGGAGATGCTGCAGTAAGCCAGAGGAACAGAGTCCCTGGAATTCTATGGTGAGCAAGTCAGAAAAAGAACCAAGAAAATACTCACAAAAATACTACAAAGCCAGGTAATGATAGCGCCGTGAGGATAAAGCAGGGCATGTGGGATGAGAGAGAGAGAAAGGATCGGGAAGGGGCTGTTTTAGAGATGGTGGTCAAGGAGGAACCCCCTCTGGGAGGGGCTCAGAACACAGACTTGAATAAGCTCTTTGAAGGAACTACGGTGGGAATGATCTGCAATATGGGTGGAGGGAGTGAGTAAGGGGCAGAGGGCAGAAATGAGACAGAAGAAATTGCCAAGGCCCTGGCTGCCGCCCCGAGTGTGGCAGAAGGCCACAGGAGGGATTGGCCAGGAGGCACGTTCTGGTTTGTGGTCCTAAAAGTGCTCTGGCTGTGCAGGCAGATGACTACAGGCAGCAAGATAGAAGCAGAGACAATGAAAGATTCCTGCACGGGCGAGGCAAGAGATGAGGCTGGACTTTGCTTAGGGAAGGCTGATTTGAGACTTCAAGTAAAGGTCATTGAAACGAGATATAATGACAAAGGGCATCAATGTTGGGGGATTAGAATGGACGCTCAACTGTCAGGAGGAGTAATTTTATGAATGCAATGTTTTTTCTTCATTTAGTATTATTTACTAAGCACCTGCTGGGAATGTAAAAGCGAGCCCCCAGAACAGATGTGTATGGCAAACAGGAAGGGGCACAGAGGCTGCAGAGACCATGGCTCTGGAGGCAGTTGAGGACTGTCTAAGAACACACTGAGTAAATTAGGTAAAGAAATTGCTCACTGCTCAATCATCTGTTCATTTCACAAACAATCATTCACTGATCATCCATGTATTCCTTCCATAGATAAATCAGTCATTCACTGATCATTCATTATTCATTAGATAAATAAATCATTCATTGATCATCTATTCATTAGATAAACAAATTATTCACTGCTTATCCATCTACTCATTCAATAGATAAACTGTTCATAGATCATCCATCTATTCATTCCAGATACAAATAAATCATTCACTGACCATTCATTATTCATCAGATAAACAAATTGTTCACTGATCGTCCATCTATTCATTTGATAATAAATCATTCACTGACCATCCGTCTATTCACTCGATAACACGCTCATTGCATGCTAATATGCCAGGCTCTGTGACAGGTCTGGGGACGCAAGTATAAACTTGCCATGGAAGCTTTCCTTGGCGATCTCAGAGTGGGAGAGACAGACATAGAAAGTCAATGAGTACAACATGCCACCTGCTTTAAACAGGTGGGAATAATACACTGCACTGCTGGCGGGGAGTGTCACAAGACAAGAAGGAGGGGGACTTCCCAGAAAGAGGGAAATGGAAGCCTAGCAGAAAGGAGGAAGCTCTTCAAGATGACTACCTGGGAAGGACACTGAGGGAGGCGTTTCTGGTAGATGACCCACCATGGACCAAGGGATGGGAGAGAGACAGTGTCTACCTGGGCCTGGGGCTAGTCTTGGGTAGGGTACCAGAAGCACAGGGGACCCGAAGTACAGAAGTATGTGAGTTAGAAATAAAGGTTTGGGTCAGATCGTGCTGTGCAGAGGAGCTTGAACTTTTCCCTTTGACTCTGGGGCTCTCTGTGGTCTTGGTAAGGGAGTGGTGTGGTAAACCTAGATTTCAAAAGAGGGCGTGGAGGGACTAGAGTGAAGGGACATGGACACAGGGGGCTCCAGAAAGAGGCACCAGTCATAGACTTACAGTCACCCGGCTGTCTCCCTTTGGATGGCATTGCTTCTTGGATATCACTGTAATAGGCTTCAAAATCTACATGAAAGGACAAAATCATAACGTTTCATTTAAAACCACACACTCCCCTGAAATTAATACTGACTCTCCTGATGGATCACTAACATTGCCCCCCGTCTGTTTCTGGAATCTGCATACTGTTTTGTGAATTACAAAGTCCCTAAAAGGTAGTATTTCACCACATCATCATGACAGCTGGGGGAGACAGGTGTCATTGTCCCCAGGGTCCCCAAGAGGAGCTGGCATTCCCAGTAGGTGTGTGGCTTCCCAAAGATAACCTGGCTAGTAGGTGTAGGGAAGAAGGCCCAGATGCTCTCTTCAAGCGTGCTTCCGCTGTTCTTTCAGAGAACGCTTGGTACTCTTTTCTCTCAGAGGGAGAGAAATAGACATAAGAGCATCCTGCTGCAAATGTCAATTTTCTGTCCCCTCAGCCCTACTCTCTCGAGGTCTGAAGATTTCACAGAGGTCACCCCACCAGCTAATTCTTCTCTTCCGAAGTCTGAGGATTTCACAGAGGTCCCCCACTAGCTAACCTGAGGCTGGGAGCCCTGGGGTGTGGCGGCCAAGTGCACAGGGCAAAGAAAGCACCATCCCCTGACTGTGAGTAGCCAAATCAAATGGCGTCACTGGGGAGGGACAATAAGGGGGATGGTAGATGCTGGGCCAGAACCTTTCTCACTGACAGTGAACTTTTCTCTTAATTTTTTAGGCACAAAGATAGTTTCTTTCCAACCTGAAAACCAATGGTAAAGTGAACCAGTCGATCACTAGGGGAGAAGTGAAAGGTGAGCAAGCTGACGTGGATGGATCACCTACTGCAGCCCAGACTCTACGTGTTTTCCAGGTTGGAGAGGAGGAAACAGACTCCACGAGCATTACACACAAGTTGTGCGTGTGAGGTCAAGGCCCATGTGGGTGTGATTTCACACCTAGACCACCAGGCACAGGCACTTACCAGGGAGGTGAGGGGCTGGGCTCTGTGGGGGCGAACTTCTCCCAGAGGGGCTGGGCCTCGGGGACCCCTCATGCTGAGGAGTCCCCCGTGGGGCTGCAGGGCCACCAGCAGTGGAGCCCCGATACATGCTGACCAGGGACTCCGTGGAAGTTCTCCTCAAGGCTGAAAGGGCAGGCCGGCTCGGGGTCTTGGGCCATGGCTTCCATGAGGATGGGGTGGTTGTTACATAGGGAGCTGCCCTGCGTGGCTCCGGGGACAGCAGATCAGACCCTGACAACTTCGAAATGTCTCCAAATCTTGAGGATCCAAGGAGCCCCACTGTTCGACAAAAGGGAACTTAAAAAAACATTTAACAGTGTTAAAAATGGAGACAAAAAACCCACTTGGCTTAAAAAGGTCTGCAGATTATATCAGAAGGCTTGTTTTAAACAAATCTGACACAAACGCCATGGAACAGCTGTTTTCACCTGGTGGCGTGCAGAACAACAGTAGGAAGGAGACATACAGAGCAGGACACTGGCTCGCACGACCATTGCGCCTGGGACCTGCTCTCCCTCAGTCCCTATGTGAACTGAGAGGGGCCTGCCCCATCCGTGTGCTCCAGCATGGGTTATTCGTGCATGTTCTAGAAGCACTCTGGGCACATGGAGTCTCTCCTAATCCTTTATCACCTGTCAGTGTCTAGTATAACAATTCTAAAAGTTATCTGTAAAGGATCAATAATAAAGAAAAAATTTCCAAGGATGTAAAAAACAATGTCTCAATAAAGTAAGCATTCACTTTCCCATGAGAGAGCAAGATTCTTTGGCAATAAAGGTTGAGATACGCCAGTCTAGGGACAATCCTTTGCTTTGCTGCAAAGTTTAACCACTGGCTGCATTTCCACTGCAAGCTCTTCTAGCACATTCAGCACAGGCTCTGATTCAGAAATTCAATTTACCTAAAGAATGTGGGAAGGCCCCCCTGCAAAGAAGGGCACAATCGCCTCTATGTCTTCAGGTCCCTTCAGCCGCTGAGGTCAGCTCTGCTCAGAGCTCTACATACGGGCGCTTTGTACGGCCCCATTGAACGGATAAAAAATAAATAAATGTGGGTCTCTGAGGGCTTGGCACAAGCTTCGGTTGTAGGAGCCAGCCATGTCCAGCTCAGAAATAAAAGCTCCTCTGTTTGCCGTTCACAAATACCACCAGTGAGAACTCACTTCACTCCTGGTTCTAACCCAGGAGCTGACACACCTAGAGGTCCACATCCGGCACCAGGGCCTGGGTGTCTTCACACACGATTTTATTCAACCTTGCCCCCGCCCTGTTTAGAGTTATGATCCACATTTTTCACCCAAGAAAATCGGGTCTTGGAGAAGTGCTTGAAGTCTCAGCTAGCGGTGCTGGAGCGAGGAGCGGCCCCAGGCTTTCCTGCCACTCCTCTGCTCAATCCCAGTGTGGCCGCCCCAGGGGACAAGTGAGGGCTGGAAGGACAGAGGCCCTGGAGGGGTGAGCATGTCATGAGTCATTTCAAATAGCCACGACTGCCTCCATGAGTATGGAGTCCAGTCTCCTTCCGGCCACAAGGCTGAGAAGCAGCATTTGAACGCTTCTCTTCTGTGCTGTCACAGCATCCACACGAGTGTAAAAGAAGAGGAAACACGGACGCAATGAAGGGTGAGCAAGACCACAACACTGCTTCAAATGAATCAGATTTTGCAAAGTTTTAGCAATCTCAAAGTAACTCTGAGTTTTTTCCTCAGATAGCAAAATAAAGCCAACAATCATCTTTACCTTCTACACTGTGCTTTTCTGTTGCGTTGACTAAAAAGAGCTCCCAGGAGTAAGAGAGAGTGGATATCGCACCACACCCTTCACACTCAGCTTGAAGAGAAAGTTCTTCATTCCAATTAACAAAGATGTCTCTAAAGTTGACCCAGGAAATGTGGACAAATCTGGAACATGCAAATCGGGTTTGAGATTTTAGGAAATTAACTGAAGTTTCTTTGGCCGCGTTCATTCATGTCTGGCATGTTCAAATCGCTACCCATTGAGCCTGTATTTCATGAATGCAATAGCAGTATCACAGCCAACACGACCGAGCATCCACATGTAGCCACGCCTGCGCCAAACTTGACCCAGCCATACCTCACGCGACACTGGCCAGGTCCTAGGAGGCTATGCACTGAGCTCAGAGAGGCTTTGCCACTTCCTCCAGGTCACACAGAGCTCAGGGGAGAGCCAGTACCAAGTAGCTCCAGGCCTGGCTCTGGCCAAGCTCTCCACACAAGGCAGCCTGCGTTGTCTCCTCACCTCACCTCGGGCTTGCTTCTACCACTCCGAGTGAGGCGGGACTCGGCCACAAACCCAGCCTCACCTGGACACCCCCACGGCTGTGCACATTTGTCATTCCCACTGGGCCTTGGGAGCTCAGAGGGAAAGATACCATCTTGCCACAAGGCCCTGCCTCCTCCCTTCACGGGCCCTTGGTCATGCGGTGCCCCACACCCCACACACAAAGCCCCACGTCCACTTCCCTCGGGCCTGCATCCCTGCGGCTCCTCCTAACTCCTCCTCTAGTCTCTTTGGCTGACCCAGCCCTCTCCAAAGTGCACTGTGAGGAATATGGCTCTTTAGGACATCACATGGGGTCTGGGATTGTTGTGTTGGGTTGATTCAAGGGATTTCTTTCCTGCGGAATGTGGGGAGCCTTTAGAAGGCCAAGGCAGGGAGGGACCCTCTGAGAGGGTGTGTGGTGCAGGCATCTCCCAAGTGAAGGTACCAGGCCCTGGACGCGTCTCAGACTGCTGCCTGCACATGTAGCTCCCAGCCAGAAGACCAGGGAGGGCACACATGTCATCGCCTGGCCCTGGGCCAGCCTGTCCGTGTATGTGTCTCTGTGCAGGTGTGTGTTTCTCTGTGTGAGTCCGTGTGTGTGCATGTATGTGTGTGTGTCTCTGTGTGTGCGTGTGCATGTCTCTCTTCATGCATGGTGTGTGCGGGTGTGGTGGGGTAGGGTAGGGAGGGGATGAGGTGGACACGGCCAAGGAGAGGCCCAGCTGGCCTGAGATCCCCCCAGGGACATTGTCAACAGGGGCCAGATAATTTCTGATGGGACTGACAGATGTTCACCCAACAACTTTATACATGGTAAATGAACATTTTAAAATAAATTCCGTAATTATTTTGTGAGCTGCTACGATGGGAGGGGCACCTCCTACTCGGAGCCCCTAATGTCAGCGTTAGCCTAGCGAGCTCCACCCAGAGGCCAGCCCGAGAGCAGGGTCACTCCTTGCCCCTTCTGACCAGTCTCCTCCCTCCTGAGCAGCAGGGATGCTGCGTGGCTCCAAGCGCAACCCCTGTATGCACAGCAGGTTTCTGTGGTCACTCTCAACACCAGCCGGGTGCAGGGCACAGGAGGGCAAACTCCGCGGAGACGCACTGTGGGGGTTGCAGTGCAGGTGGTACCTGAGTGCTGAGTCGGGGCGTGTGGACAGGAACACCTGTGCCTCTGAAGAGTTCCGGCCGTGGCTGGACACTGTCAGCGTCACTAGAAACTGGTCATAGGTGTCGCTGAGAGAGTTGGCTGCAAAGGAAAGCGTGGGAGCCGAGGCGTGCAGGCCATGTGGAGAGGAGGACGGGAAGCAGAGGCGCCCAGGGGCGCTGGCTGCGGTGCATTTCCAGTGATACCTGTGGGAGAGGCATTGATGGGCTGAAGGCGACTGCTCTGGCCAGTCAGAGGACAATGTTGTTGCCAAGTGGGCTTTCCCTGGGGCTGCAAAAGGGAGCATGTGGGCTGGGGAGATAGGATGTTTCCCTTACTGTCTGGTGTAAGCGGGGTGGGAGGTTCCAAAAGTGGGAGCAGAACCACCAAGTCAGGGGTCCCGGCCCAGCCTCACCCAGCTCACTTGCTCAGGGCCCTGGAGACCTCGCATGTGGCCCTGCTCCCCAGTCCCTGAGTGCTTCCCATCCCCTGGGCAGCCATGTGCCCTGGTCATCCCCTCCTTCCACCCTGCCCTGCACGGAGGCTGCCTCCCACCTCCATCACATCTCTGCACCCCACCAAGCCGCGCTTCACAAACTGCCTCTGAGCCCACAGCTCCACAGGGCAGACAGGCAGGCCACATCCTCCCAGCTTTTGGGAGAAAATGCGTTCCGAGGGCCTCAGGGGAATAGCCCAGTCCCAGAAGTACTAGTGGGCGGGCCAGGAGACTGCAGACGCCTCACCTCCCAATCTCACCATCCTCTGCAATGTGACATTGCTGAGTTCAACAATCAGAAAGACAGCATCATCCCCACCCTTCAGCGGGTCTTACTCTAGCAGGGGACACACACTGAAACAAAGAGCCCCACCTAGGGAGAGAGGCAAGAATGGACGTGTGTGCCCGGAGGGGAGGTCTGTACGACCCCACAGCAGTGAGCCCCGCACAGGTGCTCCCTGAGTCTCTGAAGTGCTGTTCATCTGTCAAAGTGCCATTTCCTCATGTGGACTGTAAGTGATCTGAACCTGGAACTAGTTCTACACCTCTCTTTCCAACGCCTGCACGAGGCGGCAGCATCGCAAAGTTCCGTTCATCCCTCAGCTGGCAGGAGCTCAGCCCCGCTCAGCTGGCGGGTCCAGCTCACACGCACTGCGGAGCATGGTCCTCCAGGGTTCAGCTGGAGTATTCTTCACTCCCAGGGAGCAGATTCAGCTCATTGCAGTAGACACACGCTGAGCTCTTGTCTTCGGGCACCCTACTGGGTTCTAGGGGGAGGGGTGCAGAGATGAACAAGACCCAGCTCTGTCTCCTGAGGCTGGGGGAGGGGAGGTACACAGCCAGCTGTGTGCTTGGTCCGAAACACGTGCTTGAGAACAGCTAGGGGACGGAATTGGCCAGTCCAAGAGGATGCCTCTCACCTCCACCAGGCTTACAACACACCAAAGCCCCCAGTTGGAATGTAGCAAATGTGTGTGTGGTTATAGGAGTTAAGGGAATAAAGAGGCTTCTCTATTTATTTATGAATGTTCATTGAGTACCTGCCATGTGCCAGGCAGAGGGGATATAGCAAACCGGAGCCCTGTCCTCCTGGAGCTAATATTCCAGTGGGGACAGAAAATTAACAGTGATCATAAAAAGTGAGCAAATGATCAGATGTTAGAGGAGAAGATTGCTTATGGAAAAAGAAACAGCAGAATCAGGATAGGATTCTTGTCAATTTTTTTTTAAATATATCACTTTTTTTGGTGAGGAAGATTGGCCCTGAACTAACATCTGTTGCCAATCTTCCTCTTTTTTTTTCTCCCCAAAGTCCCCTAGTACATAGTTGTATATCCTAGTTGTAGGTTCTTGTAGTTCTTCTATGTGGGATGCTGCCACAGCATGGTTTGATGAGCAATGCTAGGTCCATGCCCAGGATCTGAACTGGTGAACCCCAGGCTGCCATAGCAGGGCATGCAAACTTAACCACTGGGCCAAGGGGCCAGCCTCCTCTTGTCACTTTAAATGGGGTCATGGTGGGGCTCACTGGGAAGGTGACTGAGCTCAAATGCAAGGAAGCAAAGTGGTAACAGATGTCAGTGCACTGAAGGAGGAGATGCAGAAGGCACCTCCCTGCAGAGGTGCTGAGGGAGAAGCAGGCCCCCGGATGTCAGAGGTGGGCAGGGGCACCAGCTGTCTCAGAGAGAGAGAAAGCAGGAGCAGGAGGAGAGAAAGTCCAAGGGTAAGAGGTGGGGGCAGATCACCGTGGGCTTCACAGGCGTCGCAAAGACTTGGATTTCACTGAGTGAAAGGGCAGCACTGGAGGGTTTGGAGCAGTGAAATGACATTTTCTGATGTGTTTTATTTTTTATTTATTGACTTTTTTTTTTTGGCTGAGGAAGATTGGCCCTGAGCTAACATCTGTGCCAACCTTATTCTGTTTTGTATGTGTGTCACCACCACAGCATGGCTGACGAACAGCATAGGTCCATGCCCAGGAGCCGAACCAGGGCTGCCAAAGTGGAGTACGTTAAACTTAACCACTAGGCCACTGGGCTGGCCCATAAAAGACTCTGCCCACCTGCTCTGTGGAGAATGGACTGAAAGGGGTGGGTGGAAGCATGGAGACTGGTGAGGAGACCTTATGGAAATAAGCCCAAGGTGGTGACGGCTCAGACCAGGGAGGAACCAACAAGATTTCCTGACAGACTGGACGAAACAGGAGAGAAAAAGAGAAGCCAACAATGCTGCTCAGGTTTCTGTCCTGAGCAACTAGAAAGATCCTTCCCTCAGCAGAGACAGGAAGGCTGCAGGGGAGAAAGCGGGTCTTGTGGCTGATATTTCTCTCTAGGCACACGGGAGAGGATGCCGAAGAGATGATGGGATCTCCAGCCTGGAGAGTGGGGAGTGCTCTGGAAGGAGGGAGTGTGCTCGAGGTAATTGGTGCATGGATGGTGTCCATGGCGGATGTGTGTTCCAGGTTATCTGCACATGCATGGTGTCCATGGAGGATGTGCGCTCGAGGTTACTGGTGAGTGGATATAGCTACAGCAGGACACTGGAAGAGGCCACCTGGGGAGGGGTGTGGCTGGAGAAGACCAGCACCTGAGCCATGGGCCTCTAACATCAAGGGACTCACCCATTTAGAGAGGTGCAACACTTAGAAATCAAGCTTCCTATGCACCAAATGCACCTTACAAACCAAAATTTTTAATAATAACCTATTTGCTATGGACTAAATGTTTGTACTCGCTCAAAGTTCATCTGCTGAAGTCCTACTTCCCAAGGTGATGGTCTTACGAGGTGGGCCTTTGGGCGGTGCTTAGGTTGTGAGGGTTGCGCCCCCATGAATGGGATTTGTGCTTTTACAAAAGAGACCAGAGACCCTCTCACCCCTGCACAGAGGGAGGATGGTCATCTATGAACCAGGAAGCAGGTCTCATCAGATACTGAACCTTCCGGCACCTTGATCTTAGACTTTTAGCCTCCAGAATTGTAAGAAATAAATATCTGTTGTTTATAAGCATCCCAGTCTATGGTATTTTGTTACAGCAGCCTGAACTAAGACAATATTTAAATCTCACATCCCAAAATACCAACTTACAAAGCTACTCCTGTTTATTTCCACCCCTTTCCTAAATTCCCTGATATTTTGACAGTACGTGAAACATCAGTTCAGCTAATAAAATTTGAGGTACTTGAAATTTTTAATTATTATGGCAGAATTCTAAGCCCAGCTCTCCCAACATTCTGGTGCCCAAGTTTGGAGAGGGCAGAGGAGGAAGAGAAAGGCCGTGAGGAGAGTGAGCAATTGCACCCAGTCCTTTAGTGCTCACCTGAGAGGTGCCCCAGGCTTGTCCGGGTCGTAGGACAGGAATCCCCTGAGGATGATGGTGGTCGAGGGGGTCCTCGAGACAAACAGGTGTGTGCCCTCGGAGATCACGCTGACAGGGGCCCGGGCTCGCACCTCCACCCCCACACAGTAGTTACTGTGCACGGCACTGCCTTCCACCTGAACCTGGAACACCAATGACAGGGACGTCACTCAGGGGATCGGGCTCGGGCAGGATGCCCACAGGAGGCACATGCTTGTCTTAAAATTAGAAGGAAACTGGTGAGTCTAAATGCAGCATCAGCTCCAACTAGAGGCTTCGAGCACTGCACAGAAAGACAATTATTTTCAACTCCCAATCAAACTAAACATCCCACTGTGTGCCCATTGGAGACAAAGTGGCTGGAGCCAATGAGAGTAGGAACATTTTCCTAACCAAGCCTGTATCAACACACAAAGCTGGGGTTTCCCTAGGTTTGTGACCGTAACAACACCTTAGATAACAACTCCCCAAGTGTGCACATATTTCAGATTTCAAACCTGCTCCGCCAGCGGTAAATTTTCCCATGGTCTCAGATTTCATTTATTTACTTTCTTTAAGCTGCCTTTTCAACCCCCAAACATATTATGGACTTAAAGAAATATAGATGAAATTTAAGACAAATATGTTTAAGCTCAGGAATAGTGGAACCTTTTATAAATACTGCATTCAAAAGTATTCTTTTAAAAGTTTGATGCAATTTGAAAAACTACAGTCTAGCACATGCTATCTTTCACTGGTCTCGGCCTTGCTCCTTCGTGATTTCCTTCATGAAGATCCTCATGGTTCCCTGCTGGTGGTTCCCCTGCGTGGGCGCCATGGCCGTCTAAAGACTGCGTGATAAAACTCCCATAAGCCTCCAACCTCTGCTTGCTCAGCTCCTCCAGCCCAAGGAACCATTGAGAACATCCAAGTCTGTGAAGGACGGAGGAAGTGAGGGCATGAGCTACGTGTCAGGATGGCAGCACGGTGGGAGCTCTGGACATCTGCAGCTGTGACCACTGAATGCAATATGTGGCGGCGAGCTCAGATAGCAGCAAAGGCGCCTTACCAAATCTGATCTCCAAGACCTGGAGAAAGACACAGCCTGGGCCCACTCAAGGGCAGTGATGTGGCTAATGAGGAAGTGTGCCAACCAACAGAGCCATTGAGCACAGAAGCTTCAATCTCAACTTGAACCTTTCTCACATGGCCAGGGGAGGGGTGCCTGCAAACCTACTATCTACGGTCTAGGGAAAATGAACTATCACCAGCTGGACGCACCAGGCTCCCAGTGCTCGGTCTTACAACCATTGCAATGCTCATCTTATGCACCTTATCCAACAGCACACATGCTCTCAGAGCTGGTGGCTGGAGAGGAGCTCCCTTGGCTCCACTGTTCTGTCCCTTTCTCTTCTTGCCAGGTCATGTAGCACTCTCTTGTGACCTTATACAGTGTAAACCAGCCCCTGCAAGAATGACCATTTTTTCCTAACGTGAAAGCAGTATTTGTGGTCTTCAGAGTTGAGGGCCAGACCACAGGTGGTTGGATGCCCGCGTGAGGCCTCCTGGGAGGCTGGCCAGACAGCCTGTCTTGGGACCATCCTCCATCCCATTCACCTTCAACTGGACACCAAGAAGGTAAGGTCGGTGGAATACACCCCATACGATGACCTCACAGGGTCTGTTCCCGGACCGCTTCAGTGTGGCTTAAATCTACCGTCATAGGAATTGCTTCCCAGGGACCTCGGTGCCAAAGTGACTCCAAGATTAATCATAGAAACAGAACACCTACTTGCCCTTATCAATGTGATAGTGGGCAGTAAAAATTATAAATTGAGATGAACCAAGAAAGAATACAGACTGAATCAGGAACAAGTGATTTTTTTAAAGAATATAACTAATAACACATTTCTACTATTTTAAAATTAAACTTAAGTAACTCTGGTAGAAGGGATCCTTATGATGCTTATTACAGAGATGCCAAAACCTTGCCTCCTTTTCAAGCTCTTTCCCCATCCCCTGAGGACACTGGCTGCTGGCCGGGCACTCCTCACGTTCCCTCCCCAGGCCCCAGCAGGAGGCTGCGCTCCCTGCCTTGCTTCGCCTCCTTTGCTTCTCCACTCTGCACAGACAGCTCCAAACAGCTCCGCCCAGCTCCCGCCCTTGACCCCACCTCTTTGCTGGACATGCCGCCTGAACATCCTCCTAACAACTCCAACATGACTCACTGAACACTGAAGCCATGACCGTACCCTATCTCCCAACAGTCTGCCTTCCTATCGTCTTCAGAAGAAACCCCCAGCACGTTGTCAGCCTCATGTCCCACCAGTCACCCCCACAAATTGTACCTGCTTCAGCCTGATGGGACTACTGCCCCCGCCATCATGGAACACTTCCCCCAACCTTCAACACTCCAATTACCAAAGGCATGGCTAACCCTTCCTCGGAGCTCCCTTGTCATGTGGCCTGTCTCACATCGTCTATAGTTTGTTGGGTTCCACCTACCTCCCCCACTGGATGATGGGCTCACCTGTGCAAAGGTCTTATTTATCTTTGCACCCCTCCCTGGCACAGAACCAGACACAAATAGATGCTTATTTTCATTAGGAAAATGAAGAGCGGCCTCACTCTCCTCTACTCCTGCAGTCTTACAGACTTTTCTCTGATTTTCCCATTTCATCCTTACAATTAGTCACCATGGCAGGTCAATTGCTCCCACCCATCCTGAAATCCACCCTATATTTACCTGCTCTGTGCTTTATTCCCACTGCCTCTATCCTGTTTCAGTCTCTAATTGTCTCTTGACTTCACTATTAGAATACTCTAGAGTTTAGCATTAACAGAGTAAAAGTGAGTACTCTAGAGTATTAGTATTAGCAGGTTCGAGAGTAATAGTGAGTACTCTGGAGTTTAGTATTAGCAGATTCTATAGAGTAATAGAGAGCACTCTAGAGTATTAGCATTAGCAGACTCCAGAGCAACATGAGCACTCTAGTGCATTAGTATTAGCAGACTCTAGAGTAACCATGATTATTCTAGAGTATCACTATGAACAGATTCTAGAGTAACAGTGAACACTCTAGAGTATTAGTAACCGCATACTTTAACAGTAAGTACTCTAGAGAGCATTTTAATGGTGAAGTCCCATGCTTCAATCTGTTTCCAACTCTTTCCCAATTATTATTTCCAAAGGAGAGTATGGATCATGCTCTGTTGCCTCTGAATTTTTCTATTACCTTCATCCGAAACAGTGCTACTCAAAGCATGGTCTGCAGCCCTCTGTCACCTGGCCCATTGTTACAGGCCTGGCGCACAATGAGATAAGAACAGAAATTGAGAGGAAGCATTTGGAAACCCTTACCACAGTTCAGCACTGCTGCGACATCCAAGTACCTCATCAGTGCTTCCTGGAGCAAGGTCTGGGCCAGCCTGGGTGTTGATGAACTCCTGTGTGAGCCATGTGACTGGGAGCTGGCACTGGTGCACACTGTAGGCCCACGTGTCCATGGATTAAAGAACAAAGCTCCCTTGCTGGAGCGTTTGGGCGGCACTGCACTGGTCTGGTCTCAGGTCCACCTCCCCAGCCTGGCCTTTACCACCTGGCAATCTGATCTCAGATTCTCCCTTCAGGGTCCACTCCCTACCTGCTCCGCTGAGCTCACACCCCTGCACAGAGTCGTGGTCTCCTTCCCGGCCTTGGCCAAGCTGCTGCCCCCTCCACACACTTTATATGCCTATGAACAGACTCTCCTGCAGGAAGCCGGCTTCTAAAATGAACTTCTTGATCGTCTAACCCACATATTTTCACTATTTTTCCAGCACTAATGCACTGAGCACGTGCAGAGGGTCACCAGGGATGCCCTCTCCTGGCCCCGCTCTCTGACGAACATCCCGTTTCCTTTCCAGGCAATGAGCTCCTTGATGACACAAATATTCATCTGAGATCCTGGGACCATTGCAGTGATATATCAAAGCAGGTGCACAGGAAAGTTCTGTTAAATAAATAAGGAGTTTTTAATTGATTACTTTGCCAGCATTTGAACATAAAATCTGTTCTCTCAAAGAAATTAAACATTTCTCTTGAAATCCTAGCCACAGTTTTTTCAAGAACCCCCCTCTCTGAGACAGAACAGGTTTGGAGCTATAGGTGTTCATCTCCTGCTCAAAGGCGGGTGGAAAGGAACAGTTTCGTTGTGCAAGTGGAAGTGTAAGCTGGCCAGCCCACCTTGGCAAGTGCAGTGTAGTTCCCGGGTTCCAGAAAGTAGCTGGGGACAGTGACGGTCTGTTCATGAGTGTTCACAGCAGGGGGCAGGGGCACCTGCAATCCTGCAGAGTTTGTGAAGCTCCAGGTGTAGGAAAGGCCTTGGGAGATGTCACAGAGAATGGCAGCTTCAAAGGTCACTCCCAGTTTCACAGGCTGAGACCTCCACACCTGCATATGAAAGGGCAAAGATGCCTCATTAACACTCTCATTACGCCTAATACCAGAGGAAATCATGAAAAATTCACTCTCGGCATAGAACTCCAATGATTGTCTGTGTAATCACAGGATGGGATTCTCAGAGCTGGAATTTAAAGCACCAATAAGAAATAGTACAGGGGCCAGCTTAGTGACATAGTGGTTAAGTTTGCGTGCTTCGCATCAGCAGCCTGGGGTTTGCAGGTTTGAATCCCGGGTGTGGACCTACATACTGCTTGTCAAGCCATGCTGTGGCGGCATCCCACATACAAGATAGAGGAAGACTGGCATAGATGTTAGCTCAGCAACAGTCTTCCTCAAGCAAAAAGGGGAAGACTGACACAGATGTTAGCTCAGGGCCAATCTTCCTCACACAGACACACACACACACAAATACTACATCTATTTTATAGACAAAAATAAAAAGTCAAAATATAAAAATAATGAGAAGAAAGAACAAGTATTTATACTTATAATGAGAAAAGAAACCCTTCTAAGCATAAAATTGATGGGGAAATATGAAAGGAAAAGATTAATAGATTTGATAACATAAAAATTTTTAACTTCTAAATGTCAACAACATAAATAATTTTAAAAAGCAATTTTAAAAAATCAGAGAAAAAAGAGAATTATTTGCAAAATATACAATAGAATTAATGTCATTTAAAATCAACAAGAAATTTTCAAAGTCTCCAACAGGAAAATGAACAAAGACATGAATAAATGAATTAGAAAATAAAATATAAATTAATACTTTACTATAGGATTTGGACTACGAAATCATGCAAATGTTTCATATATCAGAAAATTAAATTAAAACAAAAAAACTCCAATCTGATAACTGGAAACAAACTGAAAGAAAGGAATATAACAATATTTCAAGCAAGTTAATAGAAGAAAGATGTATTTAAAATGACTTTAATATACAGTATTTTGAGGATATATTCTAAGGGCAAAAAGAACTACAGATAAATCTGAAAGCTTACTAAGAAATTTCATTTCTGGTGGTAATACTAAAATACTTACTTTGAAAGTATTTCATGTATTTATTAGGAAAAATGCTAATAAATAATGATGTTAATGTCAATATAAACTAAGATTTTAATATGAGAGAATTCAAGTATAAAACTTTCTTATTGTAAATTGTATATAAGTAATGTTTTTGAATGTGAAACATCAGGTGAAATCATTATTTTACTCTAATTTGCATGTCCCACCAGTAGCTTCCATGCAACGACAGCCCAGGAGCAGTGAGTGCCCTCAGTGCCAGATTTCTGTGTCTAATCGCCCCTCCGAAGGCCCAGGGCTGCACGGTGAGAGGCCGCTTCCAGAGCTGAAGCAGTTGTCAGCCAGAAGGGAAGGAAGCTTTCTAAGACTAGCGGAGGGGTGTGGCAGAAGGCCCCAGACCCAGGCCCCAAACGGATCACTTGGAGCATCTAAAGATCATCTCTATAATTGATTGACTAAAATTAACAACATATCGACAATGCTAGAAGAGAGAGAAGCTTCCCCTGTCCCTCCACACAACACACACAACTCATCAGTCAGCATCGGAAGCAGCTGGTGCCCCGACGTTGTACTATGAACACTGGGAATAAAGGGAAAAAACCTAGCATTTATTCTTGCTGTCCTGAACAATCGTATTTTAGAAAACGTTACAGATCTAGTTGAAGAGGAAAAGCTTTTTAAGTTTTTTCTCTTTTCTTTCTCTCTCTTTTTTTAAACAAAAGTAGTTTATGAATCCCAAGTCAAACAACTGCATAAAAATATTTTGGAGACAGAGAAATTTGATTATGAGCTAGATTTAGATTATATTAAGAAATCATTGCTAATTGTTGAGATAGCATTATGTTTATGTAAGAAAATGCCCTTAAGTTTCTAGAGATATATATTGAAGCATTTAGGGGTTAAATGTCATATCTAAGAAGAATTTCAGAATATTTCAGCAAAGAAAAAAATAGAGAAAACAAATATGGTGACATTTTAATGATTGTTCAACATAAGTGATGAGCTCATCACACTATTATTTCTCCTTTTATTCATACTTGAAAATCTCCATAATAAAATCTTTTACATGTAGTTCATAAATATACAAAAACATATTTGCTAACATTAATAAGCCAAAAAGGGCAATGATGCAGGTGGAAATATTAGTGCCTACGAGTCCACAGCCCCACCCCTCCCAGCCACTTTGCCTTTTCCAAGCCCTCTCCACTCTCCCCCGTCCTCTGAGAAGGCGCCTGCCCATCCCACACTGCGAGCCGGATGGCAATCTGTGAGGACGGAGGAGCGAGGACGGCTCAGGGACCGGGGTGGATATTCTGCCCGGCCACCTCCTACTCTGGGGCAGATGATGGTGCCCGGGCTCCCTCTGGAGGACAGTTTGATGAAGGTCTCCCATAAAAACTGGAAAGGGAAAAGACATGTAGGAGCTGGGAGGTGAGATTTGAAGACACACTGGTATTTGTTATAAACGGAATTTCATTTTTGGCTTTCTTTAAATGACTTTAGTCATGATTTAAATTGTGTTTTAACTATCTTTATTGTTTCTACTCTGAATATGATACCAGTCTAGAATTTGTCACAAAACTGCCCAGATTTATATCAGTTATAGCAAATGGTAACACTGAGGTGCCAACTTTTAACCCATTAATAATAACAAACACACAAAATTATGAAATGCCTGGGGGATGAGCCCTGGTTCTAGGATGCTGACACGTGTGTTGCCACAGGAGGATTTCTGGCAAAGCTCATCCAAGTCCTAAAATGTGTTATGTCCTGTGGTTCAGTGATTTGTAGAAATTAATCCTATAGAAATGCCATAGACAAGCAGAAAGATGTGTATACAGACCGTCTCCAGTTATTTGTAGTGCTGCAAAATTGGAGACAGCAGATATTCAATAACAAGGACACTGTTAAAGGATGAATAATTTGTACGTATGGTTTAACGTTACGCCACCATTAAACTCATGTAATCAAAGACTACTTAACAACAAGAGAAAATGGTCACACTATAACCCAGTGATACCGATTCTGTGATAGCACACATCCACACGCACACACATGCACATACATGCACACATGCAACTCACAGACATGAACATGTACATGCATGCACAAGCACACAGGCGCACACACACATATATGTACCACACATAGAAAACCTTAGAAAAACACAGGAAATACAGTATTTTTAACCTAGGAAGAGGCTGTGTCCCATGGTTCAACAGAGAGCAGAGTCAGGACTGAAGCCCAGACCCCTCTCCCCGAGGTCCGTGCTTCTCTCAGCCTCCCCCGTTGGCTCTGGTATTCTTGACTGTTGCCCTTCTCCCAGCCCCAGATAGCCCACTGCCCCGGCGCACAGAACTGCCTGACAGCATGGGTGCCCGCTGGCCTGCTGGCCGGCCCTGGACGTGGGCTTCCCAGGGAGCACCGGGCCTTGCCCTAGAGACTTGTTGTGTGCCCCTGATCCCCACTGCCACATCTGGGCGGGGAGGTGCCCCAGCCTGAGACTCACAGGGGCCCAGCAACTGACCTCTGCGGCTATAAAGCCACAGAAAGCATTCTGGCAAAGCAGCTAAGTCACAGATTTTAATTTCCATGTGTCATTTGAGCACTTTTGCCTTGAAAAGGGAAATTGCTCTAAATCAGAGGCCTCAAAGGAATAAAAGAGATAAAAAAGCAATTCCATTTTTCCTAACCCATAGTAGGTGCTAAACAAGTAACTGATTATTTCCTTTGATTTTTATATCACATATATTCAAATACTCCTTTCTCCCGAAAATGCTATAGTTCTTTGCACAAGCAATTTTCAAAAAGCTCCTCGAAGAGGGCTGTGCTGAACGGCAGAGTAACAGAGGCGAATAAAGAACCGATTCAAGCCGGAAAGCAGGCTTTCCCTCCGGTCTCAGGCTGGGTGGGGCTCTCTCTGCTCCAGGACGTTCAGGAGCCCTCACAGGAGCTCCTTTGTGTCAAATGCAGCTGTATAAACGCGACAAAGCCGCGCTTCATTCCCCAAACCTCTGCCCTTCCTAACTTTTCCTAACATTGGTGCCAACTAGGAGGAAACGCTGGAATGAGCCTGGTAAACGAGCCCTACCTGCACCTTCCCGGGCCCCATGTTCTTCACTGGGGGTGGCTGGCAGGGCTGGCGCACGATGAAAAGTTGCTTTTTGAGGGAGGCAGAGCTGACGTTATTGAAGGCAAGGACCTGCACGGTAAACTCTCCTTCACTGGAAGGGCGACAAGGCACAGAAACAAAGACATTGATTCTGCCACGTGTCAGTCTTTCCTGAATTCCCCATAGCCATCCTACAACTGTGTAATTACAGGATTTGATGGTCAGACAGCCCACGAACGGGAACAGAGGAGACTCAGGTCATGAGGTTGATTTCCAAAGAGGCCATGTGTTGTCCAGTGAATAGACTGGCTGCCCACCCAGCGCAGGGCAGGACAGGCGCCCAACACCCAGACTGATGCCATCTGTTGTACGAGAGACAATCATCCACTTAAGCACCCGCTGCCTCCCTCCCTGAACTCTCCCAGCAGCCATAACCTGCCCCTCTGTCCAGCACGGGGTAATTCTCGGGGTCCCTGCATGATGGGCACCCCAGACCCGTGACTGGGGATCTTTGGGTACAAGCTTCCTGTTCTGTTCCCTACCCCATGGATCAGTCTTCCTGCAAACCCCGGAGGCCCAGGATGCACCCCACAGTCTGGAGATGAGGCCAGCCCAAGGAGGTCCAGAGGGTCTGGCTGCGGGGAGATGCAAGACAGGGAAGGAATGTGCCAGGCAGTTCCTGACCAGCAGGCCGTGTTTTACTAAAGAAATGCACACAGGTTTTACAAATGATGCAGGATGGACCACCATTCAAGACTTCTCAATTTGAAGCAGAATAGTCTCCATCAGAGGACCAAAATTTGAGCATGCAAGGACAAGAGTGTCGCTTGCGATCCTGGAGCTTCAGGAAAAAAGGCAGGTCCTACTGACCAGAGTGAAGGCTGTGAGATCCCTCTCAGGTTCCAGGTGGATGGAGAGCCCCCACAACTCTAGAGAGGACGGTGGAGGCCCGGAGCTGCCTATGTCCATTTCTATAGGCAAGAAAATGCTCCTGGGCTGCAGAGCCCATTCCCGGGCACCCAGGGCCCCCAGGTGCCCACCTGGGTCTACCTGGGCACTATTGCTCAATTCCTTTCTTATGGGAAAATCGATTTCCAGTGGAGAAGTCAAAAATCGGAAGCTAGTGATGGGGCCATCCAGGTGTCCCCTAAAGCAAGGAGAGGCCACAGGGTGGGTTCTCATGGAAGCCCTGCACTGAAGGAGGTCTGCAATCTTCCCCTGATGCCACCGGCCCACACACGCTTAGTTTTCTGGATACGTCTACACATTTTGAGATTTTATTACACCAGCGCAAAAGGCTCCATGCCAGCCTGAGGCTCAGTTCTGCCACACTTACATCTCCACAGCTGTGGCAATGGGCACCCACTGGTAGACCTTGCCCACTCTGGGTCCAGGATAATCCTGACCCTTCATCAGGGAACAAGAGCCAAGAGGCTGGACTGGGGATGAGTGGCCCTGGTTGGTCTGCACTTCATCACTCTCTTAACCTTGAGACGTGGCAATCCTGCAGTCTGCCCCTGTGGTTTCATGTGGGCATGCCCACCTCCCCCAAGAAACGCTCTGTCTATCTTGGACAAAGGCAGGCACACCTCTTTCCTGGATGTCCACAATGCTTTGTTCCAGGTAAACAGGGGATGCCCAGTAAACACGGAATCAAAAGATATTGCCCAGGCTCTTCTGGATGACAGTGAGGCCCTTTACAGTCCTTCCTGAGGATTTGCTATCTTTATCTGCCCACTTCCCCACGTCCCATCTGAGATCCTGCCAGCACTGCATGCCTCTCCATGTCCTGACCTGGCTGCCCCAGGGTCCTCCCCTTGTCCCTCTCCCCAGGCTTTCACTTGTCCCTTTGGCAAATACCTGCTCAAGATTTAACGTTCAGATCATATACAAACATGACTGTGAGCCGGCAAACACAACTGTGAGCCGGTTCTCCAGTTTTCCAAAGAAGAATGAGCTGCCCCCACACCTCCTCGGGCCCCCTTTGTAGCACTCAACTCCTGTGCTCAAAGTGTCCATTCTCCTCTTGTCTTCCCATGGGCCATGAGCCCGTTGGAGGCAATAGCTGGGTTTTAATTTGTCTCTCTTCAAAATCGGTCCACTGCATTGACTGAAAGGCAGGTTGGTTGTGGAGACCCCAGTGGCTGGTGCCTTGAAATGCCCTGTGCCGGGGCGGCTTACCTACTGTAGATGTGACTGGCAGAGCTGTTCCCCAGGCCGACGGCACCATCCCCAAAGTTCCACAGGTAAGCAACATCGGTGCCAAAGTTGATTCTGCACTCAAAGGTCACACTGGCATTCACCAGAGCTGAGCTAGTGGATGTGAGCCGATTGGCGACAATTCTCCTCTGCAGCCTGATGCAGTGGGGCTCTGAGGCCAAGCTGCTGATCCCGTTGGAAGCTGTAACCATCACGTGATACCTGTGAGGTGGGGCCAGGCGGGCAGGGAAGACAGATGGGAAGACAAGAACAAGGTCAGAGGTAGAGAGAATCTCCACATTACTTCAAGAGAAAGGCAGAAGCGTGGCATTTAATTTGTAGGAATGATCACAGCCCCCATGATTTCCATCTTACTGGGGAAAAGGGGGAGTGACACTTTTTGACCTCTCATTCTTCATTAATTAATTCACCTTTCCAAGGGATGGAGTAACACTGTTACCTTTTCTTAGATGAGGAATTTGCTTAGGTCTCACTGGTTGGATGTGGAGACGGGATCTGAACCTAGAATGGTCTGATTTCAAAGCCCCACCCCTTTCCTCCTAGTTCAGACTGAAGGAAAGGAAGTCCTGTTTCCTTTAAATTTACATTTGGCTCAATTCATAGAAGTGCTTAAGTGGCACTAAGTGCGAATGTCACACTCTTAATAATATTTTAGTCATTTTAGTAGCAAGACAATAATCTCCAGACTGAGTTAAGGCTGCATCATGAGCAGCCACCAATTGTGATGACCATTTTTACAGACCACTGGGGAAGGCTGAGTCTTTTCTTAACGCTTCTGGAAGTTGTCCTCATGGGTGGATCTTCTCCAAAATACCACACAAACTCCAGGGGAGTTGTTTCCTTGGTAACAGCTACAAAAGTGATATCGGTGTCTGTGGCGAACACAGTTCCATTTGTGTAGACAGAGACAGCTGTGACAAAGGAAAGGGAGGTGCAGATGCTTCATCACGGAAGGGCTGGAGTCTGTCCAGAGAAGTTAGCATCCTCACCTTCCCACGTAATCATGGCCATGACTGATGGGAAAGGAGCCTGCAGGTATGAATGTAGGACTGAGCACAGGGACGCAGCAGGAGGAACCCAGCAGGCAATATGAGCCCGAGTTCAAGGCCATCAAAGTAATAGCTCATAAAATGATATGGCCAATTCCTGTGGAATTCTACTGGAAAGGGTGTGGTACGGGGAAGTTAGCAGATGATTCTGCATGATAACCCACCTTCTCATACCTCTAGATTGAAGCCTTAGTGTCTGTGGTTTCTAGAAAAGTCATAGAACAAACTGCAGGTGAACAGAGCTCGTTCAAGGGCAAATGGGGACCTCAGCAGCACTAATCACAGAACCCGTGCTATCTGTGGCCTCTGTGATCACCACTGATTGCATGAGGAAGGTTGTGTTGAATCTAGAATCAGAATCAAAACGTACGTTGCATCTGATACCAAACAGAGATGCTGGGCCAAGCCTGGTTGTCTCCCACGTGGGTCCGAGAAGTAAAGGACACATTATATGAGGAAAAGGATGGAAAACAATGCCTAACCACAGTGCCTGGAATGAGAAAGAAAGAGGTAAGGGGAAAACAGTCTTAAAATTAATTCACTCATCTCACACAACACATGGTCAATATTTTCACTTTTTTACTTTCTTCCTTTGAATTCCAATAAATTTCAAAATTCAAAGCATGTGTTTGGAATGAGACAGACCTGAGAAACATGAACTTTGTCACAAAATTTCTCTCATTAAAATTTTCTTTAAGTGTTTTCTCTATCTCTCCTGAGAATGCCTTACATAGAAGTAACTACATTAATTCCTTTGAAATAAGTTAATTACTTCTCTAGATGGTTGTTTTTAAAGCATTTCTCCAATGTGTACACTAAGCAGTCTTTCACTTCACAGTAGTTCTTAAACGGGGTCCACAGGGAAGTCTTGGGCTTTCAAACCCTCTGAGATGAATGCAAACTGTTGCTTACATGTGTATACGTCACCCACACACACATAAACACACACACACGTGTGTAAGTACTAGGAGGACAGATACCAAACGTCTTGTCAGGTTCTAAAAGAGGACCATGATGTCTAGGAAGATTTAGAACAACTCATTTATCAGAAAGGGATGTTAAGAAAGGAGGTGGATATTTTTAAAAACATTATTGTTGTTCTGTATAGTATTTCTCTTTATAAAGAGAAAATGCTTATTTATAATAGTGATACAGTGAAATGGATATTTCGTTCTTCATCAGTGCATTAGAATTTCTGAAAAAAAACTATCCCATGACTAAGAGTGACATCAACTCATTAACAACGGCTGAAACTTAATTCTGAGCAGAGTCTGGTAGTCAGCAGTGCGAGGAAAGCACCAGATCACCCGGTTAGCGATCTGTGCCAGCACTTCCATCCTAACTCGAAGGATAGGTTCCTGGCATGGAACTGATGAAGGGCTTGTCAGGATTGTAGTTTCACACCAGCTATACAGGCTGCTTATTTATTTAATAAAGTTTAGACAAGACTGGTCAGTACGAATGACTAAAACCCTCCCCTAGGTGTAATGTAATTTCTTGGACAGAGTTTCTCACAAGGCTAAATGTCTGGATAACATACAGTCAGTGTGTGGAACGAGTTATAAAGACTATCATAAGAATGACTTCATTGAGACACGTCCCCTACTGGCTTCTCTCTTTTCCTTTTTCTGGGAAATTTAACCTGTAACTCCACCTACTTAGGCTGAACGCTCTGGGGTTATCTTTGACTGGCAGCCACACTGGCCCTGCTAAACATGGTGGGACGCTTCCTTCCACATATTACTGACATTTGGTGGAATCCTCCATTCCCACCCCACTGGCCTCCCAGCTTCGGGTTCCTCTTCTATAAAACTGAGATGAAAGGGAGCCCACCTCACAAGTAGCCGTGGGGATACAGCAAGGTGATGTAGGTGGAGCGTTAGCAGAGCGCCTGGCACCCTGCGAGCGCGCAGTGAACTCCAGCGGCTGCTGGGTCTCATCTCTGTGCTTTGACTTATTGCCACGTTGTTGGCCCAAAATGCTCTCCCACACCCATTTCTTCACGGCTCGTTCAAGGCTCATCATGGATACCAACTCCCTGCCCCACCCCCAGTTACACACAACTCCCCTCTGGGAAATCTCCCAGCCCTTAGCCGTGTCCTTCTTAAGGCATGTTTAAGTCCTAGCTTATATTTTCATAGGCATATCTTAATGCCTTTACTAGATTATAAATCCCTCAAGACCAGGACACATATGACTTCATCTTCATGTCCCCTCAGAGCACAGATTTGTGCATAAATATCTTCTGAATGAGGGAAGAGTAAGTGAAGAATATTGTGTCTGACTGGGGCACTGTTATAACTTGAACGTGCAGCTCCGGCAGAGTCATGCCTCATCCGGAGCTGAGGTTGGGGGCTCAGCCTCCAATGTCGGTCTTACTTTTCTGATCCATGTGGGAGCTGGCAAAGACCAGAAGTTCATCCTTGTGGACACTGCTGGAATTCATGAACACGGACATGGCCTCGTGGCCAACTTCCACATAATAAGGCCCAAGCTCCACTTCAGTTCCGTAAAACTCACTGTAAATAACCGCCCTGAGCATATAGACTCCTTCTGGAAAAAGAAGAATGGCCGTTTAATGACTTGTTAAAAGCATGCACAATTTGACATTTGTAAAATGGTGATGATGGGTGACTAATGCTGGAACTGACAAAGCAAAGGTGACTTTTCTTCTCCTTGTAGCAGTAGGGCCATTTCATGGGCGTGAGACCCCTGCAGACGCACAGGGCCCCACAGTCAACAGGGCTCAGCATGTGGTGTAATGATCTGTTGTCTTGAAATTCTTAAGAATTTTTTCAATAAAATGTGCTGCATTTCATTTTGCCCTGGGCCCTGAGAATTATGCAGGCAATCCTGTGCAACAGCAAATATTCGCAAGAATGAAAATAGATATTGGTCATCCCACAGCTAGACAAAAAAACACTTAAATAGTCAAATGGAAATACATCAAAGAAGTATTATGGCAGATTACAAAAATGGCCCCAAATTCTCACCCTGTTTTCACGTTCTTATAATACAACTACGACGTGATTTTGCAGCTCCTTCCAATAAGTGGTGGGGCCTACTTCTCCACCTCTAGAACTGGCATTGGTCTTGTGGCCAATGGATTTGAAAAGCGCTCGTGCATATGCTCTCACTTGCTTGTCTCGGGACTCCTGTTATCGCCCCACGTGAACAAGGCTGGGGAGGCCGCTGAATGATGGCATACCCAGGAGTCACCCCCTTCAAGCTACTGAGCTGACTGGCAGCTGGCTGCAGATCCACAGATGCGCCTGTCTGAGACCAGCCCAGGCTCGAAGGACTCCCAGCAGAACCTTGGGTTAAACACTCAGTTGTGCTCTAAGGGACTAAGTTTGGGGTGGTTTGCTACATACCAATAGATTACTGACACAGCTCCACTGGACTGAAAAGGCCTTTAGCAATTCTTTAATCCTAATTGCCCACACAGTATTTTTCCATTGGTCATTTGATCCCCAAACTTTAAAATGTTAGGAGATTCCTAATGTATCCCAGGATAAAATCCTCAGCTGGGCCCTTCACCCTTAGCTGAGCTGGTCCCACTTGTCCTCTCTGGCTCCCTCATGTACACACCTGACTCTTCACCCCTGCAGAGCTAGGCCCCATTCTCTATCACTCATCTGCACCCATGCGCAACCTTTCTCTCTGCTTACAATGTTCCTCTTCACACCTCTATTTGGCCAACTTGCACCTACCTTGAGCCTTGTTGGATGACCCAGGCAGAAGGAGTGGCTCCACCCGGCATTTGACCACAGAACTTGGGTTGTGCTTCCCTCTCAGGACTCCCCACACTGTCTGTCTTCTTTGTCCCACAACCTCAGCACAAAGCACTTAGTAGACAAACAATGAATGTTGACCAAATGACCAATCAAGTTTTTCAGAATGGAAAACTGAAGCTCAAAGAGGTTAAATAATTTGTCCAAGGCATGGAGTATGCAATTATTTCTTAGGAATTAAGATAGTCTTTCCTCTGTTCACTTTCTGCATCTAAATTATATGGAGTTAATATATAGATCTAGGGAAAGCTGCAAGTACTAGTGTACTAAGAAGCTGAAAAGAGGGAATGACTTTAAAGAGCAAAGCATATCAATGAGGAAGAGCAATAAATGTGACGATATACAGAAGATTTTGTACTACACACTGTGACGAGCCAAGGCCAGATAGAAGGGCATCCCATACTACGCATGGGTCAAGAGAACATACATGAGAAGTGGGGACACTTTCCCAAAATGTAATCTCTCTTGGAAGCTACATCTTAAATGCCAAGACATCATTTATAGAATTATCCCAGCTGTCTTATAACGCCGCTTCTCATAGTTGCGTCCAGACAAATTCTGCACATGGATTTTGATGATAAGGAGAAAGTGAAATGGACACCATGCAGTTCACCATGCTCATGGGGATCAGCACTTAATAAAGAGCTGTGCTCTGTGTAAATCAATAAATTGCTCACGGTTCATTTTAAAAGACAGAGTTCATGACTGTGAGTTAGGAAAGGCAATTTATGGACCAGCTGAGAGAACTCTGTGGGCTCAGATGAATTTGGCATTGGAACCTCATCTCTACATTGCAACCAAATCTTGGGCATTCTTGAACCACAGGTTGACTTTAGACTTAACTGCTACTGGGAGTTGTGACACCAATTCCTTATTTTAAAGCAACAAAGAAAATAATTAATATGCATTAAAGTTGTAGATGCTTAAAATTAATCGGACATTTTGATTTGAATGTGGAAGTATAGTCAGCATTCCACTGCATCTTCTGGGAATTAATCCCGAAGCAAAACAGAAAACAGCAAACAAAATGCAATTTTTTTTTTTTTTTTTGGTGAAACTAGGAGGTAACTAGCATGTTCAGAATCCAAAATAGATGTAAGAGCTGCTACAAGCAGCAAAAATCAAGCATGATGAACAGGAATCCTGCAGGAGGGAGAGAAGAGAGGAAGCCCTGGAGTGAGAGCTCAGTAGCAAGAGGACTCAGTGGCTGTGAATATCAGAACACATACATGCACAAGCACACACACATGTGCACACTCACACTGCCCTTCTGTAAAGTGAGCGGCACACCATTTGGGGCACAGCGGGGGTGGAGCTGAGCTGGCTGAGATGAAGAGTCTCTCTGGACTTGGTCTGGTTCTGAGAGGAGGGGAGGGGAGGGAAGAATCGTACAGACGAACCATATTTGGGAGAAGCACTCTGCTTCTGTGGGAGAAGAGGGGAGGAGAGTCTGCATGGCAGAAAAACCACCTACTGCCTACCTCCATTAGCTAGAGGAAAGACAGGTTATGTAAACACAAATCCCTGTTTTATCAAAAGTCTCAATTAGTCTGTAACACAGCCTTGACACACACATGTGCTTACACACACATACACACATGCCACCTGCAAATAGCTAGTTCGAGAAAAAAGCAACTCTTTTAATTATGAACAATACTAGGAAGGAAGGAAGGGAAAGATGGAGGGAAACAGGAAGAAAGAAAAGAGGAAAGAAAGAAGGAAGGAAAAAAAGAAAGAGAGAGAGGGGCCGGCCCTGTGGCCGAGTTGTTAAGTTTGCGCACTCCGCTTCAGCAGCCCAGGGTTTCGCTGGTTCAGATCCTGGGGGCGGACATGGCACCACTCATCAGGTCATGTTGAGGCGGCGTCCCATATAGCACAACCAGAGGCACTCACAACTAGAATATACCACTACGTACCAGGGGGGCTTTGGGGAGAAGAAGAAAAATAAAGAGACTGGCAACAGATGTTAGCGCAGGTGCCAATCTTTAAAAAAGAAAAACAAAAAAAGAAAAGAAAGAGTGAGAGAGGGAGGAAGAACATTTAGGATACACAAGATACTATAAGAGTCAATATGGGAAATTTAGGAGATATTCATAATAGGTTAAGATCATTTATCCATTTATCCCAAAACATTGCCCATGGGAAGATAAAGGGATTTAACTTAAGGAATTAGTAGCTTCTATGCTGCAAGACCATAGAGCAGAAATGCAAGAAATGAAGGCAACATTTCAGAGAATAATGGAAAATAGAAACTAAAGACCACAAAAGAAGAGGTATAGGGAAAAAATGAGAGGTGCAAGCAAGATGAAATAAAAACACAGAACAAAAAGGATTACAAAAGACAAAAGATCTAACACATGCATGACCAGAACCTTCCAAAAAAGAAAGCTGAAATACTGGAACAGAAAAATATTCTATAGTAATAAGATATAACTAAAGAAATCATCTCTGAAACAAAAGAAAACAATACATATCTACATAGGAAATGTATACTGCGTGCCAGAGAAAGCTGACCCAGAATGGTCAACACTGAGACATGTTCTGGCAAAGCTACAGGACTTCAAATATAAACAAATAATTATTTTGAGCCAGACAGAGGCATCAAGTCATCTACCAAGGGAAAAACAGAAGCTGGCCTTAGAATCCTCACAGCGTGGGGATGCACGGAGAGTTACACTGAGAGCTTCTGAAAGCACAGATTCCTAGGACCCACCCCCTGGGTTTCTGCTTCAGGACGTGTAGGGTGGAGTCCGAGAATCTGTGTTTCACACACATCTCAGGCGATACTGACGATGCTGGTCCAAGGACCACACTTGAACAACCACTGCTATATGCCAGAATAGAGCAAAGAAACAACACACTTCCTCAAGAAAAGAACGTGAGACCAAGGATTGAAAAGCCAGCAAATTGTCATTCAAATATAATAAAATTTTGATACTGCTAAAGGACTTTTATCCAAAATATACAAAGAACTCTTCAAACTCAACAACAGGAAATCACACAACCCAATTAAAAAATGGACCAAAGACCGTAACAGATACCTCACTAAGGAAGATATACAGATGTCAAGTAAGGCTATGAAAAGATGCTCCACATCACATGTCACCAGGGAAAGGCAAATTAGAACAACTATGAGATTTCATTACATACCTATTAGAATGGTCAAAATTTGAATCCTGACCATACCAAATGCTGTGAGGATGTGGAGCAACAGGAACACTCCTTCACAGCTGGCGGGGATGCAAAAGGGTACGCCGCTTTGGAAGACAGTTGGATGGTTTCTTACACAACTAAATATACTCCATGATCCAGCAACCACGCTTCACAGTATTTACCCAAATGAGTTGAAAATGTATGTCCACACACAAAGCTGCACATGGATAGTCAGAGCCGCTTTATTCATAATTGCCAAAACTTGGAAGCAACTGAGATGTCCTTCAGTAGGTGAGTGGATAAATAAACTGTTGTACATCCAGACAACAAAATATTATTCAATGTTAAGAAGAAATGAGCTATCAAATCATGAAAAGACATGGAGGAAGCCTAAATGTATATTACTAAGGGAAAGAAGCCCATCTGAAAAGCCTGCATAAAATTCCAATGATACAATATTCTGAGAAAGGCAAAACTATAAAGACAGTAAGAAGATCTGTGGTTGCCAGGAGTTGTGGGGAGAGGGGAGGGATAAATAGGCAAAGCAGAGAGCATTTTTAGGACAGTGAAAGCACTCTGTAAGATATCATAATAATGGATGCGTAT